TAAGCTGCCTTTTCCCCAACCATGAGGTGGAATCGCTCGTCCTTTTGTCACGCGAGGAGCTTTGTAACCTCATAGAACAGCCGTCGCCACAGTCGACCGAGCAGCTTCCATCGCCGCCACTTCGCACTCCGAACAGCCAACTCTTTGATCTTGAACAGATCCCGGCACAGGACGCAGAATGGGACGAAGAGAGACGAGAGCGAGATCCGTTGCCAGCGGAAGCCGACGACGTGAATGCGTTATCGCTCACTCTCGACCGACAAACATCATATCTTGGCATATCGTCAGTCAGGGCGGCGATGCTCGTCATGGTTCATATCCAGCCACAGCTGCAAGCCTCCTTGGCATTCCACCAAAGGAACAGCACCAACCGGAATATGGAAGAAGCCTTTACGGCTTACAATCCAGTGGGAGCCACGGAGGAGACGGTGCCTGTCCGCTGGACGCTGAAAGGTCAGGCTCTTATCGATGCTTACTTCAAGGGGTGCCACGTCTTCACCCCAATGCTCGACGAGGTCAGCTTTCGTGCAGACTATCTCAACGCCAGAAGGCATGATGCGCCTTGGCTCTCCTTGCTCAATATGGTTTTCGCCATCGGAAGCATAATGGCCACCAAGTCAAGCGACGTGAATCATTTCACGTACTACGAGGAAGCGATGAAGCACCTTAGCCTTGCTGCTCTGGGTAGCAGCTGTATCGAAACGGTCCAGGCATTGGGCCTTCTTGGAGGCCACTACCTCCACTACATAAATCGACCAAATATGGCCAATGCTATTCTCGGGGCCACGATCAGAATGGCCAGCGCCCTTGGTCTCCATCGTGAACCAGCCCATCAAGTTATAAATAACACGGCGGGTGACGAAATGCGAAGACGAACGTGGTGGTCCTTGTTTTGCCTAGATACTTGGACTACTACAACTATGGGACGGCCGTCCTTTGGACGTTGCGATCCCTCAATCGATATCCAACCACCCCAACTCCTTGCTGAACAAGTAAGTCTCATATAACCAATTGCTGGCTTGGACTCGACTTAATGTCTCTACTTTAGGAAGAACGCGACTCTGCCCAGCACGCAGGAATTATGCCTTTGTTGGAGAACATCAAATTTTGCAAGATTGCCACCAAGATCCAAGATATGCTCGCAGTAGCGTCTCTCTGGGGCACGGAAAGCCGCAAGCACCTGGATGACAAGCTAGTCGAGTGGTATGAGAACCTCCCAGGCTTACTGCACCGCACGGATAAGTGCGCCGAGCCTCTACATCTCTCTGGGTGTAATGTCAGATGGAGGTATTGGAACCTCCGCATGCTACTCTACCGCCCAGTGCTTCTTGCTGTGGCCAGCAGTGACAAGAATGCCCCCGTCACTGCTGAAGATACCGAAGCAATAGCGACTTGCCAAGAATTAGCGACTAAAATAATACAAGATATCGCGAGCGGTTGGACCCAGCATCAGATGTCTGGGTGGAATGCTGTCTGGCTGCTTTATCAAGCGTCAATGATCCCCTTGATCAGCATCCTGTGGCAGCCTAACAGCCCATTGGTTACGGAGTGGCAATATCAGGTCACCATGATCTTGGAGTTATTTGAAGAGATGGAAGAGTGGTCGCTAGCAGCGCGACGTAGCAGAGACGTTGTTGGGCTGATATATGAAGCAAGCTGTCACTTTATAGGCCAGAGTGAAGGGAGCATGGTGCTGGAGCAGTTTGACGCGTCTAATTTGACACAGGCAGACATTTATGCTTGGTCGGATGGACTGAAGTTGGATTACATGACAGATATGCAAAATCAAGACTGGCAGTGGGATATGAGCACACTTCTAGGGTCATAGTAATGGTCTCTTATTATTTAAAGCACGACCTCAAATGGGCTTCTTTAATTTACTAAGAAAAGAAAGGAATAGAGATAAGTATTCAGAAAGCAAGCCAGATATGACGAAAAGCCCTGCTCAATTTAGCATGAGAAAAAAGCCGCCAATGTAGGTAGAGTAGACGAAACGGAGAGTTGAGCAAGTAAAATGCATAAATGAAATGTCTCGTGGAATTGCAACAACAGAAGAGCACGTAACGGAAAGGACCAGTGTTCCCACGAATGTAGAAACTGGGTTTCCTTCTGTTGATTGGCTTTTCAAAAAGCTGGCAGAATGAAGTTTAGGGTAGCTGGCTTATCAAGACCAGGATGTTTCAAGCTGGCGGTTATAACAAGGCGCAGCAATGCAGTATGGGGGCTGTGAATTTGAGAGGTACATTCATTTTTATCCCGCGTCTCCCTTCAAGACTCCTTTCACTGTGGCATCAAGCATTCAGAGTATTGGGTTGCTTGGGACCCGAAGGCAGTATATTTACTCCAATAATGTACCCTGTGAACAGCACCTGCTATTGCCCGGTCGGGACAGATCGTCGTCTCTGCCACCAAAGGTTAAGCGACAGTTCAATTGATCTCTTTCAAGGTAAAGAAGGCGGCGTTGACACTCTTTCCATATCGCGTGATCCAAATGGATCACTGAGTCTGGTACGAGGATTCCGATCGAGCGAAGCGGTCGAAAAAGAGGGCGGGTGGGATGTGAGTAAATGCTGTCCATGATTCTTCCTCGAGTGAAAGCTTAATGAAAGGGCGACAGCATTCAGAAGCGAAAGAGTATCGAGATTTCGTCTTGTAAGTATCTGGAGTAGATTTCGACAACGTTTTATGAACTCAACAAGTTGTAGCATAGTGAATTCAGCCTTCTCGTGGAGCCAGTTGTCCATCACTGAATTCGCCTTCAGAACACTATTGGACGACGTTGGTGTTTTCACGCCTTTCCTTGAGGTTGTCCATACTTTTGGTAGGAAGACCAGCGATAAGCAGAGGGCCAAAGATACGACATTCTACCGTCGACATCCTTCTTTAACTCACGGTATGTTTGCATTTGAACTCATCAGAAGCAAGTTTTAACAAGATAGCGTACAGAATTTTGTTATGCTGTAAGGTATTTTGAGCTGAACGGGCGAGGGCGTGGTAGTCCATGGTCCCTACGACAGACAGGAGTGTATCACCGTTGCGATCCCGACCGAAAGTCCACCTGGATTCTGCTCAACCACTCAAGTTATATGAACGAGCGAATGACCTCCTCTTTACGAGAAGACATTAACTTAGCGCGGCTGGCTGAGATATGCCGGGCGTTTCTTCCTCATGTTTTTCTTCTTGCCGGTGCAGTGAGGAATTGGTCACAATACATCGAATACCAAAGAGGGCGACTTAGACTATTTGCAAGTCGAGCGAAAAGCCCCTATTGAAATAGTAAAGTATATGCTAATGCATTATTATATAGGAGGATAAAGCGTATGGTTGCATCACTACCTCAACAACCAACGTGGATGTGAATACCCTCCTCAAAGACGTCCACAAACTCTCTACCTTGACAGATGGGCTGGCTGTTGCGAGAACTGCCATAGTCGGCCAGAAGCGCGTTCTTTCAGAATTTGCGGAGCTGCAAAGAAAGCTATGCAGGTCAGAAATCGAGCATGGAGAATGCGACTGCGATACGGAAACACATTTGGAAACGCTGTCACATGATGTTCAGTCCTATTGCGAGGATATAGAAACTTTGGAGCGTGGAGTGTCAAGAGTGTCTGAACTGGTAAGATTGATGAATGGATGCGAACTATCAGTCAATATCTAACGACAGAATAGTTCACGACGGCTGTGTCTGCTCGAGGCAATGGTCAGCTTCAGTCTATCATAGCCTCAATGCAGACCAGCTTGATAGGAATAGAGCGTGGAACCAATGGCACTAAGCTCGGTACAACTGAACTTCTCCACCTCACAGCTCAAGGGCAACAGGATAGTACCAAACTAAAAACGCTCGCACATATTGCCGCCTTGTTTCTTCCACCATCAGTGATTGCTGTAAGTCATTACCGGCAAGACCCTACGGATACAGAAGGCTAATACTGTGTATGAAGGCTCTATTTAGTTCTACAATATTTAACGATTCCGGTGTTAACACCTCGAATCTGGGATTATACTTCGCTATTACAGTTCCATTGGTGTTGGCAATTGGGTTCGTCCTTGTTCTTGTCGAAAAGGGTGCAAGCTTTCGGAGATATATCAAGAGCATCTACAATACCCTCTGCTGAAATGTTCACCAATACGACCTGCCTGGGACGTCCCAAACCTAAGAAAGAAGACATTGGGGGCATGGCCGTGACATAATACTTAGACTAAATGGTAAAGCATAGCAACTATTTAATATTTGCCGCCAACTCCGATCAACTTAGAATTCGAATGAATCCTGCGCTGCATCACCATTGCACGATTTTTACAGCATTGCGTGTATACAGAAAACCACCATGTTCAAGTAAGATGCGTGTGCACATTTACGCAGCAACCCCTGACCTCCGATTATGGTGATTCTCGGCTGTAATCTATGAGCTCGCCTACACCAAGTAAGCGGGGTAACGTAAGACCAGGGCATGTCTGGAAGTTTTCTGTCCAGCTGACTGGCACATAATTCCCGCACCCCGCGTAGGCCCTCCGAGTAAAATATAGAGAATAGTTTGTCCTGATCAAGGCATCCAAAGGCTTATAGAAGCATACTAACACTGACGATAACCTTCGACACGTCCGAAGCGCATCATTCAAACCATTTCAAACCGCTATATCGATCTGGGTGCTCTTCAAGGCTTGCCAGCGGTCAACCTTGGTTCGGGAAAGTTTACTACCAGCGTATGTTGATATGTCAAGATGATCCCTGTCATTATCTGCGGTAAATCTACTAATCTTGATTCCTATCTCTGGGTGTAGGAGGAAGACGAGAGTTACGAGGTCACCATCCCACAAACCTTGACAGAAGTATTTATCAAGCCTTCCTTCATCCCGGTCATGGACTCTGCTAAAATTACATAGGTAAAGCTTGAGTCGATACAGTCAACCGAATAAGATGCCTCGAACCGTCGTTTAGACTATAGAAATATCGCATCCTTTCTCGCAGCTTCGGCCTCGCGTTCACTAATTCTCCCAACATGGATCAAAATATAACAACAATCAAGGAGAACTTAGAAAGTCTCCGCTATTCCAACGCCAATTACGAATCCCGGTACTTCTTCCCCGAAGGTTCTCTTCTCGACTTTTTTTCCGACTCTACCACCAAAAGTGCCCTGCAAAGTCTCTCCATACCACAACATGAGATCCCTGATCTAGTGAAAATCATACTGCGAGGTGCTTGTAAATGCTTCGCAGTCTTAATTTTGATAGACCATGGGGAATTGATTTCCAATTTCTTCCGGCATGATTCTTTTCAAGTCTCCCTTCCGGATGATCATTTACCATATAGTGAAGAGGTGCTGGAGCATATCTTCGGTGTGGAGAAGATTGAGGATGCCTTGGGCAGCCGAAGAACACATCCTTGGATCATCAAGTTTCAGGAGAAGCAGTGGGAAGTTGCTGTACCTATCTTGAAACAGCATATCCTATTGCGCAAACTTGATGATAGAATTATTATGCCCTATCTCTCCGAGGAGCCTGTAGGCAACGGATCGGGGGGCACAGTATGGAAAGTACATCTCCATCCCCAGTGCCATCAGCTGCCATTGCTACGAAACCATCTTGTGAGCCCCATCGGCGCGGAAAAAGGCCTCTCAGCCCGGCTAATGTTCTGGCTATTATAGGTTGCGAGAAAGGAATTTACGCGTGAGAATGCTTTCCAAAAAGAATTGAAAAACATATCGATGCTGACACATCTCGGGCATCCGAATGTCATTCAATTTCATTGCTCATACATCTACAAACAAAGATATAATCTTATTTTCTCCTTTGCTGAAGGTGGTACGCTGGCCCAATTTCTCTCTGGAAAAGGTCATGCTACAGACAGCCTTCAGGGATCTCAGCTCGTCTGTGCTCTGACAGACTTGAGTTCCGCTCTTGCTGCGCTACACAATTTTACATCGTTGGCGTTAGAGATGAGTCTCCTGGGTTGTCATCATGATCTTGCGCCAAGAAACATTTTGATTCATAACGGCAAATTACTGCTCGCTGATTTCGGGCTGTCCACTCTTAGAAACCTTGAAGATAGTTCTTTAACCACTCACAAAGACGCTCGAGGTTTCTACAACGCGCCCGAGTGCCAAACAATACAGGATGAGAGGGTCAAGTCTCAGAAGGTTCGTCGGTCAAGTGATGTTTGGTCATTTGGTTGCATACTTCTAGAGGTCTTAACATATATGCTTCGAGGTTCTGATGGAGTTTCACTTTTCAAAAATCAGAGAAGGGCGGAGATTACAGTTGGCTTCACATGGTTCCGGTTCCATCTAGGCCCTGATGCGGAAAGCCCGGCTGTGAAATCTTGGCTGGAGGAACTACGAAGAGAAGCCCATGAGCCATATCAAGTCTGGATGATTGTTCTAATAAGTGAGATGTTACAGCTGGACCCGGGTAAACGTCCATCTGCTGAAAGAGTTTTCACAGCACTCCGAGCTATTTTTATTTTATCTCTCGCCGGATCTGTTGAAAAGGGAATGGAAACTATTAAGGATGGATGTTCTCAGATTCTTGACCAAGCTTTGAACCAGATGCGCTACAAAAGTTGGCTGTTTGCTTTCAACAAACTCTTTGAATCCTTCATGAACTCAGCTGGCCAGAAGGAGTCCCAGAATATGGACTTTATTTATCAGACAACGCTGGAAGCGCTAAAGGAGGCCTCGCAGGTCTTTTCCGGCTCTTTTGAAGGTGGAGTCAATACCAGCACCCATCAGAAGTCATCCTTGTTCCGTTATCAGCTTGTTAGGCTTCTTGATGCACTCCCGTTTCAATATCGCTCTGTCGCCAAGGAGCATTTGACAACTTCAATGCTAACCCACGGAGAACCGGACATTCAGGGAGAGCTTTCTGCGGCAATGTCCCAGGATGACGATGTTGGGACTTTCGTTGTTGTTAAGCGACTCACAGCTCTGATCGAAGAGCCACATTTGGAACTTGATCGGAATGATATTATACACCTCAGAGCTGTCGATATCCATGACTTGTCAACGATAGAATTCGGTCCCAAGCGCGTATTGGTGGAGTGGCTCGTCTACAAAGGACAGCGGGCTGACGAGAATAATCGGCGGAATCTTGGGCAGCGAGTGACCTCAATCGTCAACCTTCCCCATAAAGATGCTTTTGCTCAGATCCCCGGAACCTTGCCATGCATAGGATTGTTTCATGACCCATCTAAAACAGCATTCGGCGTGGTCTACGAACTGCCGTCGCTCACAACGAATGCACTAACACTTGGCCACCTGCTCGGCTTGGGCGTCTATCGACCTCCACTCGAGGATCGTTTCAGGCTGGCCAAAGATATTTGTGAGAGAATTCATACAGTTCACAAAGTCGGATGGGTACACTGTAATATAAATCCTTTCAATGTGCTTTTCTTCCCTCAAGAGCCGGCTATCGAGTCTGAGTGCGCAAAAAGCCCGCGGATATTCGGGTTCGCGGGTAGCCGAGAAAGCAAGCTGGACTCGATTACCCTTGGACCTGACACAAATGACCTGAGGATATATCAGCATCCTAATTATATTCATGGGAAGACCCGCTACAGAGAGGAGTTTGACTACTACTCTACCGGCTTGATTCTATTAGAGATTGGCCTTTGGAGCACGCTCACCACTCTCACAAAGTCAAGAACGTTTCAAGGAGCCTCGCCCATGAAATTTAGAGAGATGATCATTGAAAGAAAGGTTCCTGAACTTCGGGAATCAATGGGGAGACGCTACATGGAAGCTACGGAAGCTTGTCTCCAAGGTGAATTCACACTAAGTCCGCTGGAAGCAGAAGGCGGAGGACTTACATCGAATTCATCATTCAAGACTTTGGTCATAGATAAGATCCCGTTGATTGATTAAATGTATATGAGACTCATCTCTAAGATACTATTAATTAAGTGCTGGATCTAACTGAAACTAAGACATAAGTCGATTAAAGATCTCGCTCTGAAAATGACCAAGTGGTTCCTGCATTGCTAGGCTCATACTCCTTGAAAATGATCTCGTCATGATCTCGGAGAAAGGTGTTGGCCTGCAAAAACTTCTACTTTGGCTCTAGGTTAGAGACCACGATCTGGCTCTAGGTTTCGGATTCACCATCAACAACGCTTAAAGCGTCGTAGAAAGGCCGGCAGGCATCTACATCAGCAGTGTAATGTCAAACATGAATTTTACAAAGCATTCGTCCGATGGAAAGCGTTCCGCAGAAAAGAATCTTGGAGCGATCAACCTGGACATGAGGAGTCTTAGCCTTGGGGTCATGATCTCTTGATAGGGCACCCTCACCGTCCTGGATCAAATGTTTGAATGTAGCGGATAGAGACCTGATGGGGAATGCATCTGTTATTAGTCATACTGAAACTGGCCGACTTTGAGAGATTCAGAACTCACCACCTGCTTGTGATCATCTCCCTAGGTCATGTCTGACGGCTGGAAATTCCGGAGTGCTTGGAGGCTTTCCACCTCAATTTGCTGGTATGTGTAGTACATAACTATATTCATTGCGTTGAGATGTCGGGTCCGGCATCTTTCATTGCTATTTTCAACTTTTTACTCGAACTCTCTCACCTGTACATCACAATTCATGCCCGTGATGATGGCTGCGTTTCATTGTGTGGACCAGCTAAAAGATAGTTGGAAGTGGCACTGGGGTCTTGGTTGCGAATTTCTCTGAGGTTGGGATGAACCGAGCCGCCAAGAACAAAGATTTCAGAAATTAAATGGACAAGCTTGCTACCTGATGTGTCTGCTAGAATAGACTCTGATAGGATAAAGGCTTTCAAATTTGCTTGAAACCCTGGAATTGGATGTTCCGAGTAGAACCAGGGAGGACCCTTCATCCGAAACATTAGGCTGAACGGTGAGACGCGGGAAACCGTTGAGAGGGCAAATTGACTTACAGCTTCTGATATTGTTCTCGTGGAATGGGGACCAGCATTTCCACGGCACGAAAGGGGTCTTTTCAGCTACAAGCAAGCATAAATAATTGCATATCACTGCCTAATAGGTGTGAACTGAGCAGACTACGTTCCTTGGTCGGTGTAATTCGAATCTTTTTCCTTCTGCTGTCGAGGAATGATAGAAGACCGCCTCATTCCATACCGGTCTTATGACAAACGAATATTCTGGCCGCCTCTTGGATTTTTGGATACTTTCGAGGATGTATTTGCCGTCGCCGATTAGGAATTCTCCATGTGTTGATGCATATAAAACTACACGAGCTGCTCCTCCTCCACCCGCAATTGATATCTCAACCCTCTCAACCTTCCAATAGTCGTCTTCAAGCACTCTGCTTATCAAATTCGCTACGATTCCATCAATCATGTGGGCCAAAAATTTGATTGCTTTTGCTGCTCTAGCCTCTGCGATACGGCCAGAGTCTGTGCTCGAGCCAGGTCTGGGCATCGAACGGAAAGATGGTACACAGTGGCGCTCCTTGACCAACTCCTAGCTAACATTTCATCCCATAGGACTTGCTGTTACTCAGTCGGAGCTCGATAACATGAAATTCTTCATGGAGCAAAGCGCATCCTCATATTGCAACTACAAAGAGGAAGTTGGTGACCTTGTTCGGTGCGACCGCGAGGGAACCAAGGGAGGAAAGTGTCCTTTGATCCAGGACGATGACGTTCGAATTCTCTGGACATATATGTAAGTTGAAACTGCACCTCTCGAGCTGATCTAGATGGATTATTGACATAAGATCAAAAGGGGCCCGATCACGAAGATCGCTGCGTACATCGGTATAAATGATGTTCGCAAGCAAATTGTGTTCACTCCGCGAGGCACCATGACTACTGGAGAGACGATCGTGGACTTCAACTTTTGGTTCAAGCCTTATCCGGGTGTTGATGGGGCTCAGGTTCACACCGGCTTCTCTAATGCTTGGGATGAAATGGCCTTTGGTGGTGCGGTGGAAGCAATTAGCGATGCTATTGCAGCCAACCCGGACTACACGATTGTGGCCACTGGTCACTCCCTAGGCGGAGCCATTGCATCCATGGCCGCCGCAAACCTTCGTGATACTGGCTTCTCGGTTGATCTCTACACATATGGTGCCCCTCGCGTCGGTAACGATGTCTTCAACGACTTCCTAATTGGTCTACCCGGGGCCAACTATCGTGTCACAAACTTGGATGATCCTGTCCCACGCGTGCCGTTTCTTTGCTGGGGGTATCGATCAATTTCTCCAGAATACTGGATCTCCAAGAATTATACGGAGCCTGATTACCCACTCGACAATATCAAAGTCTGTGAAGGAGATGCAAACCTTGAATGCAATGGCGGCACAACGGGTTTCAACTTCATCTCTCATGGCATCTACCTTCTGCGTTCTCCATGTGTATATGAGGAAGACTCACCATATGGCGAAGAACCGACCAAGACATGGGTGACTGAGCTTACACGGCTCAACGACGAACAGCATCCATATTCGGGAGATGATCTTGAATACTGTTTGCGTGGGGTCTAGTTCGTTCCACAAGACGACTCGGGCTATTCACTTCCCATTTTCTAACGGGTGGTTTTGTCTTCGACATCGCTATACCCCGAAATGCTTGCATCTTAGGCTCCTGCTGGGGTGCACTCGCTTGGAAGAGCTCTGTGTTGGTTTCTTTGTATCTTGGCTGGGTGTCGGACGTGGGAAATGTGAGGGACCATACGGGATTTGCCAACTATCTGTGGGTCTGATCATTCTGGTGTAGTTTAATATTATTGTAGCACTACAGGCCTAAAATTGACCCGCTGACGAAGAGACCAGAAACTTTGCCTTTGACTGTGGTGCCTCTTATTTTACCCTTGAGGCCTGTCGCTCTCTGGGAATTTTTAGGTGATGTAATAATGTAATGAGAGAGACGCAAAATGTGAACGAGATAAGAAAGAGGAGGTGGGCTGTGATACGCTGATGTTACATAGGATTGTTTCGGACCAGGCCTAGTAATATTGCCATGCTGTGAGATGCGGGGAAGGGACTTATCTGGCTTTGGAGATAACATGATTAGTAATTCCTGTAGGTGAAAGTAGATTTAAATAGAGGTTGGGCTTCTTTCAAAAATTTCATCATAATCATGGCACGCCTTGCGACCTTGGCAGATGTTTGGCCAATGAGACAATCGGCTCGACGGTCGGCGTATCTACGGCTCTTATTTTTGATGTTGAACAAAAAGGCAGTAACATTTTGACAAGCTGTGTAACTAATGTCGTTTAAAGAAACGGGCTGGCGCTTTGACAGAGAGAGGGGGTTCTTGGGAGACCTCCAAGAACTAAGTACCTAAGTATATAGAGTGATGAGGAAGCTCAAATATCCGCTCTCTTCCGTACCCTCATTTTTATACCACCTTGTACTCCCTACATAAGCCTTAGTGTTAGTTATCACTTTATTTTAGGGATGAACAGATTTTGCGTCTTGCTTCTCAACAGGCATATGTACGCTGGGGAGGAATGGGCATACCATATTCAGAGCTGCAAGCGGCTCGTAAACTTTCCCCGTATCCGATATTATGACATCAAATCTTTGTATAATGGCAGCCGCGATAGAAATACCTTCATACGTGGCAAGTGGTCGGCCTAGACAGCTGCGCGGCCCAGCATTCCACGAATGATACTCTGGAGGGAGAGATGAACTAGGTTAGTTTCATTGCCTCATAGTAATCGATGGAGATGACAAAAAGCATTTCAGAAACTTACTGAATGGACTGAAAGATATGCTCTTGCCATCCTCATCGAACCACCGTTCCGGCTTGAACTCGCCTGCGTCGTCTCCCCAAACCTCGGGCATGCGGGAGAGAACATAGTTTTGATAGCTGACAATATCACCCCTGATGTATCTGATGAGGACCAACTCTTGTACTACGGGATAGTACTGGGCGGAGGCTTACTTCTTAATCTTCCGTGGTGGCATATTGAGCTCTGGAACCGCAGGCAGGACGTCATCATCAGCTGCTTCCATCTGCCCCGCTGGAGAGACTGTGTCTAGTCTTGCTGTCTCGTCCCACATGGCGTGAGTGAATCGCATTTTCTATGGATTTTACAAATTAGCTGCGTGGATATACATGGGGTGCTACACTTCTAAATCCGTCTAAACTTACGGACGTATTGGCGTACTCCAAATAGCCACCATCAGCGATTGTTTCCTTCGCCTCCGCGCGAATCTTGTTAACGGCATCGAGGTGTTTGTTATCGTCGTGAAAGATCTCCTTCATCAGCCAGGATGTTGAGTACGCCGTCGTATCACCTGGCGCAATAAATTACCGTCAGTGCTATTCTGGTGGATGGCTTAGGGTTCAATCACACAGGGTAATCACTTACGGCCTGCAATTAGAAATGCAAATATCATGCCGCTGAGCTCATAAGGGTCGTTTGTTGATTGCATGAAAAGATCCAATAGATCAACACCACCTTCCGGGTTATACTGGTACCCAGATGCAGTGGCTTCAATACGCTTCTTCACGAGAGCGTCCATCTGCTCATAAAACAGGTTGACAGCCTGGTCGGTAATTTTGTCTTCCCCGGAGAGCTTCTCAGTTAGTTTCCAGACGGGGTCGCGGCGCCTTCTGTCGAACACTGCAGTTAAGTATCAGCTCCGGCATTCTTCCTACTCGTTTGCCTAGGAATTTAGTAGAAGCTTTCGATATGAAAATGACATACAGTGAGTAGCTTTATCGAATGCCTCGACATACTTGGGAACTGAGTTGAGACTCTCAGGGCTATCGGACATGATATCCAAAGCGAGCTCGTCCTCGTGAAACGCTATCCGCAAAAAGATGCAGAATAGGAAGCGTCCCATCAGCTCTTGGAAGTCAAATTCGGTGTCATTTTTAGCCAGATTAGACAGAAGGCGCATGAGGATGTCTAGCCAGTGGTGCAGAGACTTGGTAATATGTCTCTCGAAATTCTGCTTGCTAAACGCTCGGGTGGCGGCCTTACGTTGGGCCTGCCATTCCTTACCGTCGGCGACGAAGATTCCCGATCGGTGGAGCTTACCAAAGACATTTCGTGTGAATGCGCCCCGGATATAGTTCTTGCTGTTCGTCTTCTGGATGTGCTCGAGATACCGAGGGTGGTTGATCACATGGAGGCGGAAATATGGAACGGTTATTTCGTATGCCGGGCCATAGCGTTGGTAGAGAGAGTACCAAGCCTTACAGCTGGCAGCGCCTTTTGTCTGGAGCTCCTGAGAATTTCCTTTGAAGGCCTGACCCTTGGGCTTTGGTATCCAGTCCCCATTTGCGGAAGACGAAGACAGGATGCCTCTGTTACGGTAGGTCCAGCAGAACCCTGCCATCCATACCCTGTCAGCGAATATTATCCATCCGACTGTAGTGAGTTTGGAAGGTGATAGCTGTCTTCAAACAAGATATTACCTGCAAAAGCGACCCAGGCCAAGATCGCGAAGTATTGAATAACCCCGCCCAGGGATGACATGGTGGCCCGCGAATTAAGCAAAATGTCCATAGTAATCCAAGCCGGGGATGTAGGTTTAGGAAAGGATAAAATACAAAGCGCCACAAAGCAGCTCGTCGTAATTGTCAAAAGTGCAAGGTAGAACTTGGAATATTTGTCCCGGACTCATCTCTCGGCCCAGAATAGAGTAGGCCAATATGTTGAAAACAGAGGCTACATCACGGTCGAACTGAGGGGTACATTGGGCACCATTGTCACGTTACCACTGGTCCCGACTCCCGACTTCAGCTAAGTGACCTAGCATTGGCGGAAGCGGAGGCGGAGGTGTTATGCTGGTTTCCACGTTCCCACGTTTCATTCCACGCAGACACCCTCACCCCGCATCCTAAACGGGGGTTACGATATTCCTAATCAACAGACGTCATTGGACTTTCATCATGAAACTGGAGAAGGCACCAGCGAATCTGGAAAGACCATAACTCAAGGACACCACTCGAAAGTATAGCTGCGGATCCAGGTACGCTCTTCGCTTATCCCACACCGACTGACTGGATCAAAACTGATTTTGGCATTTGGGTGTCTTTGATATTCATTCATTAACGCGGGGGGGGAAGGACGCTGAAAAAAGCCCTTGAGCATACTCGTAGGGTTCTTCTCATACAATCCTCTTTATTTGACTATATTCTCTTAGATTAAATGAAGTTACCATTGCCTAAAATCTTTAATGCAATTTTAATCCCAATCTCCCATCTTCATGCCCACACGTCCTCCTGCAGGAAATTTGGGATGTGTCCCTCCTATCCCTAATTCCACACCTATCGTCCCCCTCAGCCCAGTAAAATATTTGCCCACTCCGCTCTTGGATAAAAGAGGGGTGAAAGACGCTCGCCAAGGTCCTGGGATGTATTTTCCATCAATCTTTCAATTTTTGGAGCGTTTATATATTCGTACAGCCCGGTCTCAAAGTTCCTCTCTTTTCCAGTCTTCCCTGAATTTGTAGATTCACCGTCCAGTTCGATTACGCCTTTGCAAATAGTAGTTCTCAATGCTCCGAGAAGTACTGACTCTTTAGTCGTTCCTTCTTGAAACGTCCCTATTCTGGTAAACTCCAGATCCTGGCCCCTAGCACTGGTGCGCTGGACGATGAGACCGCCTACTCTGTCCCGAGTCCAACGTTTGTCAGGATGCTTTGGTAGATGAAAAATGGGGATCATGGAGGTGGGTAAACCGGAATTCCATGGCTTGTTGAAGCACAGAGTAATCGGTGTCAGTTTCTCTGACCCTGGAAGTGCCCGGCTAGAGCTTTTGAGGAATTCCAAATGGTAAATGGCATTAATTCGTTGTTGAGGAAAGTAGAATGCATTGCAGGAGATGGGATGATAGAACGCTGGGGCTGACTCGTTCTGGCAAATTTCGGCTATTCCCGCAAAATCCGCAGGTATGAGGAAACAGTTCAGGCGTAAAGTCGTATGAGACATGGAATCGAAATTATCCGCGCCTGGAGGAGGATTGACATCAAATTGGCTAAGCATGGCGAGAGCTCGAGGTAGAAAAAGGGACTTGTCAGGCGACATCGTTGTTTCTGCGATGCATTTGGGTCGCTCAAGTGATCTAGGTGGTTCGACTGGTCCAGGGAATGCCATCCATGACCATGATGGAGCTCCTTGTGCGGGCTGTATCGTTCGGACCGCGCAGGTTCTGAGTAGCGCACCATTCCGAGGCCAGAAATTCTTGACCAGCGGTGTCCAGAGAAGGTCAAAGATCCAATACTGGGACCAGATCCCTGCAATGTAATGATCCCTTGGGTTGGCGGCGGACATCATCCGAGAGATGCCTGAGATAGCAGCAAGCCTGTCACTTTCACTCGTCAACCCACACTGGCTGTACTTTTCGACGAGCTTAGGCCAAAGGGCGATACGGAAGTCGTCTGAATCGTGGAAAATCGGCATCCTCCTGACATCCTTGTCTTGCAAAATGTTGGACACAGTCTCGCTCGCGATTACTCCGTCGCACTCCCAGTACAGCTGCTCATTCCCAAGATAGACGATTCGCCGCGAAAGGGTTCTTTCTTGCAAGACCCAGCCTCGTGAGTTGACGAGCGAGTGCGTGACATTGATTTTGAATTCGTCTACATGATTGACGAAGGCACAGCCTGTAGTTGAATAAGCAAGACTTTCGTTCTCGTCGTTTGGTAGAGCTATCGAAAGAGTCTCTCCCCTCCGACTCGGGAACAATGTTGAATCGGCATAATCCCAGCAAATACTTAGAGTAAGAAGAGCATTTTGATAGACATTCAACATCGTTTTGATCTCCCGTAGTAAATCCTCGGGCGAGTCTTGTAAGATACAGAGAGAGTCAATCCACAGAAACTGAACAGACATTTCGCGGCAGATTGATATAATATCTCGATAGTCCTGCGGCAGAATATTGTCGGATTGGAAGGTATAGTATTGTTCACAATTGGTTTGCAAGAGCTTTGGCGTGTCATGCGACCATCTATGTGTAAGAGTAACATATTGGTCGTTCTTTTGACAACACTTTTGGCTTTGGACGATGCGAAACTTCTTGGAATCGGTACCGCCCAGATCTAATAGTCGACTAGGCAAATCTATGTCACCAGTGCCGGTTAAAGATACATCTCGCTTGATACATCCGGGTTGGGTTTTTGTGCAGTGATTGCTCCAATTTTGGATAAAGCGAGCCACTGACCCAGACGTCTGATCGACGTCAATGCCGTAGCTATGCCGAGCTTCTATATTCCGAAAGTATTAGTATCAGTAGCAGGATTCTATCAAGAACTTGAGCCATAGTCTCCAAACGACGCCGGGCATTTCAAGATGAGTCAACATGGAGGGAATTGCGTGAACCACCATGCAAGCACGCACCTTTAAGGGATTCCGATGTCGTGTAACGAACTCGAAACTCATTTGACTCTCGTCTGTTGTCCTTCCCTGTCAAATTAATGTGCAAGGTAAAAGTCAACGTCTCTGCTGAAAACGCCCCCTCGTGCAGCCAACTCTTGAAATCCACGTCGGCTTCTTCATTTGGCGATGCTCGCGGCGAAGATCGTATGGAACGCCACAGGCCCCAGCATATCGCACAATTATAATTCAATGATTTGGAGAAGGACTCCCATGATTGATGCATTGGAACGGGATCAATAATGAGAAAGCCCTCCTCAACAGACTCCCAATCGCCACTCCCGTTCTCGAAGTTGGGACACAATTCCCGGCAGATGTTGCAAAGGGTCATCTTGAATATGCGGAGATCCCAAAATTCAGTGCTCAAGGTGGGTTGCAGTTGCTTGCCCGTGGCAAATTACCAAGGGACAGATCTCTTTGAGCCAATATACACCGCACATTACCCCTCCCAACATGCAACGCGACGCAACAAGAACTCATACAAGTCCTTTTGTTACTAATACAGGCCATGCTTACATTGCAGATTCAATGCCTTGGCATACGATGAGTAATCTCAACTGACTGGCTACGTGATCAACTTTCCTCAAATTCATAAATGACTAAATACTGCACCATCAATATTCGAGACCTCAACTGCAGGATGAATCTCAGAGATTCGCGTTTGGTGCCGGAAGGGCATTATTTAAGTCTCTCATCACCTAGAATTTTCTCCGCGTGTACCTGACCCTCATGTCTGGTTTGGACCACAAAAACTGAACTCTCACATCTCGACTCCAATCAACCTTCTTCCCCAGGCCGAGCTCGTCAATAGCCTCCCAGTCAAAGAGGAAAACCAGCTTACTAAGAATAATTCGCATTTCCAGATATGCTAGATTCTTCCCAAGGCACGTTCTTGGGCCAATTAAGAACGGCTTGGACGCGTCAAGATTATCATCAGCATATCGACGGTTGTATAACTTGTGCGTACTGGGAAGCCATCGTTCCGGGTGGAACTCTTCCGGATCAGCAAAATATCTCTCGCTGTGGCCGAGGGTGTATTGGTGACCCGAGACAATTACCTGACCCGTGAATCAGTTACTTGAGATCAGCAGCGCGTTTAGGACTGTAATGAAGCAACCCACCCCTTCAGGTATGAAATGCCCCTCAACCATAGCGCCGGGGCTGACTCGGGGGACGTTGATCGGCAATGGAATGAAAATTCTCAGAGCTTCTTTAATGACGGCATCGACGTAGACAAGGTCTCTTGTACTTGTTTCGTTGATCTCGCCGTCACTCTGGAACTCCTCTCTGACCTCGTCTTGCAATACGTGCAGACATTCAGGACGCTCGAGGAGGTAATATGTCATCCCTGAAAGCGCGGTGGCGGTAGTCTCAGAGCCAGCGATCAACAGGGAACTTGCGTTGGTACGAAGGAACTCTTCTGACGGGCGCGTCTTCTCATCACTGAGTAAATGTCCAAAAAAGTCAGCCCGATCGTTACCCTTGGCAATCCTTTTCACAATGAGTTCCCTAGCAAACTCTTGATGAAGTTTCCGTTCCTTCTGTAATTTAGAGATAGGCAACATAAAGGGGGCAAGTGGCCAGAGGTATGGCATTCTCCGAAATATATTCACAACTGAGCCCGTGAATAGAACATCCATTAGGGCTGTGACGGCTGGGTTGGATTTAACTAAGAGATTTAGCATACGAATATGTAAAAACTTGCAGGAGTATATGACGAGTACCTTGTTCAACTGCGTGGAAGGATTCGCCGAATGCCAAGTCACCAATGATGTCAAACGTCAGCCAGTTGAACCACTGAACAGTGGTTAGCAAGTCATAAACAGAAGCGAGTGCATCTACATGGAGGAACAAACCTCGTCAACTTGGATCCCATTTTCATGCGATCCATATTTTTCAATCTGTTTCATAAAAAGATCTATATGGGACATAACAAATTGGACCTGCTGGGTGAGTGCCGATTCGCTGAATGAATGAGCAAGCATTTTCCTCGTCTCCCTATGGCGGACAGGGTCTCGTTCCGCCCCGAGGGGTGACATTTCATCAGGATTATCGTAGAATTCGGATTTGAGAAATGGCTTTCTACCCTTACTATGGTTGGTGTGTCCATAAATTTCTTCAAATGCCTGGAATGATGTAAAGAATAGCTCGTTTGGTGCGATACGGATCACATCACCGTATTTCTTCGATGCGTCAAGAAGGGTAAAAGCCCAACGTTTGGACAGCCTAAATCATAAGCCAGGAAGAACAAGTTAAAATGATTCACATGGCCTACCAATTCTTGGCATACCACAATTCAGAAATGGCTGCGAGCTTGGGTCCTGGATACTTGGCAAGTGGATGGAAAAAGTAGTTGTAAAAGCATATCGTAACCTGGTAAGTGAGAGCCTGTAAATCGATTTAGTAAGAGAATAATTAAGACTAATGGCAATCTAGTCTCATTCAGTAACATACTATACAAACCAAGGCAACAGCCACATTTACACTGGTGCTCCATTTAAGGGCCGGGATATCGATCATGTTGAGTGTATCGTTTGCTGTAATATTGAGACAACTACAAAGACGGTAATATTAGAGAAGAAACTCCACAAACTGTAAGTTAATGGAAATGAGAATAAAAGATGAATTCGTGGCATGGACTGCCACATTATATAGTCGTTCGAGTAACTCAATTCAGTGCCCACGCATTAGAGAGACGCCATACTCACTCAATAAGGGATGTAAGCAGTCAAACGTGATTGGTTACTGAGCTTGCGACTTACGAAGAAAAACATGACCAAGAAAATTGGGTAGCAAATCATACACTCTAGGTCGTAGCCTGATTGGGGCTCCCCGCATCAAACGCAACCCACCCATCCCTTCATGACGTGCTCTATGGGCAACGTTCTCGCTTTTTGCTTATTGGAAAAATCACTTTCAGCCAATTGAAAAAGATATACGGTTCATTCACTTGTACAGACGTTGTACTACCAGGTAAACGTGTCGATTTGGTATCACTGGTTATTTGATTATGGTAAATGTTATCGTCTTGTTCCGTTTCAAAATCAACCTAACTACTTCCGCTCGATAAAGTCAAACAGCTTCGGTAGATTCTAAATCCTCGTTAATTGTCATGTGCCGAGAAACAGCTAGAGTGTTGTCAGGAAAGGTTAGTCCCGTTTTGCATCGAAATAAGGCCTCTATCACCCTGCAAAACATACCTGAAGAGCAATCAAGAATGGGCCATTTCGCCACAAATTCGCGACACAGTTTCCAATTTTGCACTTTAAGAATCCTTGGATCAGTTTGATGACCTTCTGTGCTCGCCCAAGTGCCAAGTGAAGTTTCCAAGCAATGCTGTTTATCCAAACGCCCTAGCCGATTGCCTAGCTCGGCGATGATCATTGCTTGAGCGGGATCGAAACTTGAACTGTAAGGAGACTCTGGATTTAGCTTAATATATGACCAGTTCGGACTATTCAAGCAGGAAGACGATGTGGAGCCATTGAAAGATTGGCTGTTCATGGCACTGCGCAACAGCGAGTCGTAGACCCGCACTGCAACGCCTCTCTCAGGCAGTTCGACAACGGCATGAAGGGTCAACTCCCTACATACCACATCCAGATCAAGTACATTCCTAGAAAGAATCAATTGATCTCTTATAGAAGCCCAGGGAATGAAATCGATGATAACTGGGTAATTCATCAAGGAGTGCTGGAGAGATGTTGGTTGGAACGGTTCAGGAACTTCTAGCTTGGATTCCAAACTATTAGACAGTCTCCAAAGCAGTATGCGTTGGAGAGATCTATGGAAATCCTAATTGAATCATTAAGTCAATCACCACATATTTCTTGAGGCATGTGACAAGAAACTTCAACTAACCGAACCATAAATCAAGATTCCGAGTCCAGATAGCTCGCTTATCAGCCTGATTGCGACAGAAGCGAGGCTAGTCTTGATTTCCAATGGGTTCAGCCACAGATCCTTCCAGTCCACGGTATTTTGAGAGATCTGGGACAAGAATTGCTTGCAGGCCCCTTCTACTTTGTCTGCGAATAGGGATTTGGAGTTGACCACGTTAACAGTGCTGTTCAGAGTATAATGATTTGAATAGGAGAGTCCTTGGAGACTAATGTCTCGTATATTCGTAAAATGTTGAACCAATGAATTAGGACTTCTTGGTTGGTCGATCATAGTTTGGTTGTCGCTCGCTGTGTTCAATCCCACAAAATGTGCATCTTGACTGGCCAAAGAGTTGCTCTGGGTGACGTCCATCGGGTTATTAATATGATCAAGCAGCTCTGCATTTGCCTGAGCTCCAGTTATGTTATCGTTGTAATTTTCGACCACCCGTTCCACTTCATCAAACGAATCATCATCTACATACCACAGGATCAGAACGATTTCCCCCACAACTCTCATTCACAACTGCTACATACCAGCAGCAGTCAGCGCGGACTGGCCGATGCTTTGTAACTTTTGGCGAAGTTTGACGAACGATTCGTGAAGTCGTCGGTAGTCTTCAAGTAGCTGTAAATGAGCTCGTAAAAGTCGCTGATTACCGTCGTTTGCATCATCATTCTGCGTTGACTTGACAGCCTCGACAAAAGACTCCAGATAATGCAAATGCAGCTCCGTTTTCTCTCTAAAGCTTCTTTGGGCGGCTTTGTTTTGAGCTTTCTTCTTATCTCGAGCAAGTCGACTAGGTCGGGCCGCCGTGCTGCTTCGCTTGGGACCACTTGTCTGCTGTTCGTGAACCTCGTTCGTTTCAAAGGCAGTCTCCATTGTTTATCATTCACTCATAGCAGAAACAGAACAAACTCAAGTCATCATGGGTTCGTTTAGATTCCTCGGGCGACTTTTCCCGCCTCGGCTACGTCACACGCTTGGGAGATTCCCCGCACTGCATTTATCCGCCTTCATCTATCAGCAAGCACGTGAACTGAATTCATTCGGAAAAAGCCGTCACACGGGTGTGGAAGAGAAAATCTTACGCGCATTATTCCAGTAACCCAGGGCGATGATTGAGCCGAAGTAGGTGGTCCAGTCGGGAGGGGGAGTTGGCGGATAGTGAAAATAATATGATTCAGATCAAGAATCATGGTCACAGGCAGGTTTATTATTGATGACAGTTGTCATGTGTTCACTCGAAGAAATGGGATGCCTAATGTGTTACTGATGAGATGTATCATCGCTTCGTGGAGATAAAGAAGAAAAGAAAAGAAAAGGTAACCATATTTATACTGCCCAGCAGACGTTGTTGATTCTGGCCTATGGATTTCCTAACCTGCATCCAATGTTTAACAACTGCTAGTCTAAACAAGTACAACCCCTCAATGTGATCAATACCATATCAAAAACCACACGGCAACATATATGTTCGGCCACGGCCATGTGTATCAATCGAGAAGAGCTTCGAAAAAGTCCAACTAGATCCCAATTATGGGTCACCTTGAGCGCTATTCTCGATTGGTGGGGTGGTCGATGCTTCGCCCTTCTTTGTTGATGGACGGGTGTTTTTGTATATATTCCATTTACTGAGACGCTCCTTATACGTAGATTCCCTAAGTTCATGTCAGGAAGGAAACAAAATGATCAAGTCGCGCCGTCAGGCTTACCCGGCTTCAAACTGATAACGGTCTTTCATAATTTGGCGGATCTCCCTTAACTTCTTGCCCTCATCTGTGTAGAGATGACCAATGAAGTCTTTGTGCTGCTCCCACTCTTGGTTTGAGTGTCTGTGCTTACGAGCTCTAGGTTGGCCAGATGCTCTTCGTCGATTTGAAGGCATGTCTATAGTGTTCGTAACTCAAGGGTGAGGTTATGTAGTAAGGGGGATAAAAGTGAGGCGGTATGAGAAAAGTAAGACAATGTAAAGGCACTAGGCAATTACTTATGAATGGATGAGAAGAAAAAGTATCATCGAAAAGTTTTGACGACTGCATAGTCAAGTTCTAGCAAAGCCGCATGCGTATGCGGCAACTTCTGCGGGCGCTTCGCGAGTTTCACATTGTAAAGCCAGCTCAGGAAGAATGGGGCGAGAAGTTGGCAGGCGATGACACCAGAGCCAGCCAGATCGCCAGGGCTTCTATTGGTCTTACCATTTTAGGAGCCAAAGAAATATGATGAGTCATAAATCTTCGCAGAAGTCAAGCCGAACTATACTTCCCAGAAAGGGCTTAAATCCGGGGCCTGTACTGATATCCTTGGCGTGTGAGGGCGTTTGTGATAAGTGCTAGAATTCTTACCCTGTTGAGCTGAAGGTAAACCCTGAAAGTCAAGCCACGAATCAGGTCTTCATTGATTATACCTCCGGCTGATAACGTGCGTTATGGCGATTGTTGAGGCGACCTGGAGAGAGCCTAAGTAGCCGTGGTGACTACATATGCGACATCAATAGTAACGGTTACATGCCTGAGACAAGCATAGGTAGTAAATTATTCAAGTCACATACGTATTTATAAGTAGCTCTACTTCCACAAGAACACATACAACTTAGCTTCAGGTTCTAGCGTGTCTAAAGATATCACTTCCTGGCTATAGCTGGCTTAGATAGGCCTGGCGCAAGCCGCTATAATGTATGTCCCTGTAATTTCATTCTTCTGTGATCAGGGAATTCTTGCATACAACTTCGTCATAAGGCAATTGTAAAGTACTGGGGTCAAGAAGCCCCCTAGAAAGAGGATTCATTGGCTTAAGCATGGGAGTGAGAAACGCCCAGGAGAGTAGCGTTGCACTTCACTGAGAAAACCCCGCTACTTGATCTTCCACAGCATTAACGCACATCTAAGTTCCAACAAAGGTAGAGCGGTATGCATCTATCGAGCTTCTTGGCATCTCCGCACTATACACCTCATACCAGGCTAGTATATGCCACGTACAGCCCAGCAGATGAATAAACAGATGTTGTTGCAGAGCCTCATCAATGGCTGTTTGCCACCCTGAAAGATTCCAAACAAGCCTCATAATCCCAAACACTTTGAACAACCCAGTCATCGGGTCAGGACACAACAGCAGACCAATAAAAATGCTTTGATATGCAAGGCCAGGTATTGCTTCTCCAAACCGCTGTTTGATGTCTTCTCATGATGTGGCCTGCTCGACACCATTTCACGTCCATAAAATACGAATTAGTAATACCACTCCCAGGTACTGTACTGACGTCTCAGTACGTATGGGAAAGGTGTGGGCCATGTACCCTTCATACAAGTGGCTGACATTCGGGCTAATTCCGAGGCTTAACTTTGAGGTTGAACCAAGTTGATAGACCAAAGGCAAAAAGCCAAGCCTACTGCCTTGATCATGCATAGGTGACTCTTCACCGAGACGCACGCCCTCATGAGAGGCTAATGAATTCTGGTCGCATTGCGGGCGTTGACCCACCAGGTCATCCCTCCTGCATGATTTTGTTGAGCAGATGAGCAAGGCAGGCCAGCAGGCTTCCCGCTGATCCCGTTTCCTTCTTCTTTATTCATCTTAGGGGACTTTGGTTGCTCAACTTGTTGCTATTTCCCAGACCTGGTTGGTGTGTTCTATCCTAAAATGAAAAAAGTCTGATACAATTCGATAGCTCATCCGAAATCTGAAACGGAATTTTCATAAGATTGGTGGCTGGTACGAAATTATGATCACACCCCCCGTCATTTGTTTACATAGGTGCTTCAATCACACTCCATGACGCCTGACATATGAAATCTGGAGGCCTCATGTCATAGTTCGCATTGGAAGTCAGGCATACACCGCCTGTAGGGGTTAACCTGGCTAAGATCTCGATGCCGGCCGAGGATCTCTTTCCTGCATATCATCCTCAACAGTCAGCCTGATATGCCCATCCATCGGCAAGGTGGATACCGTTTAGATTGCCCCATGCACGGTAACGGCAATATGGCGACATCTTGTTGGCCTGTGCTTTTGCACGCCCCTTTACAGACTACCAGTATTATGGCAGAGGGTTTGCCGGCCGGCAAAGCGAAAGATGGTACAAAGATCAATGTACTAAAGGCCTATCTAGCTTGCTCTCCGGGAAGTCGTTTGTCCAATTTCGAGATTGTTGTGACTTGTCGACTCATATGCAAATCGCCCATTGGATGGCAGAGCTTAGAAGTTGGATGAAAAATGGGACACCGCAATGCTCATTAGTCTACGCCGCACACTAGCCAACAGTCACGCCTCGTACTCGTGTTGAATTGTAGCTTGTCATGAATCCAGTCAGTGAGACGTCGAAGGGGCACGGTGCACGTCCGTCTCCGTCCAGGATGAACCTGCCAGCCCCATCCAGCCACAAGAGGAAAGACGGCTCGGCTCGTGAACGGGACTTCAAACCATGCTCGCTAGTGAGAGGTCTGCCCACCTTCGGCCGGCGAGCAGAAGCCCAGGGTGAGCTTCTTCCCCGCCATGCGTCAGCTCAACATATCACACCACCGTGTTTCCACACACCTGTGCGGCAGAAATTTAAGACTCGCGAGGCATCTTGGTTAGTCTGAGTGCGCCTCGCCCCCAAATTGTAATGTGGCAGTCAAGCAAGGGTGAGAAGCTTTGACATGCTTGGCACTTCAGGTCCACCTCCTTCATGCGCAGAGAGAAACTTCCCGATTCAAGACTCATCGTTCGTCTCGGAGCCTTAGCGAGCTTGACACTAAACCCCAACAGTATTGCTCACGTCGGTTGGGTACCCATCCTTGCAGAGCTGAGAGCCCCAACAAGCTAAAGTCGAAGCAACGGCGGATGTACCGGGATTCACTCGCTTCATCAATCATCACTTGAGCCACATTTTCGTATTACGTGAAAAGGCAGAACGATCTAACCGAATCCTTCCTACTACGCATTCAATCAATAGGCAGCAGGGTGGCGGAGGAGGCTGGGGCTTAACTGGAGGTTGGGTAGGTCAGTGTGTGGCGGGCTACGTACGCCAGTGACTAGGCACGTGCGGGAACAGTACAATGTAACCCAAGAAAACCGCTGTTTCACTCATTGGATCGATCCATATCGTAAACGAAGGTAGTTGGTGTTGTGCAAGCTTAGGTTACATCAACATGGTTGTGGTTGAACTCCGTCTCGAGATTTACGCGATGTCGCACTTCAGATAGTGCTGAGCCCTTACTATATCCATATTTTATGTGATACAGGGAAGTAATGGGGTAAGATGAGTCTCGAATTGGCATCAAATTTTTCTGCGGCTCAACAGGTCTTTTTATTGATCTGGGAGGTAGAATTTCAACATCAAAAGCTGGCCAGCCTCGTCCTGCCAGACCATATTGGGGCCAGATATAGCGAAAACTTTGTGGAATGCGCGATATTCGTTGGGTACCCATATCAGACGGGACTCATTGAAGTTCAACCATTCTGGACCAGCACCAAGACCAAGACGATAGCTCTGACCCTCTTGTGGTTCTATGTTGGTGGTCTCGACAATGTCCTTAGTTACCCGCACAACTTTTCTCTCCACGAGTGGCTTTTGGTGGGTCATGATGCCTTGGAGCCTATACAGACAAGTTCCATTATTAACAGAACAGATTCGAATGAAGTCGTGCTGAGACGCAGACGCATCTAGAGTAGAATCCGATGAAATTGCAACCGAGGTAATGCATGCGTTATGACCAGTCAATCCCCAGCGATGGTTGTACACAGATCCATTAAACGACCAGATCTGGATTGTCTGATCTGCTGACCCTGAAACCACAATATCTGGTGAAAGAGCAATGGCAGTAACACCTCCATTGTGTGCTTTGAGACTTTCGTAATGATAGCTGTCGTCAATCATCGACCATATTCGTACCTTTCTGTCGTCTGAGGCGGTCGCTAGCCTCCTACTATCAGCGTAAAAGGCAAGGGAGTTGATGTATTCCTCATGAGCGCTAAAGGCTTTGAAGAGGCGAAATCCACCGGAGCTAGAAGTGTCTATTGACCAAGCAAAAATGGTCCTGTTGACTGTCGCGGCTCCCACGAAATTCTCGTCGGGGGAGAATTCGGTGTAGTTTATTCCACCAGGCACCTTGATACTGTACAGACACATACTAAGCCCTAAATTTATCCATATTTTGTGTGATACAAAGAAGTAATTTGGTTCTGCCGACTATCATCAAAGCCCTTCATCTCTTGCAGCTCAGTGACTTTGTGGCGTATATAAACACTAACAGCTTCAGCAATGCGTGCCATGCTGAGTTCAAGATTCAATATCGTCTTCCGGCTCGTTGTTTCAAGACGCTCTCCAATATCGGGCTGGGTACGTGAAGATATATCCACTTTGCTCGCATACCTGATGTTTGCCGAGTGATGAAGCGTAGCAGCTTCGGGAGATCCTTGGAGCACTCATCAAGCGCGTCGATTATGAAAACACGCTCTGCCTGTGTATCATGCTCGAGAATATGATCGAGGATCATGACCAAGGTATCAAAGGCATTGGAGTCCTCGAAGAGCCCTTTTCCCGTGACTTTCCATTCATGATAGACGTATTTGGTGAGCGCCCGGTTTTGTCTGACAATCGTGTAGATCAGACCACGAAGCACAGCCAGTGCATTATTGAGGTTTGAGTCTGTGGCCTGGCAGAAAAAGTATGAAACTAATCGCCCATGATGAGGGAGTCGTTCAGTGCTCAGCCCGTCGATCAGCCCACAGAGAAGCATAGTCTTGCCCTTTCCAGGACTTCCCTTGATCCATAACAGCGGTTCGGTGTTTTCGCACCAGAATTTGAACGCCTCATCTTCCAGGGTCCAGCGATACGACGCCTTGAGGAGCCCGCCTTTGGTCGACTCAATTCTTGACTTGTCATTTCGGGGATCAGTCACGCGGAGATCAGCAAGGCATTGGTCGAAGCTTTCCTCGAGTTCCTTATCTGCCTTGTTCCGGGTGACAATTTCATGTTTCAATCTTTCAAACGCCTCTGTTTCGCCCTCGCCGTAGATAGGAACCATATGCACGCCAAAAATACCCATCAGACAGTACGCTTTGTCTTCTGCCTCTGCCGTTTGGCGATTATCGGATCATGACATGCGTTTGTCGACATTGAACGTAGACAGAGACGTTCCTTCTAAAGCCCCAACTGGGATGTTGGTTCTTTCCCTGATTTCACGCTGAAGTGACTTCTTGTCGCCGAGTCTCTGGCCATCAGATGAGAAAAATATGACTTGTGAAGGCGCAAGGAGTTCCTCCAAGGCCCAACCACGGTTGAACCATCTACTTGCACTGGAGTCAGCGACCCAAGACGGTTTTTTTCGGTGCTGTTCGTCTGCACATCACTCATATACACGTAGCAGGCTGCTGCATTCTGATACCAGCGAAACATGCAGTAGATCGCTTCGGTATGTTCAGTGTGATTTGACTTGTCGATGCAGCAAGTGTCCACCCAGAAGTATTCCCAAGCCATCCCGAGCTGCCTGCTCTCCGGCGAACAATATATTTTTATAGCCCGGCTTTTCTCGACACAAGTCTTCCCGGACATTGTAGAATGTGACCTCATCTTCAGGCCTCCCCCAGGTGTGCGATAGTATCCCGTAGGGCGGTATGTCTTCTGGCAGCAGATCTTGAGTGAAAGTCTAGTCACCGCCGACCCCTCGTTGAAGTAAGCGCATTTTGAGAGCTCGTTAGAGGAGGTCGGATTGGCCAGCGAGGTTATTACCAGCCAGTTAACTCATGTCAGTGCTTGTCAAAGTATAAAAGTCACAGGATACGATCCTGGTACCCAATCAAATTGTTCGGTAAAAATGCAAGCTTACCCCTCTCCTACAGTAAACCGTTATTATCGACCTCCCTTTGGGGCTCCTTTGGTGTTCGGCATTCACAAGTTATCTATATTAGATCATATCGGAACAACGATGTGATTTTCTTGCAAGGATATTCGGTAGTAATGGGTTATCCTAATAAGAAATCATTAAACAGTGGGTTAGGCTATGGCTTTAAATTTTCCGATAACTGATTAGACTAAGGAGTCTACTAGGAGAGTTATACTTAACTACCTAGTTTATCTATTATATTTAATTTAACCTCCTAAAGCTCTTAGGTATAGTTGATAAACTTAAATAGAGATTAAAAGAGAATCATTTTAGTTCTACTAAGATGGATGGAATAGCTCTCTTCAGTGGCACAGACGAATCCTCTTCGAAAGCATCTTGTTTGAGAGTATTTAATGTATACAAGACATCTAATGCAGTTGGCTAATCTAGCGTCTGGTCTTCTTTCCACAGCGTTCTGCTTCAGAGCCTTTAAGCAAACAACAGCAAATTGGCTTTGTTTTAACTAATTAGCCATACGTTATGTGACTATCTAAGTACTGACACAGGTACGCCCAGCTGTCGCTTCCGTCCCGAACGGCACGAATGCATTGGATCCATCGCAAGGTGCAGGATAGAACAAATTATCAGCTATCGTTCCATTTGGCCCGACGACATTCAAATCAAGAGAAGCTGGGCCCGCGGCGTTGGCATAAATTAGGCGGATAGGGAAATACTGCTCAGCCACGAGCGTTGTCGTGAACGTAACTTTGCCTGGTCCACCCGTGTAACTCGCAAACGTTTGGTTGTTGTTCTTTTCAAAATCACCGCACGCCACGTCACCGAACCACGCGAGAGCGATATCATCCGCGTTGTCGATGGTAAAGGAGAAGCTGCCTCCTGCACAAGAATACACGAACGTAGCGAATTCAAATGACAGGAAATTCCCAGCTGCGCCGTTGATATCTGAGAAGCTGTCCACCGTTTGTTGACTGCCTGCATTAGGAGTATTTTCCTTGTAGTAAGTCGTGTTGAACCGCTCATTGAAGTTATCCTGGTTGCCAAAGGCATCGGGGTACGTTGCACGTGTTATGCCAGTGGGGCACGCGGGTCTGACACATTCCGACGATATACTTGTAGCTGAACTGGCCGTGGTACTTGGCGTGGAGCTGGGCGTAGGGATGGGCGTAGGGATGGGCGTAGTGATGGGCGTAGTAATAGGTGAGGTGCTTGGCGTAGTACTAGATGATGTACTTGGCGTAGTACTAGATGATGTACTTGGCGTAGTACTAGATGATGTACTTGGCGGAGTATCAGACGAGGTGCTTGGTGGCCCTGGGAATGTCGTGACCGTTGTTGTGCACGGGTGAGTGCAGTCTGGAGGCGGCGTCACGGTAACTGGAGGGCACGGTGCCGTGCTGGTGCAGACACCGGGGACTGTGGTAATAACATCAGGCGGAGTACTAGCAGAGGTGCTTGGTGACGGTGGGAAAGTCGTGACTGTTGTGGTACACGGGTGAGTGCAGTCTGGAGGCGGCGTTACTGTAACTGGAGCACATGGCGCCGTGCTGGTGCAGATCCCGGGGACTGTGGTGATAACATCAGGGGGAGTACTAGCAGAGGTGCTTGGTGATGGTGGGAAAGTCGTGACTGTTGTGGTACACGGGTGAGTGCAGTCTGGAGGCGGCGTCACTGTAACTGGAGCGCAGGATGTGGTTGCTACACAACTCCCCGTAACCGTGGTAGTGACGTCCGGCGGCGGCGCGGACGACCCAGGCGGAGGGTAGGTGATCACGGTCGTGGTACACGGGTGTGTACAGTCGGGAGCTGGCGGGATAGTTGTCACAGCACAAGATGAAGTACTGGTACAACTCTCTGTAACAGTGGTGATTCTGTCAGGGGGGATCGTAGCATTTTCAGGGCAAGAAGTTATTGTCAGAGTGGGCAGTATCCGAGTCGAGACGAAGTTTGGCAACCCATCGACCTGTGCTGCAGCCAGAGCAAACAGCTGAACCATAGCACCAAAAAATACAATTGTAAACCTCATTGTGAATAGGAATGACTGAAGAATGAAGTTGGAGATTTGAGGGTTCGAACAATGGAGGAGATAACGGATTTAGTAGAGATACTATCTACTTCTGCCTCAGTCATATGAGAAGGCGTCAAACAATTTATACGCATGAAGTCTGTGAACTTACTGATCGAGAAAGATGTTTGCCAACCGAATGAATGCGAAATGCCATGAAGCATTCCAAATCTTGGCGTATATCCGTGTTATTTCCCAATCACATTAGACACTTGATTGGATTGAACCTTGGCAAAGAACAGCCCCTGTGAGGTAGGAAAAAGTTCCAATGGTTTCATGTGCCCTCGGGGGATGGACAAAGCCTACCTTGATAAAGATTAGCTACTCCTTCAACGAGTTAGTCCGACGTGAGCAAGACCACCCGGGAATTCCCAAGACATGAGAACGGATGAGTAATGGCTATATCTCTTAGACATGTATCAGAGTTAACCCTTTGGAAGGTCAACATGTCTTACCTATATTCTAGAAAGCACCTCTCAATTGTCCAGGTGCACAAATTTGGCATGTCACCGAGTGGGTGAACTCATTTCTTGATAGAGGCGCCCACAAAAAGCACGCGCTTTGAAGGAATATCACATTCCAAAATGTTCAGGGACACCGATAGATCATCATATTCAAGTTTAGGTGGAAACTGGTTGAAAGAGAGTGATTCAAGATCAAGATTCTGTTGTATATAAGTGTTCATGTTCGCTGGTTAGCTCCAAGTCCAATTAATCGGTAGTATACGCACCTAGCCTTCATCCACTCGTTTCTTACACAGTTTGACAGTCATTACCATTGAGGTGGCCTTTCCAAAATGCATTCTTTTAACCTTGTTCATATCAGCGCTCTTCTTGGGCTCTTGGGAGGAACAGCTACCGCTGTCACTAGCAAGGTGGCAATCCCCCCTGGAGCCCAGATTGTAGAGAAGCAACCTCTCGAGCTTTTTTGTGATGGACCCAATGGGCCATCCTCATCCACGACCACTGTCACAAGGTATGTCGAATCTTGCACTCAGTAAGGACATTATTCATATCTTCCCAGGACCTTAACCCATCCCCCTGGTTCAGCAGGCACAGATGGGCCCATCCTGATCAACGGGCCCGTTGATTTTAGTTGCATTGGGCAGTTCCCAGGTGATTTGGCCTCGGGCCATTATCCCTGCAGGCAATGCGCTAAAACCACGATCACGAGTGACATTGCCGCCTGTCAGACCCGGCTGCCAGGAGTTGATGGCGGTATTCCCACTCTTGTGTTTGTTGTCCCCCATTGCGAAGCATGCGAGACTCGTACTACTACGGGCCCCGTACCTTACGTGACTCAAGTTCCTGCAACTGGAGGCGATGAAAAGGGCACCGTCATTATTTGTGAAGGACCAGCAACAACTAGCTCTGCCAAGGTTCCCAGTTCTGGCCCTGAACACTATAACCCTGGACCGAAGAATTCCAAGGGCGTCGGTTCTGAACCCAGTGCCTCTTCCGGCGTCAATGGTCATGGAATCAACATCGGCTCTAATAGCTCGGCGCCTGGGGGGGTTGGCTCTGGTATGCCCCAGTCTGGCACCTCTCACAAGGACGCTGACAAGGTTGCAGTTTATTTCGTTGGCTTCATGGCAATGTTTGCTGGCTGGATTTAATGCTGGAAAGTTGGGTGGGAGTAGACGGTACAGCATAGTGTAGTTGAATTTATTACATTGTGTAACCCATGATTAGGTACCCACGGGTACCCGATGACGAAGTCTACCTAGTCATTGCATCATCATCTAAGATACCATATTTGCCCTTTGTATTGTTGACTATTTCTTCAACACCACGAAGCCTAGGAGAAAATTGTCGCGTCACTAGCTCAAAGAAATACTTAAAGGCGGCCTGCTCCTCTGATTCCGTAATAATTAATGGTGTCGTGGAAGTGAAGTCATTAGTCAAGTGAGATGTCTCAGAATCGCCCACGTCGGCCAATCAGAAAGGATTGACAAGCCTTGCTTGGAGGGCCTCCCGCATGACGCATCTAACAATTCCTAGCAAATCAAACAGTAGCAGATTTTTCCGTCGAATGGTGAGGTCCTGGCTTTATCTTTCGCTCCCATCCCTCGCTTGTTGGGCTCGATTCTTCCTCTTCCCCCTCCCTCTTTAAAATATTCTTTCCATTTAAGCAGATCAACCGTTCCTAGACACAACCCCTTTGGCCTATAGACTCTCTTCATCGGCTACCCTCTCCTTCCTTCATCATGAAGGTACCCGAGCTCAGTGATGCCAGTCTCAATGGCCTCCGTTCCTTTGACCAGCTGAGCTTGGTCAACGCAATCGACTCTCTCCGCTCATCCGGGATAGACCATTACGTTTCCCTTCCTCAGATTATCGTCTGCGGGGATCAGTCCTCTGGCAAAAGTTCCGTTCTTGAAGCCATTTCCGGGGTTCCTTTCCCGATCAAAAGCACAATCTGCACCCGATTCCCCATCGAGCTCGTTCTTCGAAATGCCCCGGTCGAAGCCCTCGAAGTCCGCATCATCCCACACCAGTCGCGTTCGGAATCCGACCAGCAAAACCTGCTTTCTTTCAATAAAACGCTCGAGAGCTTCTCAGATCTTCCCGAGCTCATAAACTCAGCCAAGTCGGCCATGACGGTTTTGACTCCGGGGATGTCCTTCTCGCGAGATATCCTTCGCATCGAAATCCACGGTCCCGACGGCCCGCACTTGACAATGGTCGACTTGCCAGGGCTGATCCATTCCGAGACCAAGGATCAGTCCGTCGATGATGTGGCCCTCATTCAAGAGGTGGTACAAGGTTACATGAAGGAGGAGAGAACGATCATCCTTGCTGTCGTCTCTGCCAAGAACGACCACGCAAATCAAATCGTTCTCCGCCTCTGCCGAACCATCGACCCCAGAGGCCGTCGCACTCTCGGCATCGTTACAAAACCAGATACTCTGCTTCAAGGATCCCCCACTGAGCAAAAGTTCATCTCGCTTGTGAAGAACGATGACATCAAGTTCAGTCTTGGCTGGCACGTGCTAAGAAATCTCGACTCCGAAGAGGGCAGTTATTTGCTCGAACACCGCAACACCAGGGAGGAGTATTTCTTCTCGCGGGGCAATTGGGCGGGTATTCCTGCTTCGTCTCTGGGAATCAAGAATCTGAAGAGTAGGCTGAGCAAACTACTTGTTCAGCAGATTGCGATCGAGCTCCCTGCTCTGATAACTGAGATAGAGACCAAGTCATCTTGGTGCATCAGCCAACTCAATCAGATGGGCAAACCTAGAGAGAGTATGGAGGAGAAGCGAGCTTACCTGGTTCAACTCAGCCAGAGCTTTCAAAGGCTGGTGACAGCTGCAACCGAAGGCACCTACAACGACAAATTCTTTGCCGACGCCAGTACGAGCTTCGACAAGCGACTCCGTGCAGTCATCCAGAAGCTAAGCATCGCTTTTTCTGCAGAGATGCGTAAGAATGGACGTGGATATGTCGTCTCATCTCAGGGTAAACCGGCCGGATGTAAAGCCCGAGTCGTTACTCACGATCAACTCTGCGAGGAAGTCATGGATCTGGTCGAGAAAACTCGGGGGCGTGAGCTCCCGGGTCTTCTAAACCCGATGATCATCTCGGACCTCTTCCGCAAGCTTTCTTCTCCTTGGGAAGATATAGCCTCATCATATGTTGAGAAAGTCTGGAATGCTACGCAGACCTTTCTCAATCACGCTCTCAAAGCTGTCACAGACATTGGGACCGCGGAGTCCATCATGAATATCACCCTAAGGCCTAAGCTTGTCCGAATCCGCGAAAACCTTCGTAGCAAACTCAATGAGCTCCTGCAGCCACATCAAGAAGGCCATCCCATCACATATCGCGATAACTTTGAAGAAGGTTTCCTCGACGATTTTTCTAACGAGAGAGCCATTAGTGAAGCAATTGAGGGAAAGCTGAGGGTGTATCTCGATGCAGAGCCTTCATCACGTGAAGTCCACATTTCAGGTTCCTTTGATTTGCAAGGTTTACATAAACAACTCTTGGAACTCCATCGCCCATACTTTAGAAATGCCCAATACAATGCCAAAAGTGCAATCAACTACGTTGATAAATACTATGAGGTAGGATTTACTCCAAGGATCGGATGGTCTGGAGCTAATTGAACTTTTCTAGGTCGCTTTGGGGAGGTTGGTTGACGACATTGCTGTTCAAGTCATCGAGTCCAACCTGGTCTCTGCGCTTGAACAGATTCTGGATCCGTTGACTATTGTGAAGATGACGGATTCTGAAATCAATCAAATCGCGGATGAGACCGAGGAAACCCGCGAAACTCGTCAGCTTCTGCAAAAACAACTGGAGACTCTGAATAAAGGAACAGACATCTTTCAAAGGCACCAGAAGTCGGGCATCTTCACCTGTAAGACACTCAAATATGTTTCTCTTTTCTTCCGCGCTTAGTTGAAGTACTTCTAACAAAGATCTTTTTTGAAAGTGGCCCAGGAGCTCCAACAACAGATGGACAAAGAGTCCTTTTGGGACTCTGAAAGTCGTGCGGCCGACATAAAAGCTGACGACGACGCCGAATGTGAGAAATAGAAAACACAGTTTACCATTTTCCTTGCACTATTTGCTAATTATCTTTTTTATTGACACATACAGTTGCAAGGGAGGTGCAATCTATCATGGATGAAGTCCTAGCGGAAGATGAAGCGACAGTCCTACAGGATGGCGAAACTCGCGCTGAAGTTGAAGTCTTAGACGCTGAGGAAGAAGCAAAGCTTGCAGAGCTTGCAAAACTTGAAAGGACACTGGCCAGACGCGGTAAGCTTAAGAGATCTGAGCGTGAGCGATATGCTTTTCTCAAAAACATGGAAACAGCGGCCTAGCCAGACACTACTACACTCTTCCAAAAATATACCGGGCGAAAGGGGTTCGTTTCTGCACGTCGACAGATGTAGATAGATCAATACGAGCTCTAACAAACAAATGGATTCTCCCTCGCGGTTCGCTGTTAGTTAGGTTGAATAGGAGGCGTGATTAGTAGGGCTGGGAGTAACAAGCTGCATTTCCAATGGCCACCTGCCCAAAAAGAATTTACTTCTAGAAGGGCCACACAGCTATACAGAAGGAAATCAATTCAAGAAAAAATTCCACTAATAGATAAAGGCATTCGGATTCATCTGATCTATTTCTCTTGGTAAGAATAGCCTAATGGAATGTAATATTAGTGATTATGTGGGTTTACCTTCTGTGTTCTTAAAATAGCACCCTAAGACCGGCCCCCTGGAAGCAGTCTCAGCGCCTGGAGAGGTGGCTGGTTAAAATGGACATGGCTTGATATCAATCATCTCTTATCAATTATCTATCCACCACTTCAATCCACAAAAAAATGAGGCACAGTGGCTGATATCGCAAATGTGTCCAAGACTTCTTCGCATACTAGAGAAAGAGATCATCCGCAGCGATCGCTCGCCTTGACAAAAGACGGCTGGGCCAGCCGCCTGTAAGCCTCTTCTGTGGTTGAAATTAAACTTGGCTGTAGAAAATTGATGATACTCCCATTGGTGTTGTGTGTTTCTCCACTATCGGATTGTGGGGGGCGGATGAGTAATCAATCCCTTCTTAGGCACGGCGGGAAATGTCCATAGATATTGAAGGGGAAAACTCATCAGAATATCCTCGTATTCGTGAGAGATGGTTAACAGCATGCAGCCAACTAGGAGACAGCAAATAAATGAGCGTTAAATTTTTTAATACACTATCCTCATTAAACATATAATGCCAAGTTGCTTTTTACGCCAACTTGATGAACTTGATTCTCCTTTGTGAGAGTAGTGAAAGTCAGAAGCAATAGGGTAGGACGATGAGAAGATGTCATTTTTGTTCTCCGCTAAATTCTCATAAAAAGATACGATTCAACCCATGAAACACTAGGCTGGTTCAGGAAGGTGTATCGGGTACAAAAAATCTGTGATCGCCGAAGTGGTTGGCTGCCAAGCATTACAGAATCTGCAGTAAGAAATAATACGGTTAAAATAATCTGGCGCGAGAATCTGGCAGGAGGCAGAATGTGACGCCCATTGGTCATACTGGCTGACCATCCACTGCCGGGACCGTTCATTACCAACTCATCAATCTGTAGCAAATAGCGCCCCATGACTGCATGGCCATTTCCCTCAGACTCCAGTCCCCCTGCATCTAGGCCGGAAAGGGAAACGTCCGACTCGGATCGCCTACACGGAGCGGAAGCCCTACGCCTTACTGATCGATCACTAAGGGCCCTGTGCCCATTTTTAGGTCGCTTCAAGCTTATGTGGAATAAGAGAACCGGCCTTGACCTGGCAAGTCGTAAGCCAGTCAGCCCTGGGGCACGCGAGCAGTGTTCGGCGACTGCTGCGGCTGAGGCATGTCGTTGCTCAAAGGGGATTGGCAGGGCTACGATCCAAGACAGGGATGTCTACGCTGCACCGGCAATGCAAAGGAATGTTGACCAAAGTTCCTGAAGTTGTGCCTGGCGTGGACGGAGGAGTCTCGTGCATTTCTAATATTATCCGATCATCACTTTGAGCGTGCATGATGCATCTACTATGTATATGTCGACCATCCGGTCGGGACACTTGCAACCTGTTCCATCATCTTCAAAGCTAATTCTTTTCATTTTTCTTTTCCTTTTTTCCCTTATTTCCTTATTTTTCCTTGTCGGTTTCCCCCCCCCTTTTTCCTTTCCTATCTTTGGATTCTTTGCCATTGTATCCTGGTGATCATGGCGCGCCTACCGAGAGCTCTGCTCTTCCTGGCCTTCCTCGTGTGCTGTTTCATTGGCAGTACATTAGCGACAACACCCCAGATCGACGAACGAGAACTACAGAGCGACGAGAAGCTATCGGCGCTCGCTTCCCGCAATGTTTTCGACTCATGGTCTCCTTCGCTGGACGGCCGGGGGCTGGGAATATTGAAGAAGGCTGCTAGTGCCGTGAAGAAGGTTGCCGCCCCAGCAAAGAAGGCCGCTGCTGCTGTCAAGAAGGTCGTTACGCCCAAGAAGGCCGCTGCTGCTGTCAAGAAAGCCGCTGCACCCAAGAAGGCGGCTGCTGCCGTCAAGAAAGCCGCTGGTGGTGCTAAGAAGTCTGTTGCCAGCAAGAAGACTTCTACACCTAAGAAGGCCGCTACACCAAAGAAGCCTGCCGCCAGCAAGAAGGCTGCTACGCCCAAGAAGGCTTCGACACCTAAGAAGCCTGCCGCCAGCAAGAAAGCGACTACACCCAAGAAGGCCGCTGGTGGAAACAAGGCTGCTACACCTAAGAAGGCTGCTGCCAATAAGAAGGCTGCTGCACCTAAGAAGGCCGTTGGTGGCAAGAAGCCTGCCGGTGGCAAGAAGCCTGCCACTCCAAAGAAGGCTGCTGGCGGCAAGAAGGCTGCTGCTGGGAAGAAGGCCACGACACCCAAGAAGGCCGCTGGCGGTAAGAAGGCTGCCACACCAAAGAAGGCTGCCGGTGGTAAGAAGGCTGCCACACCAAAGAAGGCTGCTGCTGGCAAGAAGGCCACTACACCCAAGAAGGCTGCTGGCGGCAAGAAACCTGCTGCCAACAAGAAGGCCGCTGGTGGTAGGAAGGCTGCTGCACCTAAGAAAGCCGCTGGTGGCAAGAAGCCCGCCGGTGGTAAGAAGGCTGCTACACCAAAGAAGGCTGCTGGTGGCAAGAAGACGGCTGGAGCCAAGAAGTCTCCTGCTGGCACTAAGAAGGCTGCTGGCAACAAGAAAGCAGTTGGAAACAAGAAGACTGCCGGTGCGAAGAAACCTTCTGGCAATAAGAAGGCTGGCAGTAAGAAGGCAGTTGGAAACAAGAAGACTGCAGGTAACAAGAAGGCTGCTGGTGCTAAGAAGACTGCTGGTGCCAAGAAGCCTTCCGGCAACAAGAAGGCAGTTGGTAACAAGAAGACTGCCGGAGCCAAGAAATCTGGTGCCAAGAAGTCTCCTGCTGGCACTAAGAAGGCTGCTGGCAACAAGAAAGCAGTTGGTAACAAGAAGACTCCAGCTGGTGCCAAGAAGTCCAGTGCTAAGAAGCCTTCCGGCAACAAGAAGGCTGCTGGTGCTAAGAAGACTGCTGGTGCCAAGAAGCCTTCCGGCAACAAGAAGGCAGTTGGTAACAAGAAGACTGCCGGAGCCAAGAAATCTGGTGCCAAGAAGTCTCCTGCTGGTGCCAAGAAGTCTGCTGCTAAGAAGCCTTCCGGAAACAAGAAGGCTGCTGGTGCCAAGAAGCCTTCCGGCAACAAGAAAGCAGTTGGAAACAAGAAGACTGCCGGTGCGAAGAAATCTGGTGCTAAGAAGTCTCCTGCTGGTGCTAAGAAGTCTACCACCAAAAAGGCTGCTAGCAACAAGAAGGCAGTTGGCAACAAGAAGACTGCTGGTTCCAAAAAACCTTCCAACAACAAGAAGGCTGGTGCTAAGAAGACTGCCGGCAACAAGAAGACCGTCGGAAACAAGAAGGCCTCTGGCAACAAGAAGTCCCCTGGTGCCAAGAAACCTGCTGGTGTGAAGAAGGCTTCCGGTAGCAAGAAGACTGGCAACAAGGCTGTTGGCAAGAAGGCCGGCAACAAGAAGTCTCCTGGTGCTAAGAAGTCTGCTGGTAACAAGAAGGCAGTTAGCAACAAAAAGACTGCCGGTGCAAAGAAACCTTCTGGCAATAAGAAGGCTGGCAGCAAGAAGGCAGTTGGAAACAAGAAGACTGCAGGTAACAAGAAGGCCGGCAATAAAGCTGTTAGCAAGAATGGCAGCAAGAAGGCCAGCGGCAATAAGAAGACCGCTGGCAACAAGAAGGCCGGTGCTAAGAAGTCTCCTGCTGGCAGCAAGAAGTCCGGTACTAAGAAGACCCCTGGCAAGAAGGCCGGAAACACCAAGGCTGCTGGCAAGAAGACTACCAACAAGAAGGCCGCTGGCAAGAAGGCCGGTAGTAAGACTGTTGGCAAGAAGGCTGGCAACAAGAAGTCTCCTGCTGGTAGCAAGAAGTCCAGTGCTAAGAAGACCCCTGGCAAGAAGACCGGAAACACCAAGGCTGCTGGAAAGAAGGCAGGCAACAAGAAGACTTCTGGAAAGAAGGCCGGTAACAAAGCTGTTGGCAAGAATAGCAACAGGAAGGCCGGTAGCAAGAAGGCAGCTGGAGCAAAGAAGTCTCCCGCTGGCAGCAAGAAGGCTGGTGCCAAGAAGTCTCCTGGTAACAAGAAGGCAGTTGGCAACAAGAAGACTGCCGGTAACAAGAAGACTCCTGGCAAGAAGGCCGGAAACAAGAATGCTGCTGCTGGTAAGAAGGCCGGTGACAAGTCAGCCGGAAGCCCCAAGTCGAAATCGAAGTCAGCACCCAGCTGCATGATTGGCGGCAAGGCGAAGCGAGGTGACGAGTGCCTGATCGGAGCCCACAAGGAGGGTGGTCTCGGCATTGACCGTGATGCCTCCATGGGCTTGAAGAAGGGCGACGAGACCGTTTACAACTCAAGGATCAATAGGCAGGGCGAGGGTGCCGACAAGGAAATCACCAACGGCGGACTTTACGGAGTGGCCTCGGACGCCATGGACGAAATGCAAGCCAAGCACAAGAACTACGGTGGTGAAAAGCCGGGAGTCATGACGGCCATGGTGGCTGATGGTGGCAAAGGCGACAAGGTCTACCTCGGAAGTTCCCAAAACAACGGCGAGTCCTTGATCCACAAGACAGAGAAGGGCGAGAACGGCGAAGACAAACTCAAGTACCCCGAGACGAACAGACTGGTCACGGAGGCCGAGGAGGCCGCCAAGGGCACGAGGCCTGGCCTGACGGAGGGCGCAGACCCCAAGCATGGAAACAACGCCAAGTGTGGCGAGGAGTCGTGCATTGGCATGTGGGAGAAGGACAACCCGGGCAAGACGCTGAACGAGGCAGACGCCAGATTCGTGACGGTTCATCGTTCTGGCGGAGAGAACAAGATTATCCCTCCCTGCGACGGTAAAGACGGTAAAGGCATCGGCTGCAAGTCCGTCCTAGCGCATGGAGGTGCCTCAGATGCCGATAAGGATGCTACGCAAAAGGAACCATACCATCTCGGCAACGACTATTCAACAACTAACATGGAATTGGGAGCCAAGGATGGCGGCAAGGAGCGTGAGGACAAGGCCGGTAGAGAAGCTGCTGAGGCGGCGAGATTGGAAGAAAACAGGAGGAAGAAGGCGGAGAAGCAGGCAAAGAAGGATGCCAAGAAGGGGAGGAAGCCGCAAGCCGAAGGAGAGGCCAGCGCGGAGTAACTGAATAACGAGGACGGCAGATGGAACCCAACGCCGGGGTTTGTTTCTGCACATTAAATTCTTCTTCTTTTTCTTCTTTTTTTCTTCTTCATTTTATTTTTCATCTTCTTTTTCAATTCTTATTTATAGTTTGATCATTCATCTTCATATAGAACAAGCGAGCCATCCAATTGACTTTTATCATCTATTAATCGATCTTATTGTGACTCATTGTAATGCCCTGGTCAAATCTAAGCAAGCTACCTTGTATGATTGATTAGGTGCGTAGGATTGAATCCCAACGCCATGGACATAAATCTGGACTTGCCGGTCTCTGCCCTGCTGCTGGCTGACTCCGCCGATATCCATCTTCATCCTCAGCTAATCCTTTTCGCGAACATTTGCCCACTGGTGAGCCTCTGAAGACTATGAGGCGCTCCAAACCTGGCCAGCCGCATTTGCCAACAGACCATCGTAATACCAGGCCTCCCCGCTCGTCGATCGTTAACCGTCAAACGGGAGTTGCTTTGTCGGATGCGTTTATTATCGTGATGGAAGTAGAGGCGACAATTAAACATATCCACGTAGGTGTCTGTGTCTTACAAATCTTGTAAATTATGCATTGAAATACCATCGTGTCGCAGTTGTTACATCTAACCAGTAATCCCAATCAATCGTTATCCCGCCCACCAGGGTCCAAAGCTTTTCTCATTTTAATCAGTTGTAAGAATATAACTCTAACCAAAGGAATAACCGGTAGCTAGTAGTTATACCGAGTCGACACTCGTATATTGAAATCGTCATCAGTATAGATAGCCATGGTAGCATCGAAATCTACGCGCTCAAATATGGGCGCAAACATGTCGTCGGCGAAGAAGATGAGGTCACGCAATAGAGGCAATTGCGTGGGAATGTTGTCGCACAGCGCCTCGATGTGATTGTCTATCGCCTCAGCTGGCGCGAAGCCGGTTCCGTACTCCTCAAAATATGGCTGCTGCCATCTGACCACGTCATTGAGAAGCAGGTCGTCCGAGAGAGCAAGAGTTTTGACAGTGGGAGGAACACCATCCTCCATAGGTAACGGGGTCTCTCCAAAACCAGCAAGAGATACGAATGGCACCTCGAGATAAGTGAGTCCGCGAAAGCCGGCAAGGCCAGCCAACGACCCTGTGACGTTGAGTTCTGGTTTGAAAATGGGACTGATGATCGGCCCAATCTCCAGCCGAATTCGTAGCTCCTCCAGCGTGCCTCTGACAAGCGAGAGGCTCTCGATGAGATTTTCAAAGTTCAGCTCCATCGTATTTCCAGGGTCATCTGTCTCGTCACAGGTCCAGGTCCAGGTAAGCGACTTGAGATTCCGTGTCAAGGCAAGAATTTTCGCCAGGTTATCTTCGGAGAGCCGCTCAATATCTAACGAGGTCAGATGATCAAGATTGGGTTCACCTGCTGGCCATTCAAATACAGGAGGGTTTGGGATCCAAGCCTTAATGCTCGTGAGTGTTGGCAGATAAAATAGAGATATTACGTCTGGGAATATCTTGTTGTTCTTGTTTTCCACATTATCGACATACTTGTAGTATGTGACCTCCCTGAGCTGTTCAAATCTAGAGAGTCCAGACCCGCCCAAGGCTTTGGACTGGATGACCTTGCCGATAATCTCGCGCTCGTTGATGAAGCCCCGTGTCACAGCCAGGCGCTTTGACTTGGAGAGCCCGGCGAGGAACATAGCGTAGAGAGCCTCCACGGACGTGGCGCTCGAGTTCAACTTTGCGATCCACCAGTCGGTATATGGCACCTTGGTCTTTTTGATGGCATCGACGCACTGCTCAACAGGGATATCGACGCTATTTAGGTCCAGTGGACGGATAAATTCACCCTTAGGGCCCAACCCATCCATATAGACGTCATCTATGTAGTCCCAGAGCTTTGGTCGTTGTAATAAGGTGCGGAGAAGAGGAATGATTCGGGGGGTACGACCATACTCCGCTTCTATCCTGATGGTAGAGTACAGAAAGGGCTCAGCGAATTCGCGGAGGGATCTGTTGGTGAGGCAGAGATTTAAAAGATCAGAGGTCGGGACGAAGCCCAAGATGTGGTTGGCGATTTCAACCGGGATATCGGCGAGCGGCGACATGGTGCGCGTTCCGCTTGATGAGTTTGATTGTGAGGAGAATGAACGGTCGCAAAAACAGACGATGAGTGAGAGCGGGGTCAGGTCGAGGGTCCCTTGCGCGTGATATTTAGCACCTCTGCCTTTGTACCGGGTGGGCGATCGGAATGGGGGGTAAAGCCCGGCCGGTCAGTGCGTATTTTTAGAGCAAGTGCAGCTGTGTCTTACTACGACTCCTCCCATGATTCCTAGGCACGAGCATCATCCATATGACGGCGGTGTGGGTGGGGAAGAGGATTGTCGCACACAGAATGCTCAGTGGGCAGCGTCAATCCAAGCATAATATTACACAGCACCGAAACACTACTAGGCGATTCAAATGGGGGCTAAAGTCAAGGTAGTTGGATCGGTAGGTATTTTTAGAGCTGTCGCATAGTGGGCCGCAGCTTAATGCTCAGCCCATTACCTCATGCAAGCTCATGTTACTAAGGTACGTTAGTCAGGCTGCTAGATCCCGCAAGAGGCAAAGGACGTCCAAAACGTCTGATGCTTCTAACGAGGAGATATATAAATACAGGGCCGAATTTTCTCACGGAGGGTCGAGGTCAGGGAGGGGGAGCTGTCTGGGCTAATCTGAGACCATCATGAGTGGACTAGCCAGGTCTTATCAGGGTTTTAACACGTACATATGTAGAGTTGGAGAGATAGGAGGAGATAGAGGGACAGAGAGAGTTGATTAGAGACATTAAGAGGAAGGAAATAATAGAAAAGGAGGGTGTTATAATACGTAGCAAGGTAAGTAGCTGGCCATGCGAGCCTGGCGCCGGAAGAAACTATCTACATAGAATTTGGATTTAGCCTTGATGATTGCTCCTGTCTTAGCATATATGGGCATAATTCACGCCCTGATGTGCCAGAAGAGATATCTGGCGGATAATCTGGATAAGTCCGGTGTTGGCTGGAGCACTGTGGCGCCGCGAAGGGCCATTTTGACATCGGCGTCGATAAACGCGATCTTGGTCCGGGTACTCTCTAAGACAAGAATCGACCGTATCACTGTTCATCTCAGTCGCAGCTCACCTTTGTCTTCGCTAGGGTTAGGGAGCGTCAAAGCAGTATAAGCTGAAAAGCCTTAATTAGAGATGGATCATGATTCGTTGGTGACAGCATTGGAGATGAACGCTTCAGTGATGTGCGAATGACGAAGAAGTGACTCTAAACCGATTATCCTCGACTCGGATCTTGGCAATCGTTATGTCTTAGAATGTTTATGTGAGATATGCTATGTTACATCTTGCAGACTACACATCTAGTGCTAGACCAGGAATCAGGGGATCAATCAAGCCTAAGTCTCTCTCTCTACTAATAGCGAATCGGCCTACACGGGGCACAGCTGCCCGATAACGACAGAATGACAGGTTAGAGGCAACTCAGGACACTTTCCACAATCGCTAATGAAGGATACCTGAATAATTATTAACGGATCTGTACTAATTCAACGTCGCACTTGACACGGGTCGCATCACATATCAGTATCCATTGAATTGGCTCACTGAGTGAGGACGGTTGGCCAGCTATCTGCGGATAAGAGTCCGGCCTGCTTTAGCCCGTGATTGAAGGCTGATTCGTGGAACCAGCATGGAGTCACGCCTATAAGGAGAGCAGCTAGCTATCAAACTCGCGGTACGTTCCAACATGACTGGGGTGATGATGCTCCCTGAGTTGGTGTTGTTAGGTCCCCCTTAGGGTTGTTATACTAAAAGCACTATGTTGGCTCTTATGTTGGTAATAGAATTTTCTTAACCTACAACATAATGTTAGGCTTATGACAATGTACGACCTGTGTGACTGTGTTATGGCCAAAACCTTTATAGCTTCCTCACATTCCTTTTCTCTTACAACAGGTCTGGCTTACAGATAGCGAGGTTAGCCACACAACTATTGCTCGTTTTGACGGAAGACAAAGAGGATGGGGTCCTACAAATTAACTGTTGCGATAGTAGACAACGAGGTTAGTTTTCGACGAATTAGCCACCACTCCGGATGGCAGCCACGCCGGCTGCATATCAATTGCTCGTCTCAACCCAAGACAGCTAGGTCAGGTTCTTGGCGATTCGCCGGCATGATGGGAAGCAACCAGGTCGGCGTTTCACGCCTTAAATGTTGTAACAGCCGACAAAGAGGTCAGCTTAATAGCGGTCGCCCGTCATATTACAAGACAGATAGGTCAGGCCCGTGTAAGCTTAACCACCGTAGCCGCCGACTACTAGGCCTAGCTTACAACTATCACTCGTCACTACGCACGGTAGAGAGGGCAGGCCTATTGCAATTGCTCATCCTAAAGGACGGTAGAGTGGTTAGGCTCGTACGAATTGACTGGCTCGAGAAACGACCCTTAGTTCAGATTGGTACCAATCGTTCGTCCTAATAGCAGACAGAAATGCCAGGCCCTGTTATAAAGAACGGACGATTGCTACTACAAACTGTCTGCTGTCGAGGCGAGGGATTGCTGTAAGCCGGGCCTAATAGTAAGCTGTTCCAATTGTCAATTTGTAATGCCTCGGCCTTTTTGCCTTCCGTCAAGACCGACCTAACAGTAATATTTAACGACAGCTACCCAGTCCGTAAAGACCTGGCTTTCACGTCTGCTCTTGAGACGTGAGATTACTACGAATCTGACGTCTTTCTTCATAACGAGTAATAGCTGTAACTCGGACTATCAGTCATCCATTAAGATAGTTAATTCGTAGCAGACACATAGGGTTGGTTCCTACCAATTGGCTCCGTAGCTGCTGAATACGAGGCCCGGGTCGTTGGGTAAATCACTCGTCTAAGTAGACCACGGAGAGGTCAGGTTCACAAAGATCGCTCGTCACAACTTGAGATCTTGATAGACTCCTCGCTATTTGATTGTCATAGCTGCTGACTGCTCAGCCCGGCTTACAACGATCACTTGTCGCGAGGGTTGGCAGCAGCCTGCTCCTTCCTCTTCAACCCGGCTTCATGTTCGTGATAGCCTCAACCACGTATTTCCAATTTTAAACAATTCTATATTTAGACATATCAATCCACAATGAAACACTTATTCAACCGCAATAGAAGGTTTAAGGAAGCGCTTGAGATAATGCTAGGCGCCTTTGAATCGATAGACAGTCTTTTTGCCTCTGTAATGATGGCGAGCCCTGTTTGTCACCCAGGGATGGAGCCAGGGACCCCGGTTGCAAGCACCTTGTGAGTAGCAAGGAATAGCTAGCGTTAGAGTACTTCGCTGACGTCGCTGAGAAGGCCGGTATGCCCTTGTACAACGGATCATAGTTTGCAGCCTTCCTGAAATGATCCTCGACGTTGATTACAATCGCGACGGTAGCGTTGTTAGTTGCGATAAGTTACTACAAATTCGGTCATGCATCAGAGTTAGTACTCCCGATGGCGATTTCTAAAGGCCGGAACGTAGCAACGAGGGACAAGATCCTTGTGGCAAGGCTCTGACGACGACATGTGGGTACGGGTATTTTACCTTGCGGTCGAGTTTCATATGGGAAATTTGATTGAACGAAGCCCGAGATTTTCTGGCCGGCCCGGAGATGACACGAATGAACTTAGATGTCGCTTTTACTTAGTTTTCGTCGACTTTGAGCACCATCTTGCCAAATTTCTCCCCTTTCCATACTCGCAACAATGCTTGAGGTGCCAAATCCAAACCTACAAGGACCTCCTCCTTGGTCTTGATCTTCCCCTCCATCATCCATGTGACGATATCCTTACCAAACGTTTCTAAATATTTAACATGCCTTTCATCAGAGCAGATGAATCCATGCATCGATAATCGTTTCAGGAACATCTGCCCAAGATTGCGGATGCCGTACATCTCTCCCCAGGGGAGGTTGTACTGGGATACCATCCCAGAAGAAACTGAATCGAATATCAGTATCATGCCTAATACCGAGTGGTGATTGAGAACACTTACCAATCGTTCCATAGTTGTTCAAGTGATGCAAGGCCGTATCAAGCTGCTCTCCGCCAACGTTATCATAGTACACATCCAACCCCTCCGGCGCCAGCCTCTTAAGAGCATCGTCAGTCTTCTCCTCTTTATAGTTCCAGGCACCATCATAGCCCAGCTCGTTTACCACAAAGTCCACCTTCTCCTGGCTGCCCGTGCTACCAATCACCTTCATCCCGTGGATCTTGCCCAGCTGGCCGACAATCTGCCCAACGCCGCCGCTCGCGGCCGATACAAACATCACCTTACCTTTAGGCTCCTTGACAAACTCGTTGAAGCTAATGTATGCGGACAGACCTGCGATGCCGAGGCCGCCGACGAGGGTCTCAGGACGGAGCTGGGGCGGGAGCGGCGGGAAGACACGGCACCAATGGGCGAACTCGGGCCCTACTATGGAGTATTCGCTGGCCGAGGCCATTGCGCTAACCAGGTCTCCCGGCTTGAAGGCTGGGTTGTCACTCTTGAGCACGGTAGATAATGTGGTGACCTGGGCAGGCTCGTCAATCACCCAGGGGACGGAGTAGGTGCCATTGTCGCCTGGTGCGCGCATCTGACCACGCATATACGGGTCAAATGAGAGGTGGGAGTTCTTGATTGTGAGGCCGCCGGCTGGAGGGGGAGCCTCGGGATCGAACGGGCGGTCCTCCACTGCGAGATGCTCCCCAATGACTGGCTCATAGGGGGTGTACTTCTTGTAGATTAAGCTCTTATTGCGAACCATGATTGAGACTAATCAGAAGTTCTTTGCTGGGGAAAAAATAGTGTCTTTGGGGATCTGTATGGGGTGATGGAGGTACTCGAGGGGGGTAGAGCAACGAGTATGAAATGGGGTATTTATCCGCTAGATGCACAGAACTCAACTTGTCTTGAAGACAACCGCGCTTCCCCAACAGTTTGTCCGGAGGCAACCGTCAATAAAGTGGAATCATACATAAAACAAGTGGGTTGTCACTGGATGCAGAAGGGAAACTTCAAACAGTAATCCTCTGGAACAAACAACTGTCACGAGGCAAGTAACTTGCTCGTTGGTTCAATTTTAATCTCGGGGGTTCCGCTAATATGCATGAGAACTTATGATTACGGCTTCCCGAGTGTGATTATGAGGTGAGCCTGGCGGCTGGTTGGTTTAAGCAGACCGCGCGTTTGTGGATGTGTTCCGACTTTGCCACACGACTGCATAATCCAGGCTGTTGCATGGGAGAGGGAATGGGATCCTGGCATGCAATACCGATAATGGACGCCTGCAATGCAACCAGAATTATGAAATCAAAACCTTATCCACCGGTACTTCTCGGCCAAAAAAATGTGGACGGAGAGTCGTCAGTTCCGATGGCCCGGTCATTTATGATGCCAAGAGGAGGTAATCGGGTGATTGGGCGTTATTGACACGTGCGGAAAGGAGCGCGCTGTTACATACCCGATGAGGAACGCGATCTGATCCTGCATATTTATTTATGAACTATCAATTACGTGTAAGTACTAGCTTGTGCTATCTGCAAGCGCCTATGATTATACTGGCAAATTACTCGAATACTTCTGATGATGTGGACCTCGACCTGCCTGTACGCTGACATGATGATGAGGACCCTCCTCCAGGATCTGATACTGACTTGAGTTGTGCTGCTCATATCGACCTTGGAGTGATGCAAGCTGGTGAGAATCGTTGGATCTGCCAGAGGATCCGCCAAGCTTCTTGGAGGAGTATCCAACTGTGCCCTTGGCAGTGTTCACCGCGCTCATGAAAAGGGGGCGGAGGGTTGGTAGACAGGCAGCAATCAGATAGCAGCCCGCCTCGACTACGGACCAGATGACGAGCTCTGCGGTATCCCACGTTCCATCTTCCAGTCCTGTCATGCGGAAGGCTACTTTGAGGCGGATGATGGACGACACCATGCCCCTTGAAGAAGTTAGCCAAGGCCACTGATGAGTGTGGGTGACATGTGATATTAGGTACTTACAAGCTGCCAAGAGCAAAGATGAAGATCAGCGCAACCTTTTGCTTAGTCTGGATCTGGAGGTTCCAAATCACAGGCAGTGGGAGGAAGAGCATGACTGCATCTGTAACAATGTTGGGCACGCTCATGCCTTTCCAGTAGGAGACGATATCCCTGCAGTTGCCGGGGAACTTCAGAAGGTCCCATCGTCCTGCGAACGTATCGCACATAGCGAAGGATGCAATAATGCCGGCAATTGCGGTGGCTGTAACAATGCACCCAATCGCGTAGGTGGCGTAGCGGTAGGGCTTTGTCGTAAAGATTCGCAGGTAGGATGCCAGGATCGAGAGTTTCGGGAGGGCGATGGCAGCGCAGTAGGTCGTCTCCATAGCATACGCGCACTTTGCCCAGTTCTGCACGGCGGTGAGATCTGTCTGGATGAGTACGGCGAGGTGACGGCCAACGCCAGCGAGTTTGATCTCGACGATGGCCACTGCGCACATGCCCAGACTGAACACCAGGGCAGGCAGAATCAGGTAGTCATCGAGACCGAGTTTCGCCTGGTACTTCATGCGCGTAATCAGGCGCATGCCGACAACGAGGACCTCCAGGACGATGAAGACGCAAGAGACCACAAGCACTGAATCGCTGATGGACTCCTCAGCGTACCCCTCCGGGAAGGCTGCGGTTTGGTTGGTGGACATGATGTGCGCTTTGCCAGAAACTAAGAGGATCAGCGCCAAGGAATGATGACGCCGGAAGCAAAGACGAGGATGGACACAGGCAAAGGAATGAATTCGACGCTTCAGAATCAGAGCAACGGAAAGAAAAGTCGGTCATCGTAACGGGATGCCTAAACACATGGCGTTATATGCAGACTGCCCGAGAAATCCTACCATCGTCATCAATGCAACATATCTCGCCCTCCAGGGAAAGGATTCCTTCACTGCCATTCACCGAAACCAAGAATATTCATGTCTCACGTTGGACGGTTAGAATAGAGAAGGATTTGGGGAACTAACTCCCGTCCGGCCCAATAAGCGGCTGGAACGCGGACGGAGACCTGCAGTCTACAGGTTGACCCAGTAATTCCTCTTAGACTGATCCACCTAAACTGATCCAAGGGGAGGAGAAGAGGTGGGCTGAAGTCCCAGAAGTTCCGAGCATCTATCGTCTTGGCTGTGCCTCTCCCGCCCTCTCTCTGGCCCCCGCCAGGTCTGACTGGGCCCCCGGCCATGGCTCGACTTTTCAGATCCTTGTTCAATAGTGGTCTCGCCAACTGATAAAGAGAATTTCTTCTTCAGATGTTCCGTATCGGTCTTTTCTTGCGAGATTTGTGCAACAAGACTTTTGCCTCACCTAAAATCCAGGGCCGGGGACGAATCTCGGCATCACAGCTGAGGATGTAACGCTGTCAGCTTCAGCCTGACCCTGTCTCCGTATAGGATGGGGAAAGTTGCGCGAGCCGCTCTGGGCAATGTAACCCTAGATGAATGTACGCGCCACCGCTCTACCGATTCGGGCTTTTCGTAAGATCGGCGGGCCAGATGACACCACTCCAGCCAGTGCCCTCACATAAACTACTGGCTTTCTTTTTATGCAAACCCCAAATAGGTTTTGATTTTGTGCATCGCGACACGCTTAAGCCGATCCACCTTGAACCGAAATAAGTTCCAAATTCGCCGTCAGGCCATATGCTCGAGCGGCCAGTGTTCCTTCCAACTTGCAGATGATGTCTAACTCTGTTCGATGCATGCCGACAACTGATTTCCTGAATCGATGCGGTTCATGCCTCACTGTTTCGGTTTAGTATCCACTTCCTCGGATCCTAAGCTCTCGGACCCCGTCTTGCCACAGAAGCCGGTTGAACCCGGCAGTCAACCTCAGGTCAGTACTCTGAGGGACCAAGAGGATTCAAGGAGATTGCCATGGACCAGCGTGCTGTGAATTTTTTGATGCCATATTGGTCTACACTACTGGTGTGTGGATCGTGTCTCCAAAGTCGATTTACTCTGCCACCGCATCGGCTGTGTGCATTGCTCCCCTCACCCCACTCCCGACGTATACTAGACGTAGCATGATAGTAAGAGTGAAGTGGAATCCAATCAAGGCGCTTGCGAATCCACGCCCAGCGGTAGGAATCAGTCATCTCCAAGCATTGTGTCCCGATAAACGTACGAAGATATGGGGCCTCCTTCCTATACGGGGGGGGCGCTCTGTTGTTCTAGACTTTGTAACTTGTCACTTTCTGAGCCGTCCAGCGGTGTTTATCTTCCATGATGTATCTTTGGGGGCCCGAGTCGGTCCAGCGTGTCTCGCTCTTCCAAACTACAGCATTCTCTGGTTTGTGGGCAGTTAACCTGAGCTCTCCTTCTCCTCCGACACAGCCGAGAACATATCCAAAATGAGCAGCCCAAATATGCAGCAAGGGCCCGAGCCTGTGGCCATCATCGGAATGGGTGAGAAGTGACCCAGCACTCTGGTTCATCTCAGCTGAATCTTCAGCTCGTGGCTAACGTACCCCCCACAGGTTGCCGCATGCCTGGTGGTGTTCACAACCCACATGACCTCTGGCAGCTTCTCATGTCGAGGGGCATTGCTAATACCGATCGGGTCCCCAGTTCACGATTTAACATCGACGGCTATCTTCACCAGAGTTTAGAACGTCCCGGAAGCTTCAACGTGTCGGGAGGCTACTTCCTTGACGATGATCTTCAGGGATTTGAACCGAAGGTGTTCAGCCTCTCACCTGTCGAGGCACTATGGATGGACCCCCAGCAGAAGAAGCTTCTCGAGGTCGTCTATGAAGCTTTTGAAAGCAGTGGCACCAAGCTTCAGGATGTGGCCGGAAAGAAGACGGGCTGCTACATCGGGAATTTCACGCAGGACTTCCAGCACATGGCGGGTAAGGAGCCTGATTTCAATCACAAAGTCGTCGCCAATGGTGTCGACCCGGGTATGGTCGCGAACCGCCTGAGCTATGTCTTTGATCTGAAAGGCCCAAGGTAAGACCAACTGCCAAGTTGCCCCAGTAGCTCGTTTTTTTTTTTTTTTTTTTTTTACTGACTCTGGCACAGTATGATGCTCAACACCGCATGTTCATCTTCACTGTACGCGCTGGATCTCGCCTGCAAAGCTATTGCCGCTGGGCAATGTGATAGTGCAATCGTAGGAGGAACCAACCTGATTATCGCGCCGGACCAACAGATGAACACAGCGAGAATGGGCGTAATGTCACGTACAAACCAATCCCACACATTTGACGTAACAGCAGACGGCTATGGGCGAGCGGAGGGTGTCGGGGCACTCTACATCAAGCCCCTCAGCGCAGCTCTCGAGAATGGCGACCCTATTCGTGCCATTATCCGCTCAACAGCATCAAATTTGTAAGTTTAATATCGGGGAGACCTTTTATGTCGCGATGCTAGACAAAATAGTCGCATTTCACTAACTTTGGCGTAGCAATGGTAGAGGCACGGGGGGCATCACACATCCCAGTGTGGATGGACAGGCCAGGGTCATGAGAGCTGCGTATGAAATGGCAAGGCTGGATCCAAAAGATACGTTCTATGTCGAGTGTCATGGTACGGGAACACCCGTCGGCGATCCCATCGAGGTGAAGGCAGTACACCGAGCTATGGGCACCACCAGATCGTCGGACAACCCTGTGATGGTTGGAAGTGTAGGTCCTAATCAAAACGTCTAATGCGAGAGATCATACTGACAAGGCAATAGGTGAAACCCAACATCGGCCATAGCGAGTCTGCCAGTAGCATGGGAACCCTAATCAAGGCTGTTTTGTCTCTGGAAAATGGCGTAATACCTCCCACGGCGGGTATCACCAAATTAAATCCAAGCAGTATGCCATCGACCCTAGCACTCATCCAATTCAACCAGCATCCTGACTAACTTATAAATAGTTCCTTGGGACGACGTTAATGTCCGGGTCGTAATGGAGCCTACGCCATTCCCGACTTCAATGCCATACCGCAGAATTGGCGTGAGCGCCTTTGGCTATGGCGGCACAAACTCCCACGCCATCCTAGAGAGCTATGATGATGCAGCTCACTCCTTCGGGCGTAGATCAAATTGGATCCAAAGTGTTCCTGCATTGAATGGCAATGGGACTAATGGTGTTACAATCGACAGGCCTCATCTGCTGCTCTTCTCGGCTCACGATGAGGTCACACTGAAACATATTCTGACCAACCATTCAACAAGTTGCAATGACGCCAAGATGGTCGACTTATCTTACACCTTGGCTGCCAGGAGGACAAAGCATTCCAAGAGGGCGTTTGTAATTGCCAGAAAGCATACACTCGAAGCCGATATTGCTGGGGCAGACGCAAATATCACTTCGGAACCAAAGGCACCAGCTACCCCAGCTTTCGTTTTCACCGGTGCGTTTGTGGAAACAATATGCCTCTCGATAGTCACGATGCTAACTACCACAATCTCTAGGCCAGGGCTCTCAATGGGCCGCCATGGGCGCCACTCTGATCGACGATTTCCCATCCTTCAGGCAATCAATTCAGAAGCTTGACCAGCACTTGGCCACCCTTTGCCATCCTCCGTCTTGGAAGATTGAGAGCGTACTAAAAGAGCCAGAGGAGACTAGCCTGATCAACGAGGCAGAGTTCTCCCAGCCTATATGCACTGCGCTACAGATCGCCCTGGTTGACTTGTTGGCCAGATGGGGAATCAAACCAGCCGCAACTGTTGGACATTCCTCGGGTAGGTCGTATCCTTGCGTGGAAATGCCCAATTGTGGTCAATGGAATCCTTGCTAACATCCTACACTAGGTGAAATGGGAGCCGCATACGCTGCCGGCCGAATTTCAGCCCAAGACGCCATCACTGCCGCTTACTATCGCGGCATTGCAGCAGCATCGTTGAAGACGAACGGGGCAATGCTGGCGGTCGGCTTGGGAGCAGAAGAGTCTCAGAAATATATCGATGAGTCGATTGCTAAAGGGAAGGTCGTGGTGGCCTGCCACAACTCGCCTAGTTCCAGTACGCTCAGTGGTGATCGAGACGGCATTGAAAGCCTGAAAGCGATTCTAGATGAGAACAAGGTGTTCGCCCGAGTCCTCAAGACCGGTGGAAAAGCATATCATTCTCATTTCATGAAGGATGGTGCCCTGACCTATGCGGACTATCTGGAGAAGGAAACCAACATCACAACGACCCCCTTCCAGAAGAAACCGTGGTTTTCAAGTCTCAAGGCAAAGGCAATCAGGGACGATGAAGGACCCGTGCCTGACTCTTACTGGGTCGACAACCTCAACAACCCGGTGCTCTTCAACCAAGCTGTAAAGCTGATGCTAGAGAGCATGCCCGAAGTGAACACTCTGATTGAGGTTGGGCCACACTCCTCATTGGAAGGCCCGCTCAGACAAATATGCCAGGCAGCGAAGAAGAAGGACGTGATCTACTTCCCAACCCTAAAGAGAAAGGAGAACAGCACCGAACAACTGTTCCGGCTGGCAGGCCGTCTATGGGCCAACGATGGGGATATGGATCTGAGTGCTGTCACCGGTTTAGAAAAGGTATCTGAGCAGGGAGAGATCTTCACTGAGCGCGGGACGTTGCTAGTCGACCTCCCATCGTACCACTGGACATACTCCAAGAAATATTTCGCAGAGTCACGAATCAGCAAAGAGCATCGTGGCATGAAGGAGCCACGCCACGATATTCTCGGCCGCCGTGTTCCCGGTACATCAGCGCTCGAACCCATGTGGCGCAACATCTTGCGTCAGGGCGACTTACCCTGGCTTGTACAGCACAAGGTGGCTGGCGAGGTTCTTATGCCTGGAGCTGGATATCTTGCATTGGCCATTGAAGCAATGACTCAGATCAATGATCAAGCAGAAGAGCCACTGGTTGTTGAAAGCTTCACCATTCGGAATTTAGCAATTGCAACAGCTACTGTTATCCCAGATGATGACACTGGGACCGAGACAATCTTCGTCATGCGACCTCTAACGAGGAAGCTTGAGGTCTCCGCCGATCACAAAACAGGCCAGTGGTATGAGTTCGCTCTCTCGTGCTATTCTTACGGAACCTGGAAGGAGGCCGTTCGGGGCAAGATAGCCATCAACGTCAAAGGCCCTGCGGCTATTCAACCTCCCCAACCTCTGCCAGAGACGCCGGATAAGATGGAGTATCTGGACTGGCTCAACAAACTCCGAGCCCTGGGAATCGAGCTGGGACCAGTCTTTCACCACATTAGCAACATCTACAGCGATGGAAAGTCGCATGCAGCGCGCGGAGACATGAAGATTGCCAAAGAGTGCGGCCTCATGGAGGGAGAGTCACGATATGCTCTGCACCCAACTGTGCTGGACTCGATTGTGCAGCCGGCCACTTTTGTTGCTCACAACGGCGTGATTGATGACCTGCGAACGGGCACGATTCCCACTCACTTCGGCGAGGTGACGGTTTACCCGCCAACAGACGACCAAATCGCAAAGGAGGGTGCCTTGAAGGTGTGGGCGACAAACGTGGGGAATAGAGCGTTTTCCTGCAGCTGCGAGTTGATCGCGCACGACGGATCGTTGATTGCTGAGTTTTCCGACTGTGATAGCTTGCTCTACAGCGCGGCGGTGCCTCCTGAGTATCAGGGCTACCTGCAGAAGGACCTGTACCAGAAGATGGATTACAAGATCGATGTGGATTACCTCAAATGGGCTGATGAGGCTGGTGCACTCTCATCTGATACATTAGTAACTGTTCTCAGTGCACTCATCTTTAAAGACCCAACCAAGCGAGTTCTTGCCCTTGACGAGTCCCTGATTCCTCAACTGCTTCGTACAGAGTCACTGCTCAAGATCAATGTTGCCGCTGGATCTCAAGAGATTGCCGAATCCATCAATCGTCAGTATTCGTACTCGGATGCTTTTGACGTCATTCAATTCGACTTGAAATCCTCTGATCCCAGTACCCTTGCAACAAAGTATGATCTGGCTGTTTTCTCAGCCTCCGAAGTTCCCGAACAACAGATCTTGGATCGCATTCGCGGTGTGCTCACGGATAAAGGGCAACTGCTGCTTCACGTTTCAGGCTCATTTGAGCTAGAGAAGTGGCAAGAGGCACTCAAGAGTTCCGGTTTCTCTGGCACTCAGTTGAGTCTTTCTGGAGGTACAATCTTGACTAGAGTTGTTGGGTTGCCTAATGGGCACACTAATGGTGACGCCAACGGACACGCCAATGGCGCTTCTACTCCGAACAAACCGACCGTTTCGATTATATACAAGGAAGAGCCTACCGCGTTTGTTTCTAAAGTTTCTGAGGAGCTTATTTCTCAGGGATGGGAGATCCGCCTTCAGAAGCTCGACTCATATAAACCAGTAGAGGCCGAGCGGGTCGTCATGCTGGCAGATGCAGAAGGCCCACTCCTTGCAACACTTGAAGAAGCACAGCTGGAGATCCTCAAGGGAATAACGGAATCTGTCCAATCCATCGTCTGGGTAACCTGTGGTGGACTTATGTCTGGTGATAAGCCTGAATTTGGTATGGCCGAGGGCTTCGCGCGCGTTATCCGTGCTGAAAAGACGTCCCTTGACCTCGTAACCGTTGATTACGATGTTGAGCAGACCTCCAATGCCCGCGTAGCTACCTTCGTTGCCGATATACTTAGAAGGCAACAAGATCTAGGCAAGAATGGCGAGAACGAATACTGTCTCCAGTGCGGGGCGGTGTATGTCGGGCGGCTGGTTGCAGACCGTGGGCTAAACAGGCAGTTTGCCCCCGACTCTGGCGAGGCAGTCACTCTATATCAACGGGACGGACCATCTGTTCGCGCTTCTATCAGTGAAGGTGTCATTTCCTACAGAGCTGACCGCAGAGAAAGAGCAGTCGGAGCCGACGAGGTCAAGGTTCATGTGGAGGCCATCGGCCTCTCCGCAGAAGACGGATCTGATGGGCGTACATTCCTAAACCATGAGTTGGCAGGAACCGTCATATCAGTAGGCGAAAACGTGACGCACATAGAGCCAGGGTCCAAAGTTATCGGTTTCGCCGTAGATAACCTGTCGACGTACCAGGTCACTCCATCCAACCTTGTTCAACCACTAACAACGTCCGCCTCCATGGTTGAGGCGGCCACTATCCCATCAGCCTTCTCCACCGTGATTTATGGCCTTGAAGAGCTCGCCAAAGCCGAAGAGGGTGAAACAGTGGCTATCGTTGATGGCATGGGTGCTGTCGGGCTTGCTGCCATTCAGTGGTGCAAGCTTCTAGGTGTTTTAGTTGTGGTCATTGCCACTTCCGACTCTACCGAGGGCCTTCTTCTTGAACAGGGCCTGGTGCCCAAGGAGCGGATTGTGTTGGCTGTGGGTGGTGGGCTTTCAGCGAAACTGAAGGTAGCGACCGGCGGAAAGGGCATCGATGTTTTGCTCTGCTCAGCAACCTCGGATGAGACAATCATCACCGAGTGTGGGCGAAATCTGGCACACTCCGCGAGAGTAGTGTCGTGCGGCGCTACAGATGAGCAGTCAGAGGCTTTGGCTGACTTGCCAGTCATCAAGATGCGCCTGAGCGTTTTCCACTTCGACTTGGTAGACCTCCTTCGTCATCGACCCAGAGTCGTAGCAAGGCAGGTTTCTCAATCAACTCCGTACTGGATTGATACTGACAGTTAACAGAACTCTTCAAAAATGCGTCGACGCCTTTGAAAAGGGCAACATCAAGCCGTTGACACCCATTTCTATAATCAAACCTCCCAAGATCGAACATTTCATCCAGAGCGGTCCTCAAGAGCTTAGCTCCGGTAAACGAGTTCTATCCTATGGTGAGGATGTATCGTTCAACGTAAGATTCCGATTTACTTCCAGGAATGAAGTCCAAAGCGAGGCTAAATTATGCGTGATGCCAGGCTCTCCCTTCGACAATGCCTCTCAAGTTTAGAGAGGACGCGACCTACCTCATGGTAGGCTGTCTTGGTGGGTTAGGAGTGCACATTGCGCTCTGGATGGCCGAAAGAGGAGCCAATCATCTGGCCTTTGTTTCGCGTGGCGGAACGGCCAAGGCAGAAGCAGCACAAACCGTGCAGACTCTCATCGATATAGGGGTCGATGTGAAGATTTTACGTGCTGACATCCAGAACAAAAAGGAGCTATCAGACGCTCTCGAGCAGGTCGATGAAAACTTCCCCATCCGTGGTGTTATAAATGCTGCCACCGTCTTACGTGATGGCCTTTTCCGCAACATGTCATTTCAAGATTGGCGAGCGGTTGCAAGTACCAAGATGGTTGGTACCTGGAATCTTCACGAGATCTTCTCCGAGCCCGGGCAGCTCGACTTCTTTGTCGTGACAAGCTCCGTCACTGCAACTTTGGGCTCTAGTGGACAGGCTAATTATGGTGCTGGTAAGTATAAGACACATTCCCTATCCATGTAGAGTCACGCCAAAAGTTTTCTTGTTAACAATATCACAGCCAATCGATTCCTCGACCACCTCTGCCACCACCGCCAAGTCCGTGGACTTCCAGCTGTCTCCCTAATCTTACCTGCTATCTTTGGCATCGGATACCTGCTTGCATTCCCCGAGATCGCGAAATCCATTCGATCAAAGGGCATGTACGGCATTTGGAAACAAGAAATGCTCGAGGCTTTCGAGGTTGCCATGACTCCTCATAGCCTTGTACCGGACGTGTATCATATTGTTGTTGGAGTCCAGCCTCGACGTTACGGCCCTGCAATCAAAGCGGCAAGCGGAGACATCTCACTGGAGGGCGAGATGCGTCTTAGTTGGATACTTCAGGCCATCAAGGAGCAAACTGGCGATACGGGCTCGACGCAGACGGAGGGTGCAACCAGTGGAGTTAGCCCTCTACTTGCCATACAGCGCGCGGCCACTATTGAGGAGGCTGCCGAGGCTGTGACTGATATCCTCGCCCGTCGCTTAGCGCGTCTCATGATGATGGAATTAGACTCAATCCACACAACCGGAAAATCAGTGGCGAGCCACGGACTGGACAGCATGATTGGTGCCGAGTTCCGCAACTGGATCTTCCGTGAGTTCAAGGTTGATGTGCCCTTTCAGCAGCTACTTGCAGGGAGTTTGACGGTGTCGGAACTGGCCCGCACCTTGAGTGAAAGAGTAAAGGAAAGTCACAAGTGAGCGTACATTACCTTTGATGTAGGCAGGCAATTTAAGACTTAGTATATATTCAATTAACTAGAAAAATTGAAGAATACAACACGTGGCCCTTTTGGCTCAGTGACTGCATTTCATCTCCCTCCTCTCCTTTCTACCTGCTCTGGAAGCACAACGGACCTTGACGCGTCTTTATCCATTATCGATCTGCATTAAACAGTTAGAGCTTCAACGACTCCGTTTTGTATCCACATATCAAATGCCTTAGCTGTGACTCTCACCAATTGTTTCTCGGGGTGATTCGTGACACGAATGATATACCTACACCCACTCGTTATGTACGTAAATACCTATTGATGCGCAGTAAAATCATCGCCCCTTACTATATAAAAACATACTGGGGGTCAGCCTTGAAATACAGGGCTTGTGTCTACGTTAAGCTACGTCGAGAAAACCGGAGAAGAAGTCCCATGAGTCACCTTGCCAAGGATCGGCGAATAAGATGGTGTCGGCTGTCGGTCTGGGTGCCTGCTTTCCAGCTACAATTCTACCATGCTACCCATCTCCCATTCGATGTCTAAGCGTTAGGTAACGACATTCGTCCGCAGGCTTTATTGTCCACTGATCAACTTGAACTAGCAATGAGACTGTATGGGAGATGATGATCCAATGATGTGAACTGACCAGCATACATGGTTCAAGCATACGAGATAAGCAACGTTGGATGTGAATGATGATCCCGAGTTACCTTTTTCCGAGGGGCGCTTCATGGAACCAAGCTCAGAATAGAAGCTGCCCTGCCACTTCATGGCCCCTGGAAGATTTGCGGATGACAAGCCGAAACCCATCTTAGCTTGGCGCGTAGCCCTAGAATAAGCATAATCCAAGCCACCGCCAACAACCAAAGCTCTCACGGAGTTGGATGTTGGTGTTGAGTGTGCGCAATCCGCAACATGGCGTATGGCTAAGCATTGTGACTGAAATTTTCTTCTCTTGTTATTGACGCTCTCAACTACTCAATTAAAGGACTTCCAGTGTTTTCTCAGGCAGGCCCCTGTTTCAAGTTTTGAGTTGTGGAGCGGTCAGATTATGGGCTCGCGTCGTTTAGTCCTAGTTTGGCAACGCATGAAAATATCCTGCAGTGCCGTACTGAAGTGCTTATTTTAAGTAACATGGGGCTGAGTTTCGAGCGGATGCCCTACGGCTTTTGCCCCATACGGCACGCAGTCGGCAAGGTCATGATCCATGTAGCCTGGGTTGATTTGGGGCAAAAGAAGTCGGGGCTGAGCTCTCATCTCAGCGATTCTCTTGGCCTGCCTGATTTGGTAAAGATGAGCCTAGGCTGGCGATCTATGCCGTCTCATCTAATTCTTCTCGCGCATGGGCATTTCATATAAAGGATCTGCCAAACCTTTCCATCTATCCAAGTGTTCCAGTGCTCAAGTCACCAACTTCCCAAACCAACACACCCTCGTTAAACATGTTGTCTCTCAAATCTCTTCTTCTCTTTGCTAGCGCTGCCGCAGCTCGTGTCATCTCCCTCGACGGCAGGGCTGTAGATGAAAACTTGCCCTGCGGAAACGATGTGGTCCCAGACGAGTTGTACGACATGACGGCTGCCATCGCGGCCAAGAGATCTCTACGCTCCCGAAAGACCTGTGGCGCAAACAAGACCTCAACTGTGCAGGTGTATTTCCATGTTGTCGACAATGGTTCCAACAGCACGGTTATCAAGGTAGGGTTTTCCCCTTGCCCCTGGAGTTGGCAATCTTTTGTACTGACATGATTCAACAGGACAGCGATATCGATAGACAGATGCGACTGATTGACGAAGAGTTCAGCAAGCACGGGTTCCACATGAAGCTTGCCAACGTCTCCCGCACTTCCAACCGCGACTGGGCCCAGGACGCCAACAGCACAGGAGTCACAAACATGAAGAACACTCTCCGTCGAGGCCGATATCGCGATCTCAATGTTTATATTGTTGATAGCATTAATAACGTATGTGCTACGAGATGCCTCTCTTGCTTAGGAAAAAAGCTAACCATAAACAGGGCACCCAGAACGGCAACTGCCACTATCCCACCGCAAACCATCCCGAAGGGTCTCGTGAATTCCTGAGAGATGGCTGTGTCATTCGAAACTTTGTCGTTCCCAAGACCGATGAAGCAGCAACTGTCGAGGGCAAGGGCAAGACTCTGATCCACGAGGTCGGTCACTGGTTCGGTCTCATCCATACTTTCGAGGGCGGTTGCGACAAGGGCGACGAGGTCGACGATACCCCTCCTCAGGTAGCCTCCAGCACCATTTGCGGCTTGCCTGCGAAGACCTGCCCCGGCGCAGCTGCCGTTCTCTTCAAGAACTACATGGACTACAGCCCAGGGTAAGATTGAACTATCTGTTGCAACTTGGCTGATCACATTGCTAATAAGTGTTTATTGCAGAGCGTGCCGAGATTCTTTCACTCCTGGCCAGGTTGAGAGAATGAAGGGTTTCTGGACCAACTACCGACTTAAATAAAGAGGGGAGATGATAGGTGCTATAATATGATTCCGGGGGCGGTTCCCCGAGGTGTTTGATTATGGTTGAGGTTAAGAATTGTTCATCATCATGAGGGTAAATTGTAATTTTTGTACAACTATAGAAGAATTTAATTTATAGAAGACCTCATCAAGTATTCTACTCGTGGTGGAAAAGATTGTGATGTGATTTGATGCCTCGGACCCAAACTTTTCACCTTTCTTGGTGAGACTCCCTTGTCCGAAGCCGGCTGCAGCCTTATTATGAAACGTTTATTGATTTGAATGCTATTCAAAAGAAAGAAACTCGGCGATCTTATTCTCCCTCAATCCATATGTGCTGAGCATTTAGGAACCTTTTTCAAGCGGCTGACTGAAGATCTAATGCAAAAGTTTCAACCATCTAGTCACGAGAAACCAAGAGCCGGGGCCCTCGTCGTATCTAAGACTTAGAACAAAGATCAAAGGTTTAGCTGTGATACCTTGGCTGCAGGAAGTAGTTTTTATCAATAGCAAAGCCCAGCCAAATAATCATCTGAATCCCTTTGTAGCTGCGTGGTAAGAGGCGTTCAGGAGGAAGAAAGGATATACCTGAGCTTACTGAAAGAACAAACTAAGGGTTAAATAAAACACGGATTGATTAAGCTGCACTTCTGATCAAAATGATCATGTTGAGAGAAAAGTAGAGGTCCATTGAATTAATTCGCGTACTTGACCTCTTAGTATGCTCGAGACAATGTGAATATCACCGGACGATGCATCAACAAACAGGCTGATAACGAACAAACTTTAGCTGCCTATTATAAAAAGAAAGAAATGAACAGTTACGATGAGGCTTTTCCCAACAATGCGATGTTATGATCTCTAAAATGGGTGCGCGCAAAAAAATGGGAGGCAGTATAGGGTAGGCACAAGACGCGCTCAATCAAAGCATCCAATCTCCGACCTGGCGACCGCATCATGATGCCAAGAAGATGCCAAGACTGTTTATGAGGATCTAGAGCCGGCCATGAACGATGCTAGTCACTATCTTGGGGTTCTGGACGGAGGGAATGGGCTGGGTAGAGGAGGTGGGCGATTGCAGAGCTCCACCCAGGTGTTTGGGGTCGATCGCACATGAACCTGCGCTGGTTGATTTTTTAGGCACAGATCGTACCTGTGATGACATCTATCCAATCCGATCATGTTCCCATCATGCACCGCCAGAGCAGATGCTTGGTGTCTGTTATTTTTGGGCTGGAGGCTGCATTAGGGGGGAAACTGTGGCGGAGGGAGCCAAAAACATTTACAGCGCGATTAGCAGCACCGTTAGCGGTGCCATGAGCCACAAACTCCATAATTAGTTGTGGTGGTTCACGGAAAGTGGCGGTGGCTTGGGCGGCTAATCAAGGGCAGAATGTGCGGGAGGAAGAAAGCCCCCGGCGATTCCCGTTTGTTTGTTCGGGCAGGCAATTCAATCCATGCAGCACAGCTGGCGCCTAAGACAAACCAGCACAAGTCGACCTAGAAACACGATACGAGCATTCACGGCGGACCGATCGGGCTTAGCTGACCCGACTATTGGCAGCGCGCCTGGGGCAGGGCAGATTGTCTGCAGGGACGTGTCACGCCGTTTCGCGCTCCATGTGCAATAGTAGCCTGCTGGTCGGGAATAGTCTGTTCAGCTCCTGACACGGCCTTCGCGTAAGATTTCTATTCTTACCTCTAGCCCCTTGGCGGGAGTCGCCAGCGACAGCCAGCGGCCGGCTTGAGGGGGAGGGGGAGGAATGGGGCTTACCGTAGGGCTGGAGAGTGCCCATCCGACCACCAAACTGAGCAGCTCGGATTGATCTTACAGCAGCAGCGTCTGCCTACAAGGTACAGGCTGTCACACATCTCGCATGCAGGTCTGGCAGTAGCTGGTGATTGGCTGCATCCCGGACGAATCGGTGGTAACCACGGCAGCCCATAGCCACCTTGGCCCAGGCCAAGCCCACCAGCCAGCTGGTAATCAGCATGCAGCCATCATGCGGTGGGCAGCAGCAGGTAGCGAGCGGGCGGTGGAATCAATGGCGTCTTGCTCGCAGAGCCAGGCAGTCGAGCCCGGTCTGGCGATGATAGACTTCACTTCGAGAATGAAGAGCCTAGGTGCAAGACGGCGGCCGCTGCACCGCACCGTTGGGCAGGCAAGACAGTGAGCGAATGGGCAATCCCAGATGAAAGAATGCTTAAGCTTGATTGACTGACTCTGCCGGAATAGCCGCTAAACTCAGCCACGGCAGGCCAGACTGCTGATCGCCGAGCTTGTCTCTGCCTAGCTGCAGCTCTAAACCCATGCCATGGCTTTGGCTAGGCCTAGAACCTGCGGCACTTGTCGAAATGCAGCCTTCAGCCGCCGCCACAAAGGCGCTGCGTCCAGGTGATGGTGATGACTGGTCCAGATTTGCCAATGGGTGGCCTGTGAGCTGTGCTCAGTTGTAGCTCGCGTTCAGCTTATTTGTATTAATTCTCTTTATCTCGCCAGTCCCGTCCTGTTCTTGATCCTGTCCTGCCACCTGTTCTTCGACCTCTCACTCCATCACCATCCATCCATCCTCCTCTCCAGACTTACCTCGTCAACATCCAGCAAGCATGCGCTTCACCACTGCTCTCATGCTCGGCCTGGCTGCCCGAGGCGGCCTGGCCCAGAGCTCAGCTGTCATCGCCCCCGTACCGACTTCAGCCGTTGTTATTGCACCCACATCGCAGGCACAGGCACCGACGAGCGCTGCCCAACCTGTTGCCAGCAGCCAGGCTCCCGTCCAGCAGAGCTCTGTTGCTCCGGTTCAGTCCTCAGCAGTAATTCGCACATCGGCAGCAGCCACGTCGGCAGCGGCCACCTCCGTTCCAGTGCGTTTTCTTTTCCACAGCTCACCCACGAGGGTATCGTGCTAACCTTACCTCGCAGGTCATCGCCTCCTCGGTAGTACAGGCCAGCTCTAATGCCGTACAGAGCAGTGTTTCTGCCTCCCGATCGCAAACACAAAGCGCCGTGGTCTCCGTCGTCTCGAGCGTGGTTGGAGTCACAAGTGTCATCAGTGGATCAACCGTTGTTGGATCGACTCTCATCCAGGTCACGACAACCGCCACCCGAGCTTCAGGCACTGCTACCTCAACCGCCTCCAGCGCTTCATCCAGCATCGCATCTGCCCTGCCTGTTCCTATGAAGGACTCAGTGCTGACCCAGAATACTCAACTCACCCAAGTGGAGGGACAGCCTGCAGTGTAAGTCCCAAATCAATTAGAAACAAGGAAGAATTTACCCGCTGACCACCGTCCTTCTCCAGGGTCATGAACGCTCCCACCTGGGGCCAAGCATCGTACTACGTCAACGCCGAGAAGCCCAAGGACGTCCCCCAGACCGAGAAGGTCAGGATCCTCGCCACCCTCCTCATCACGGTTCCGGCCGCCAAGCGATCCTGGTGGAAGCGCCAGTCCACCACCGCGGGCTGCGACCTGAGCATGACCGTCGATGGCACCCAGGCCTACCAGACCAGCCTCAGCAAGGACAGCACCACTGCCCAGGGCGGCAAGCTGGAACTGAGCAGCGAGGCCGTCCAGGCCGGCACCCAGCAGCCCAAGCTGGAGTTCTCCCAGACCTGTCGCCAGGAGCCCGTCCAGGTGACCGTCTACCAGCTCACCATCACCGGCGAGAAGAGCAACGTCCAGACCCCCATCAACCCCAACCAGGTCAACAACAACACCAACTCGGGGAACAACTCGAGCGGCAAGGACAAGGACGGCGCCGGCTCTTCCCTGGCTGCCGGTAGCTTCACCGCCCTCGGCGTCGCTGCCGTCGTCGCCTTTTTCCTGTAGATGCGACGCGACTCCCAGCTTTGTTGCTTCCTTTCACAATGGCGTTCGTTTCAGTAAAATATCTGAATCTTGGATGATAGATAATGTAATTTATGATTTCTTTTGGGCAATTTTTTTTTTTTTTTTTTTTTTTTTTTTTCATTTGGCGAAATATTCTCTTCTCAAGAGAGCGAGGCATGATAACGTGGAGCGAACAGTTTTATTATAGAATGGTCCATTAGTTCACACTCATCTATCCGTCACCAATCTACATATTTATTTTTATTTTATTTTACACATGCCTGCAATTGTCTGCCTTGCGTGATGTCCACACTAGTATGTTTTGGGAAAGATGACCGACAACCTTCTCGATTCATCTCCTGCGACGGTGAGACGGGCGATGGTGAGGCGAGCTGGAGGCGAGATTGAGATGCGACTTTAGGCATCAGCGGAGAAAAGGGGCGAACGAGGCCATGTTTCCGTGCAATTCATCTCCAGATGTCTTGGAAGAGGGTATTTTGGCTGCGAGACATGGCTGGCAGATGGAGAGCAGCTGTAGGGCTGAGGCCAGGGGAGCGATCATCGCATTCCGTCTCCACTGGCAGATCTGCAGCACTGAAGTTGCTGCCAGAGTCTTGGGGGACCTTTAGTTTACGATGCCGAAATGTGCGGTCATTGTCTCTCCTATAGGCAAACAATCTACCTGACTGCTATTATTGTTATGATTATCGTGCTGCCTCCCGGTCGAGAAAGGAGGCGATACTCATCCATCGCTGAGAGCTACTGGTCGTCCATCAACCGTTGCCCGGCTTCTTGGGTCAGCCCCCGCCCGGCAGAAACATTAATTAGCTTGACCGTTGGCATACCAAAGGGCCAATAACGGCGTTGAACTTCAGTCGTACCGATCGACCTAGCTCTATCAATACCTGGAATGGGCCACACCGGGTACTTGACCCCCTGTCAGCCAGCTGCTAAGCCTCATGACAGCGCGACATATTGGGAGTATGGGGTCTGTTATAAGAAGGATGCCCCTCTCCAACCCTGGCAATGGACTGGACAATTACCATTTGCTTCTCGCACCCAAGCCGGCGTCAATTGTGCATGCTCCTCATCCATAGACAGCAATATACAAATCCACACGAAGCGCCATCTGAGTAGCTCAGACGCGACAATGGGTGGTGTCCCGAGAAGCCAAGGCTGCCAAACGTGCAAGCAGCGCAAGATCAAGGTACACTCCAAAATGTCCCACCTACATACCAGCCTCTGCTCTCGGTACCTGGATCCCCGCCCAGGGACTCAATTAAGTTTTGTCTTACTACAAACGCCTCGCTTCAAACCAAAAGAGGAGGAATGGTACTGATTCAAGCGTGTGCAGTGTGACGAGACGTGGCCAAGCTGCGCTCAATGCCGCCATCTCGGAGCCACATGCCCAGGCCCAACGACCTTAGTCAAATTCGTCAACAGCAAAAGCCCCCCGAGCAGCGCAGCACCGCTCGTCTCCCGCCCGGCGACTACAAGCAAACCATGGAAGTTCGCGGCGGACTCAAAAGACGTCCGGTCGAAAAAGGTCCAGTATGCAAAGGTGGATGACTCGGCCGCCGGCTACGGCCTCCTGTTCTTCGGGAAGCCCAAGTCGATGCCCACCACGCTGGCCGAGCGCATCGCGAACCGCCTCACCACCAAGATGCAGGGCAGCCAGCACGGCGTGACGAGCCTGCACATGAGCTACCTCATCTTCACGCCCAAGCGGCTCGCCGGGAGCGCCTGCCTCCGGGACGCCGTCGACTGTTTCTGCTCCGCCTGGTCGGACTTCCAGAGCCGCGACCCGCGGGGGGAGCTGATCGCCCTGCCTCAGTACGGCAAGGCGCTGAGGAGCGTGAGGCGGGCGCTGCTGAACCCCAGCGAGGCGCTGAGGACGGAGACGTTGGCGGCCATCACGATCATGGAGCGGGCGTGTACTCTGTTTGACCGGCAGAACACTGTCAGCATCCACCTGAAAGGGATCGTGCAGCTGATCCTGAATAAGGGACCGCCGGATATCAATGATGATCTTGATGTGGCGGTGTCCAACGAGACGCATTCCGCTCTGGTGGGCTCTCCTTGGGTTCCTTGATCTTTTCGGATGGCTGACTGTTTATAGATGCCAGTTTGGGTGTATGGCGAAAGTGTTGCGTTTCTCACCAAAAGCCCTTGGAAAGAGGTGCTGGACGAGTGTGCAATCTCGCACTCGCGGCTGCAGGGCCTAGATTGGAAATTCCTCAGCCTCGACGATGCCTTGATTCTGTACGGCTATGCAAAGGGGCTGCCTGAGAGAAGAAAGGAGTTTCAACAGCTCTTTCTGGGACCAGTTTCCGAAGAAACGAAGGAGTCCTCCATCGCTTTGCTTAATCAGCTGCTGCCCGTATACAACCACGTCGCGGAGCTCGCGGCCCAATCTCGCATCAAGGGGGTTGAAGTAGGCGAGTTAACAGAATCACCCAACCCTGGCGGTCTTACAGAGATGCGATATAGCTTCAGTAGCGCGCTGCTGGCATTGACCTTCCAAGCCTTGATTATCGGACAGATGAACATGCTGCACATGCTAATCCAGCTGAACAAGCTGGGCGGCGATGATCCGGAGCTTGGTGCCTCGCTGTGGGCTAAATATCGATCCGCTGCCCTGGACTTCTGGAAGTTCCTGCCCTACTTTTATGAGTTGGAATCCATCGTTGCTTGGCACTTCCTCCCGTCTCTCTGTCTCACATGGGAGGCTGCGGAGGAGGAGCATGAGCGGGAGGCAATATTGAAAATGGTCCAATACATGGATAGTTATCTTGGGAGGTGGAGTAAAGAACCCAACATAATAAAGATTTCAATGTTGGAAACTGCAAAGCTATTAACCGGGCGTCGTCCGGACTTAGCTATACTGTAGCTTCAATCTATTAAACTGTATATCAATTGGGCTTGTTCCTCGCTCCATTGTAGACGATGTCTCAACAATATGACCAGATTCTGAATACTTTTTCATTCCAATTGACTTCCATAATACCTGATAATGTCCAATCTTAAGGCTCTTAATTAAAATACAGAGAGACAGACAGAGCTCTTATTCTTTAACACACCTGCAAATGCTTCAACCCCGTCCTGGTATCTCCGTTCGACAAACACTTAACCACAGCCGCCATACTCCTCTTCGCTTCCCAATGTTTCAATTTACACTCCAACAATAATTCCCATTCACTCCCTTCCACTTTAATTTTGTGTTTATGCCTTTTTCTCCGCGGTCCATGAAGCAATCAGATCCTAAAACACATGTTAGCTCAGGTGAAAACCCAAGTGAAAACGATTATTCATACCATAAGAGGAGGCGAAAGCGAGTCAAACGTATCCAACCCGACAGCCTTGAGCTTCGCCCGCACATCCCCCATCTTCTCCGCGTCGAAGCCCTGCTCGATAATCGACGAGACGAACGCGGCGAACTGCGGCTCCTGCCACCCCTTCTCCTGCGACAGCTCCACGTGCACAAAGTCCAGCCCCTTGAACGGGTGCTCCGCCTCGATCCGCCCGTACATGTGCACCCCGCACTCCTCGCACGCGTGCCTCTGGATCGCGGCCTTGTCGTCGACGACGTACAGCTTGTCCTCGTTGGCCGTCACGCGCAGCTGGTCGCGGGGCACGACGGCCACGACGGAGAAGAGCGCGCCCTCGGGCTTCCAGCACTTGGAGCAGCCGCAGGCGTGGTTGTGGGCGACGTTGCCGTCGAGCGTCACCTCGACGGTGCGGGAGGCGCAGTGGCACCGGAGCTTGCCGCCGGCGAACTTGGCGTCGCCCTTCTTGATGCCGTCGTCGAGGAGGGGGTGGAGGGGGGGAGCGGAGCGGGCGGCGCTGCCCTTGTAGTACTGGGTGATTACGGCGGCGGCCGAGACGATGGACCCGGCGAGGATGGCCGAGGAGGCGTACTTGTGCTTCTTGATGAGGGCGGTGGCCATGGCGGTCGATGTGTTGGTGTATTAGTGTGAATTGGGTTTGGATTCGAGGTCGAGGTAAGCGTGAGGATGGGGAGGAGGGAGAGATTGGAACTGGATTTCAGTAGAGATGACAATTGACCACCCCCTTTGCATAATATTTTATTCAATGGCCTTCAACCTTCGTCAAGCCGTGGTCGGAACGGGTTCCGGCTTAGATACCGAGTTTGTCCCGTTGCATCTTACTGGTTGGGGAAAAGGTATCCGGAGAAGTGGGCTGGAGTGCGGCAACGCTAGCCCAGTCTACCATTGACCCTGCATACGATGAGAATCTCGTCGATGTGATTCGCCTGATCACTGTCTCGGTCTCTGGCACGCCGTCGCGCACAAAAGATGGGACATGAGCTTAAGACTCAACGACGGACACGCTCCGGATTTCGGGTTGTTGCCCATTTCCTTCCCCACAACACCCCTAAGGAACCTGAAATCTAGGGCTAGGCTAGTATTGAGGCCGAGCCATGTTGATCTGGTTTCCAAGCAGTCCCAACCTGGCTGGGAAGGCATTTCCAGCATGGCCCAGTGCTGGGGAAGGCCTCTTATATAGGTGAGAGGTGTGATATCACCTGGATCGGGGGTGAGCCCGATGATCTCCTACCCCGCAGGATGAGCACCGAGCTTCCCTGTCCATGACAGGTGATGGTGACGTTAGAGGACGCGTTTGGGTCGTGAACCTGACTTCTTACCCCTCCTTGTAACACACAGCCTAATTGTAGCCTTCGATTATTGTACCAATGAAACAGCTGCCCCCCCTTTGTCATGTTGTATTCACGGATACCATCAACGGTTAATCCCACAGGAGGCTGCGAGAAGACTGTAGCTCTAAGAAAGTGATTGATAACATCAATATCTTGTTCCAGGAACATTCTTGAACACCTATGACCATTGTGCGGAGCTACAATGCCTTGAGTCATGCCTACTCCACCCCAAGCAAGGAGCTAGATCACTCAACTAAGGGTGGTTAATCTTTCTATGTAGAGTCAACTTCTACCGAAACTAGACATTGGTAGGCTGCTCTCCCTACCATAAGTAGGCTCAGACATCGTCCAATGCCCCCGTTTTCCACCCCGTAAAGGAAACCCCACTCAGCTTCGTTTGCAGGAGATCAGTGTTAAGAATCTCATCCTTCCTAGCCTTCAACTCATTCACATCCCAATTCACCCACACAAACTTCCCCTTGAGAAATCCGGCCTCGGGGCTGACCAGCCACAAGCAAAAGTGTCCCGGTAAATCGACTACCACACTGTTAGTTTTCTCATTCAACGCGAGCTGAGGCAATTTTAATGTTGTATGAACGAAATGTCAGGTGAACTCACTATGATCCATGCCGCCGTGGCCGCTTCTCTGGCTCATCTTGCTTTCAATGAGCCCGGGATGCACGTTGACAACATGCAGCCCAGGATTCTCAATCGCAATGTAGTCAAACAACTTCGTAGCAGCTATTTTGCTTGCGGCATAGGCAGATACTCCAGGTTCGAGCGGCGGCATATGAGCGACGGCCGTTGAGATATGGAGCACATGTGCCCCCTCGGCCGCGTACTTGGCGAATCCCTGGAACGTGTATAGTCCTCCGAGGATGTTGGTGTTGAAGGTACTCCACCAGTCTGTCAAGTCAAAGTCCGCGTTGAGCACAGGCTTGGAAACCGGCAGATACCCGGAGTTGCAGACAAGGACGTGGATCTTGCCGAAATCATTGAAAATCTTTGCAAACGCGGCATCCACTTGCTCCTTGTTGGTGATGTCTGCAGGGGCGGCCAGGACCCGGGCACCTGGAAATTCCTCTTCGATGGCCTTTTTAGTCGCGAGAAGATTCTTTTCTGTTCGGCTCACGATTGCTATCTTGGTGCTTCCACTGGCTGCAAAGGCCCTTGCGATGCTCTCGCCAATGCCGCTGCCGCCGCCAGTGATGACAACGGTCTTGTTTGCGGCCGAAAGCTCAGGACGCGATGGCGATATGTCAGGGTATGACTCGCCGTGCCATATCTTGGTAAGAGATGGGAAGAATGGAGATGACATGTTTGGTTGAGGACTAGGCGCTTGTTTGATGTGATTGATGCAGGTAGAGCGCTTGGATATAGGCATAGCGAGACCCTTATATACTTCTTTTCTGGCCCTGGTCTTGGGACTACTTTTCTTGGAAGAAGAAAGACAAGAAGGTCTCTCCGAATGTTCCGTGGTACTTCTCCGAAGGAGTATTTCTCAAGTTCGGGGGAAGCAGTTAACCCTCGGAACTGTCTAATCTCCACAGCAAGTTTCGATTTGTAATGCCTGTATTCCATATCACTGTGGGAGAATTTTGGAGTATTTTCAATTTACAAGATTTCTTCTCTAGCAGATCAGATCTGCCGCCAATGTCACCAAGAGGCCGAGGGAGTCGGCGTAAGCATACCACCTATCGTTCTGCTTGCCGGCTCTTTCCTTCAGCTGAACAAGATCGCTGATTTTAAGCATTCCGTGCACGGCATTCTGATATTGGTATTCCGTATAGTCGACTGCCCAATCAGTCTCGTTCTCGGCTTGCCATAGCTTCATAGGGGATGGCGCGGGGGAGTGGGAGTATTCCGGCATGTTTTCAGATAGCGGCGAAACCTGGGCGTGGAGGATACGGGTGATGACGAATACCGTGCTCGCGGTGCTCGGATATCTAGGTCAGCCATATTTGCATACTAAATGGTTCGGCATGGTACTTACCGACGACGGGATTCGTTGAACACCCAGTCCTTCCAAGGCATCTCCCGACCAGCAATTTCCTCCGGGCTGATGAGCTTGCCATGCTTAATGGTGAGACATCTACAGAGTGCCTGTGTTGATTTTATTGTCAGCACATCGACGCTTGTGCAGAGGCTTTGCTACACTGGACGCACATTCATCGAAACTAGAAGCTGGCTGTCAAAGTTGGTATACTCGTGGCGTCCCTCTATAATCCTCAGGAGCATATACACAACGAGAGATTGTAAAGCCTGCAGGAGCTCCCACCGACTAAAACTAGGATGCTATTCGTAATGCATCTAGTTAGTAATCCAAGATATTATAATGTATATCACGATGAAGCTTGAGTATTGAGGTACCTACTTCGTTTAGCAGTCGCTCCTGTTCGATCCGGATCAACCCCCACGTCAGGTTCTTGTTTACTCGTCTATCGTGCAGAAGCATCTTGACGAGGTTTAGTGAAGCATAGAGAGAGCTTGGGCGTGTCGTGTTGCCTTCGTCTAGAGATTGATATTGCGGGTGAATGAATGGAGGAACGGAGCCCTGGTTGGCAATCATGTATGGGTAGGAACGCAGGATATGCAGGGCAAGGTCGCTGGCAAGTCCAAGCTCTGTTTCGGGGAAATCGCGCTTTTGAAATAGCGAAGATGAACTCCTATATTCCAGAGCCATGGGAATCGAAGAGCCCAAATGAATCGACTGCCCCGGAAGGTTCATGGTACCATTCGTAGGTTGTAACTCATTGCCTCTGAGGCTAGAAGTAGCGTCTTGTTCGGCAACAAATCCATCAACCAAGTTAGACGATAGATCAGGTACATACGACCAATCAGGTTCGAATAGGTCGTCTTCCAAGTTGAAACTCGTGAGGGAAAAGCTGTTGTTGCTAGAAGTAACTTCAGTGCCGATAGGAGCACTACCCTGGCTTGGCACCATCTCGCTAGAGGGTTGGGCAGGGGTTTCCGGGTAGAACACGCCGTCATTGCGCACATACGACGGCTGCAGATGGCTACTGCCGTTCGCTGCGGCCTCGGGGTTGGCTGCATTCCGGATATTTGGGGTACTCTGATAAATGCAAGGAAGCTCTCTGGAAGCGCACCGGGAACAGCCCCCAAGGCTTCGGCTACAGCGGACCTTGGACCGCACGCATTCTTCGCAAGCTTTCCTCCTAGCTACAGGGCCTTCTTTGTGTTTCTTTCGACAGTACGAAACGTGCTTGCTCTTGGATCGTGCTGCAGGGGTCAGAGGGAGTCATGTGGTTTCGCTAATGGCCGCTTACCGTTGGCGTCACTGGCATATACCTTTCCACACACGGGACAGTGAAGCCTACTGCGCCAAATCTCTGAATCCTCCATTTGGGTGGAATAATATTCGACGGTTTCTTCACGCAGTCGTTGGTGGAGCAGTAATACCTCATGTGTTGTGCCTGTGCCGGAATTCGCATCAGACCTCGGAGAACTTTGGATTATGCCCCACATCTGACTACGGAACTCCGTCGAACATTGCATCCACATGGTTGTTGATTAATAATGTGCGTTTTGCCCTGCCTGGCTTCTAACTTGATACGTTTATTTGATGATTAAAGTATTCCGAATAGACACCCCCCTTGTAGGCTGTTTCCTCAGGTCACTATTGCTTTAAGATAGCACTAAGGGCTAATATATGCGGCTACTATGATTGGTAGGGACAGCGCAGAAGAATAATTCGATGGATGGGTGGACACTAGTAGGGCAAGACCTCCAAGCACTCTGCCCGCTATCTTCAACTCCTTGCAGCGATTGAACAATCATATCAGAATGGAATTCTCGGCAGCATAATACAAGCGTCTTATATATTTATTGTTGAGGTGGACTACTTCAGGCTCTAGAATCTCTCCGCTTCTGGCATTCAATCTCAATATGGAGGGCAAAATGTATGCCCTCAACATCCAGTGATATTCAGAGATAGATAGAATAAGCTTCAACGAATAGCCAGGATTCACCTAAGACACTAATTCAAAGGCTCTCGGACGGCAGAGATATACTAGACAAGCACGTTATGAGTTAGGCAAGTTAAGAAGAAGCTTGACAGACTGCATGTCACTTACGGGGATGAAATTGGCAGTCTCAATATCCCATACTCCGTTCACCGTATAAGGGTCATTCTTGACAAACTCCTTGGCTTCTTCGAGGTTTTCGACCGCATAAATGATCACACTGCCCTTGGCATCGGGGAATTGCCCCTCAGGCGGGTGACTGCTCACTTGCGCCCCTTTAGAATTATGTCAGTTTTCGTCGGATAAATACATCTTGCTTAGATCATCGATCATACCGCCGGCGACAACTTTTCCCGCTGCAATAAGCGGCTTCATAGCTGCAAGGTGTTGACTACAGGACCGTTAGCAAAATATACCTCTCATCATTGGGCGTGTATTACTCACGGCCGAATCTCCTTCCGTTTCTCAAGCACGCCTGGCTTGTCGTTAATGATGAGGATAAATTCCTTTTTGGCTGCCATCCTGAATTGTTATCTAGGTTTCTGCTCGTCACGTTGTTTGTAGGTAGGTTGTTTATGTTGTTGAGAAGAATGGGAGGGTTGCATATACCCCGCAACCGCCCTTCTTCTTGTTTTATCCTCCGATTTCGGAATCGGAATCGGGTCATGGAGGCATATTCGCGCAGCCGCCAATTTAATGATCACCGACCTATCTTAGTGTTGGGAGCCGTCAAGCCGTACCATATGCTGGTTACTTCATTTTGGGATGCACAGCCTTAGATTTTACATGTAAAATAAACTCAAATGTGAACCCCATCGTATTTCCTCCACAACCAGGTAAAGTTCACCTTGTACAAACTAATTTCAGCAAACGTTACGTAACCCAAGTAAAACCCAAGTAATGACAAGAAATAGAATCCTCCCTACTAAATTCCGTTCTCGACATTGATTTAGCCTTCTCCATCTCCAGACACGATATTCTAAGCTTAGCATCTTATACCGCAAGCATCGCATAGACAAGAACCTGCCCTTAGCGAATTCATACCATTGCTATACATCTTATCATACTTAATGTTATAGTTTTGCTATACATATTGTCATGATATTGCCATACTTGTTGTCATACTTTAAAATCGAGAGATCGCCCCAACACTCCATTGCTCCTCACATTCCGTTGAACTATCCCCAATTATGGGATTCACGTTGCTTTTCGCCTGGCTTATTATCACTTTGCCATGCCTTGCTTATCCTCCCACTCATCTCATAGGGAAAGAGGTCAGGGTTTGCCGCGCAGACTAGCTATGCCCTCCCTCGTCAACGCTCTTCTCTGTTACCTGAACCGAACTCTTGCCACCCTTGCCACTATCTTCAGGCGTATATGGCGGGGGAGGTTCTACCTTGGAAGACTCCTGTCTGTTGGCAGGGCTTCTGGATGCCCAATCGCGAGTGATTAGTCTGTCCATTCTGGGCTTCCAAGAAGCCGAGTTTACTCGCTCCGCCTGCAGAGGGGCTTCATTGAGGAGAAGATTCACAATCTCCAGCGCATATTTCCTGAGGCGTGACGCCTGCGAAGATTGTTCCCCTCCAATGGCTTCGATGACATTAATATGAGGTTGGAACCATTCCTTTATCTCGCACGAGCCCTCGTGCATGCAATAATCAAGGATCTGAAGTGATTTGAAGGCGCTGGGTGGGTTCTTGTCCCAACTTTTGAGGTCATCTAACAAACAGTCACACACGTTGATGACATGTTGATCTCTTCATAAAGCATCAGTAAAAATGGGGTGCGAGCAGCTGGAACAAGCTGAATACATACGATTGAACGCTGTGATTGGCTATCTTCCGCAGTTCACTATCAGTAGGTGCCGTCGATTCGTCCAACGTGGTGATTTCAGCTATGAGCCAGGTGGACTTCAATGCACTCCAGATACCAGCCATTTGGTCTTCGATTTGCGGTATCCTTCTTGTTTCTAGGAGCTAATAATATGATTTCAAAGAGACAGTACGAGCTTAGTGCTGAGTTGAGGAGGCACAGGACTGATGTGTTGTCGAGAAACTAGGTATGGCCGTACCTGATCGGAGTAGGCTGTTAATAACTATGAACAGGGGATGTGTCAGGTTGACTCGAGCGCACGGACTGCCAAGGGATCGCCTTACGTACCATGTTGCTTTTTATATCCGAGGGGGCGTCATACAGTGTCATCAGGAACCGCATTATGTAAGATCACGTAGTGCTGGCATGGCACAACCAACTACGGTAATAGTGGCCACTTCAACCTCATCCACGAGTGCTTGGCAAAGCAACTACTCACTAGCTACTCAAACGATCAATATGAAATGGTGCGAGTTATTTAGCTTAGAGGCGAGTCTGCGGTAAAAACCGATGTACTCCAACACCTGCTTCTGGTTAGTCGATTTCAACCCTGGGCCTCACCAAAACCACCATCAGCCTCGCTCAGGACATACCAGCCACAGCTCAGGCTCAAGGTCTCGTAACTAGGCTCAGCCTTAGCTTACCATGAGCGACCTAAGTCGGCGTGCATAATTAATACTGACGAAAATTTAACAACCAATATACATATGGTATATTTCTTGGCCCACCGGTGTCCACGAGGTAGAGTGTTTCTTAACTTGAGTCCGTTTGAACACAGGGATGGTCGAGCGAGCCCAAATTTGGTAGACCTTATCCGGCTGGTCTTACAAGGAGGACTCTGAAGGAGAAGTACCCTGAGACAGAACTATATAATGTCCTCTCTAGCTGGCTATCACATGACTTAGTATGATTGACTATTTATCATTATGAGTAAGCTACAGTATTTAGTTACTCATTATGATTCATCCAAGTAGAATCTCTCGAATGAATCTTTTTCGATTCGTTTTTCGCCTAGCGCTTTTATCTTTGTCGAATGATTGGTAAACTCGTCCTTCTAAATAGTGGGACGCTCCTCGACGAGGTTACATTAATCCACCGCCAGTACGTCAACTTGCCCAGACAACCACTCCAACCAAGCCCCTACTCGTTCCTGGGCTGTGCGTCTAAAAATGTTTAAAATGCCTACCCGCGCTTTCACTTCTTCTCACACATAGTGTTTGAAAGAGACAAGGGCTAATTGCCGTATTCATATACTACATTCCAGTCATTCCTATCCCACGCAATATGGAAGAACTCCTAATACCTAAGTCTGGCGATAGAGAGGTTCTTGTTGACTTGCCAACCAGGACTACTCCTAGATATACCCAGACGGTAGTTGGTAAGAAGTCAGAGCTCTCAGCCGACTTGGACGAGTTTCGAGGCATTCCATATGGACAAGTGTCTAAAAGATGGGAGCATTCAAGACTTCGTACTCATCTTCCACAAAATTCATTTGATGCAACCAAGAACGGGTATGCGTATATAAAACCAATGATCGGCATATGATATGACACTAATTATCTATAACAATATTCATTGCAGACCTATATCTCCCCGGCCTAGCAACGATGAAAACACCAAATATTTCCAGGCCTATTTACCTACACCCCAACTTGTTGAGTCTGAGTTCGATTGCTTAAATCTTATAATCGTACGCCCTAGTACTGATGCGCTATCCCGCACCGGAATGCAAGAGAACGTCAAGTTACCAGTTCTGGTCTGGATCCACGGTGGCGGGGGCTCTCAAGCAGGAAGCGATCCGTTTTATGGTCCGTATTATTATACCACTTTCCTTGAATTAAAGTGTCCATCATGAATAGAAAGACAATACTAAATGGAAACTAATCAGAGACTCAGATCCTGGCCGCCTAGTTCTTCGATCTTTGGAAATCGGTTCTCCTATTATTGCAGTGCTACTCAATTTCCGAAACGGCATATTTGGGTTCATGGGCTCAACCGACATTCTGAATGCCCAAGGAAAGATTGGGCAACAAGGTCTCAACTTCGGCCTTTATGACCAAAAAGTTGCTCTCACTTGGGTGGCTCTCAACATTGCGCACTTTGGTGGCGATCCGAAAAACATTACACTAGGAGGGCAATCATCGGGATCATTCGCCGTGCATGTACACCTTCTTGACAACGATTCGCCATTGAAAGATCCACTCTTTAAAAGAGCTATCTTGCAATCAGGTGCTCAAATCACCCTATCGCCGCTGCCTCTCGAGGATCTCGAACCTTTCTGGGCACAATTATGCCAACATTGGGATGTAGGGGCTAAGAATAGTCAGCAAAAAGTGGAAGTGCTTCGACAGATTCCAACAGCGGCTATGCTCGAGTTTTTACCTAATTGCAAAAATGTCAAGTTAGGCCCTATTGCCGATGGATTAACTATGACGATGGACGCTGCAACATTTCCTGATGTTGATACTGGAATGGGAAAGAAATCCAGTAGGCACGAGCCCATCGAGGTTATGATTGGAGCAACTGACATAGAAGTAAGTTTCTCTCATCTTATGAAGCACTATCTAGAACCCCTACTTAACAAGATCTGACGCAGGAGGCTGGTTTTGTGAAAGATGATGTCAATCTCAAAAAGCTGCAGGGCATATTCGCCGAAAATTATGAGGATTCTCCTGGAAGCTTACGGTCTTGTCGAAGGCCGGGAGCAGAGAGACTTGCGGGTGAGCTTTGAACGTTTCCTCTCGGATGCCAAGTTCGATTTGCCCATCTATATGCTGCGCACCAAACTCCGCAAACAGCGCTACACTGATTGTGGCGATTCGAATAGCATTCAGCCGTACAGTATCGAATTCGGAAATCCGTTTCTTGGACCTAAAAGAGGTCAGGCACACCATGGAGTAGAGATGATTTATCTATTCGATCCATTTCACGATGCGCTCGCCGATGCGGATAGAGGTATCTTCAAAATATACCCAGAACCATCTGCAGAACTGGCTGCAAAGCTGGAAAGGGAATCTAAAGATTCAAAATCGGATGATAAGGCTGAAGTATATGCGATCAGCAATCAAGATCTTGTTCGAAAAATCCAAGACCATTGGCTTGGCTTTATCACGGGAACTCTGGCTAGGAAAGTAGGTGACAGTGAAATACTAGTATGGGGAATAGATGGAACTCCAAGGGTGGAACAATTAGGAGCAGATCTCAAGTGGATCGAGAGGATCGACCGGCTAGAACTCCTTGGAAAGGATATCCCCTCTATACGTAGGGTGCTTTCTGCTATTTTTTCGTCATGAAATTGCATAGCAATCCTTTGGAATTATCACCAATGCACGTTGGATTTGGAACTGTGCATAAACAGTTATTTAAACTCTAGGCCTAAATTCATTCACCATTAAGTGAAGCTTCAAAGAAACTTATTGGCCTTGTGAATAATGAAGTGAGTTAGAGTTATCCATCCCTTTTTTAATTCTCGTTCTTAAAGGCGTGCAATGATTGGCTGCAGGGTAGTGTAAGACCATACAGGGCGACAACATCAGATTCTGAAACGTCGCCCAGCCTCCGGGCTATGAATTATGGAATTGTTATGGTTCTTTGCTTAACAAGAACAAAATGAGACATTGTACAGAATGTAATTTGTTTGTGCACTTAGTTCCTGCACGAGTCAGCCACTCGGACTTCGTATTGGGATACGATGGCAGGGTGTGATGTTTCAGGCTTTCAGCTCGCCAGGGAAATTAGTCATGAGGTTTATGCCGCTTATTGGTTACGTTACCGCCCAAACGCAAATTACAACTCAAATTTTACAAAAACAATCAAGAGAAGGGGAAATGGAGGAGACAGCGGCCTACGTGAAGCCGTGTGAAGTGTAGCTTCGTTAATACACACCAGGCGTCAACCCTCAAACGACGCTATCGTCTGTCTCACGGCGAATGGAAGCGAGGGGAAGCGCCAAGAGGATTCACCTGGCGTGAAAAGTCTTGTCACTAAATACGGAACGGGCTAGTGGCGTGACTGCTTAGCATCAGATTCTTTTTCGTCGTGTTACTGCTATTGTTTCATATCTCATAATATATACAGGGGTCATCAAGACCAGTCAAATATTGGCAATTGAAAACAAACACAAGAATCGAGGTTCTTGTTAGAAGTAGAAAATTTTTTTCTGGAGAGAGGGCCAAAAAAACGAATATACAGGTGTGATGAGCGCCAAGCTGATCCTCTGCACGTTGCCAAGAGTCTAGGCTCGTACAGGGGTCGTTCGGGATTGACGTGCCGATTGACCACGAGGGTCCCCGGCTGGCGTCTAGGAGTGGTGGACTCCGTGGTTGTGGGTGAGGAGATGGCGGGCGTGGGCTCGCTCGTGGTTCTCGGGGACCCCCTCAGCTCGCTCGGCGGGAGAGGGAGCAGCCTCCTCATCGCGGGTGGCGAAGATGGTTGTAGGCTGGCAGAGGTCGAGCCACATGTCGCCAGTCTCGGCAGGGCACCACTTGGTGTTGGCATCGTCTGGGTGCTGGTAGCTGTCGATGCAAGTCTGCCCAGCATAGCAGCGGATCTGAACACAGGTGCCGGTGCCCACGCCTTTGCCAGTTGGGCTGACCTTGACGTTGTCGTTGAAGAAGGGTGTGCCGACGAGACCGTTGCCCTTGCCATCGAGGTCGCTCAGGTCAAAGTAGAGTCCGCCGTATGTTCCGGTGGCCATGGCATACTCGAACTGGAGGACGCCAGTGACGCCCTTCTTCGAAAGCTTGAGGGAGGTTCCATCGCCATTCGCGATCCAGTCGAGGGTGGCGATTCCACCCTTCTGGATGGTCCATGGGGTGCTGCCGGCGGTGACACAGGCACCGTCTGAACCAGAATCGCAACCGCCGTTGTGGGAGGAGACAACAGAAACCTCGACGTCGCAGTAGTTGTGGATCTTGAGAGAGGCAGAGGCTCCGGAGGCCAAGGCAGCAACGGCTGCAGTGTACTTGAAGTTGACCATTGTTTCGGTGGACGAGATATCAAATCTGTTCGAGTAGGTAGGTGGGTTGTTGAGAAAGGGAGGCTGCAGCTAGTGCGGCTCTGGGCTCCAACGATGGGGAATGAATCAAGAATGAATGACTGTGGTAAGGATCGCTGGAGAGCAAAATGAACGTGAATGCGTAAACGCGTCTGCAAAGAAAGCAATATGGGATGATATGGTGGGAGGGCCCCTTTTGTATCTGCATAAACGTGATTCTACTCCTGCAGACAGAGAGCTGACCCGTGTAAGCGCCTGCAGCCAAACTATTGGCCAACACCCAACTCTTCACCCCCCCATCAGCTGACAGGGACGCTGACAGGAACGAGCTACAAATCCTAACGAGGCCTCCGTGCAGCCCCCGCCGTGATGGGACCAATGAAGTCCAAGCTTTAATTAGATCAAGTTGCGTGATTAACGCACCCTATTCCAGAAGGTCCAGCAAAGCCTCTCTTGACCGTGTTTGAGGCTGCTGTGCCCGACAAGGATCCCTCCCGGATCTGTCGACAGGAACAGGGGCAGCCAACCAGTCACATTCTGCCACCAGGCGTCGCAGGTAAGCAAGGATCCTCCCGGTGCCTGACTAAATGTCGCAGAACCTGCACCCGTTGGGACGGCGAGGGCTACATAGTAGTCATCTTCATTTGCCCGGTATTAGTATCCTCCCTTGCTGGTCGATTGCTTATTAGAGATTAAAAAGTTGAAGAAGAGGGTGCTTGATCTGGTGGAGTCAGAGAGAGACAGGGGCATCTCCCGCCAGTTAGTTCCTTGGCTGTCTCGAGCATCGACCGTGGAATCGGGACCGCCCTACACTTGTCACCCGACAGGCATCCATCAAAAAAGCCCGAGTGTGGCTGGTTGGACAGGCGATTGGTTGGTCGGAACTCCCGCGAAGTTGAAAGGGGCACCCGTCTCATGCATCCCAGGCGTAGAACTTTTGGGTGGCAACGGAACATTAGGCTTACTCCCCGAGAGTCATTTTGTGGTCTCGTTTAATCGTGCAATTGATGCTTTTCACATCTGGGATTTAGCCTTAAACAGATCGACACGTTTTCAGGCACATGTGGATACATGCCGCTATCCAAAACATCATCAGATGCAGGAACTGAACGGTTGGCACGTGGTCTGCGTCTTTCTCCACCGTCTTTAAGTGAAACATGTTCAAGATCTTGCAAAATCTGTGCATTTCTCATATTTCTCAGCTAGATTCTGCGGTCTAGACGATAATGGGCCTGCAGATTGCCATCACGCAACCACTTTGGCACGTGTGACAACTCAGTTGGTCTGGCTCAATCAGCCGAGATTCAAAGCTAACTCTAATGATATCAATGAGGCGGCCATGGGCCATGAGCCACGTTGCAATAGACAGTTCATCTGTCACACTTTCTTAAGTGGCATACGGCTATTGGCCTGACAAAGTTTTGGGCCTGGTAGTAATGGCCAGGTGCGTTAGGTCGGATTGGGTCGTCACGCTGAATTTTCCTCGAAACTGCAGGGACTACGTGGTCGTGTCCACACTGGTGTGACTTCTCAAGATCATAATACTGATTGGAGAGCTGGTTATCAGGAAATTAGCCATGAAAACTGCCAAAGAAAACACCCTTGAAAGTCGTTTTGTCGAAAGATGCTTATTTGGGTAGGATTGAAAGTAGATTGCATTGATTAATTTCATAGCAAATTTGTTCTCAAGCCTCAACTTGGTCCTTGCGTTTCGCGTTCAGAGCATCCTCCACTCCACTATAGCTGCTGTTGAATTCCCAGTTTTTAACCATTCTTTCCACAACCCCAAGTCGTGAATGGGCCTTGCGAGTCTCCGATAAAACCTGCTCCACCCTCGGCTTGCAATCGCTCTCTGTAGCTTGAGGATGCCTGGCACATCTTGTCGGTGTGTGCCTGGGGTCAGCAGTCGAATGCTCTCAGCGTCTTGGATACCCATGTTGGCTCCTTGGCCTTGCATGGGCGCCATCGCATGAGCAGCATCTCCAATGATTAATGTACGACCACAGGTCCAGGTTGAAAGAGGCTCAAGATCTTGAAGTTCCCACACTTTCACTTCCGTGCTTGCGTTGCAAAAAACTGTCAGCTGTGATCAAGCTAGTACCCAACGTACTCGAGAATCTTTACGCCGTTGGGAGCAATCATAATTCCATGGCCACCAATTGCAGTGCTGGAGTCGTCTCGCTCGCAGACTCTCACATTATGGTGCTCTCGGAGCATACTTGCTGCGGCCCATCCAGCCAAACCCGAGCCAACAATAATGACCTTGAGCTTGTTCATCTTGGCAGTACTAAGAATTATGAGGATAGCAATTTTCGGCACATGTGAGAATATCTGTTTATAAGGAGCAAGACATCGAACAAACCACGTTTGGGTGTAGATACCTCTAGCCGGTGGATGATATATATAGGCAATTTGGCAGCGTGAACCTGTTGAGATAACACAAGGTATCTGTTAGAGATGGCATCTTTCTAGACGGTCTCCGAATGAGATAATGACGGCCGTTAAATCTCCTTGGTTGAATTTGCGGGCTGCAACAAAATCTCGGTGTCATTGGCTCATCTCATTGACCCTGTTGCAGATCACTCGTATAACCAAGACCGAAACAAATTCCGAGCGACGATCAGAGCGACGATCAGAACGCATGACGAGAAGCTTAAAAATATGACCCACAACCCATTTATTGTTATTCCGGCCACTTCCTGATTCTCTCAACGACCAGGACACCGGTGATCTATGACTATCGGACAGAGCATACGTGACCAATTGAGTGATGTGAATGTGACGCATGGGGAGTTTCCACTCCTCGCGTATCTGACAAATGTAGTGAGTCCATAAACACTCGACATCTGAGGCGCCTCGGCCACCTCGTTTCTGGGTGTTTAGTGAAAATGAGGCCAAGTGGTTGTGATGGGCAAAGGCGAAGGCCCAAAAAGTATCCAGAGGGAGAGACCGGAAACAGTTAATGCCAACTTGGCCCTGATGTGGGCGATCTAGGTAGAGGCGCTAACACAGGATGCGAGAAGCTCGGTGATTACATTAAACTGCTACAAGGGAGGAATGAGAGTTGAGCTCGACCGCATGCATCCTCCCACTTGGCTATGAGTCACGAACTGATATTGAGGACTGGACATATTAGGCCGCTACATATTGTCCATAGCGATGAGATAGTGCAGTATCGACACTCGATAGTTGATATATCCCAAAGGCAGGCCATGGAGGTCGCATATGCAGAGTTTCATGTTGAAATGGCTGGGGAGGTTGGCGAAATGGCCAAGTAGGAGACACAGGGTTTGAGGAGCTGAGGGCGGCTTGCTATAGATAGACAAGACATTAGAACTACGTTGAGTTATATGCACTAACACCCAGGGACCAAGAAACAATACTTGGCAATATATGAGCATCGTAACCAGGGCTTTGAGACCCGTGTATCAATTTTCGTACAAGGCTTGGTCATTATCTCCCACTACCTACACAAATGATGAACACTAAGAGCTAGGGTGCGATTCAAAGGTTAGCGCGTGCAAGGGCAATGAACACTTACTAGTTGGAGGATCATAATGATCCGATACCAGATAGTAGCCGAATGATGCATGGGATTTTCAAACAAGCGAGCTACGAGGAATTTGGTGGGTGTATGATACATGAAGACCGGCAAGATGATCACCAAATATGTACCCTCGATTCACCATGCCCCTCTTTGGCTATGCAGTTAGTTGTAGTACGTGCAACTATAAAGAAGTAACTAAATCTCGTCTAAAAAAATAAAGCTACTCAGCAAATACTGATCTTGTAGATGGTGTGATAAGCGGGGACGCTCGGCTGACAGCAAAATTTGAAGAGACCGGCCGAAACCTCGTGTGATAATATAGTAGGTTAATCACCTTCTCAAATAGGCCCAAGAGATTATATCAGTTTTCCTATTAATACCAATGTTCCCGGTTTTTCTTTCTGGGCTCTAAACTACAACCGACAACCGCGCGGCGCGGACATCCGGGAGTATGATGGGCGAAACGTACGGAGTTGACGAGGATCTTGAACGGGAGCTCCACCCACGGAATTTGGCTCTGCCCTCTGCCTGTCCTTCTGAAGATAGAATAAAAACCTTTTGACGGAGTAAGGTGCAGGGTGCACAGTGTTCTGCTTCGTTGAACGCCGGAGTCGTGGCAACGAATCTCAATATCTGTTACATACGCGATATTAGTTCCATGTAATAATAGTCAGAAACAGGCATGAGCCTGTAATTTCAGTCAGCGGCGTACCGCAGTCCCGGAATAGGGAAGCGTGGATACGCGATAGCAGGGCTGACGGCGGATGCTAATCCTTCGGTCAGGCACATGCGATTCTCATCTCATTTAGATGGGTTGATATAAATAATTGCACTGGTCCTACAAACTTGTGAGGTTTTTCATTTTGTCGGCACAACTTTTAGCGATTCTTGCAAGGTTATCCGGAGCAATGATGTGCCCCACGAAGGCAACAGCCCCTTTGGTAGCTATGGCAGTTGCCCGGTTGGCCATGGCGGCTTCTTGTGACTGCTACCTCATCGACGGTGCATACCCGACGTACTACAAGTCGCACGGCTTCTGGGATTTCCGCTCCTTGCCCCAGTATGCTGGCGTGCCTCCTGTCTTGGACTCCATCGACGCCAACAAGAACGCAGACTTCAGCAGCTCTTTTTTCAACTGGGAGTCGGAGTTTGCTCGGTTTTGGGGACCGCAGAATTGGGATAACGGCGCTGAAGACTTTGTCAATGTCAATTCATATAACTCTACATTGAAAGGAGCGGCGACAGCACATTCATGACCATGAGAACCGCTCGCCTCCCCAAATTCCAGACCTCTGCTGAGTTTGAAAGCATGGACCTTTTCGATCATGCCTCCATCAGAATGTATTCGCGCTCAATCGGTTCTCCCGGCGCATGTACAGCCGTGTTCACCTACCGCGAGGCAAACTCTCTCAAAGATGTGCAAGAGTCGGATATCGAGATCTTGACCAGCGGCCCCAAGACATCAATCCAATACACCAATCAGCCGTCCTACCTTGAAGACGGTACCATTATCGATGGTGCATCCAACAACATCTCTGTCTCCGTCCCCTGGAACGAATGGTCCACGCAGAGGCTAGACTGGACTCCTGGTCGTACTACCTGGTATATCAACGGGGATCAGACATACACGCAGACCTTTCAGGCACCAAAGGATCCAAACAAGGTGAACTTCAACGCATGGAGTGATGGTGGTGATTGGACAGGCAAGATGCCTGAGGGTGGGGTTGCGTATCAACAGATCCAGTGGATTGAGATGCTCCATAACGTTGCCGACAAGGCCTCGTGCTCAAGCGCGTGCAGCATAGACGCCGACGGGGCCAAGCCTGGATCTCCAGTGAAGGTATAAGGTTTCTGTTCTGAATACCGTCTATGTGTAAGCAACCATAGAATGTTAGAAGACTATAAATTAAGCATTCACAGGTATATATAAGAAGATGAAACGAATGCATGCATGCAAGGGCGGTTTATGTCTCGGAGCACATTGCAGAGAAAGGCTTCAATGGCTGAGACACTGTCCTTGAATAATCGCCGAGTTTGCCATTTAAGCAGCTAATGGGGCATCACAAGGTTACTCATTTTGCTCCCGCTCTGAAACAGCGTCTTGATCCATCTATAATTGTAACACATAGGTAAAACATCTCCTCATTCGAGTATCTTAGCACTGCAGTGCCATGGCTTAGACGAATATTCTCTTCATCGACTAGAGAAATTATTCTTCTTTTCAGCCTGCTTGCTGGAATCATTGAGGCCTTCCATGCGTTTGGCTAGCCAGGACAGCTGATCTTACTGGATGCTAGAAATAAGCAGGAATTTCGAAGGATGAAAGCTGACTGGGACTAAACTCCAGCGAGATTCAAGCTTGAAAAGACGTTCCGTAAAAGCCCTCCTAGAAGGGAAGGCGTTCTTCCAGTCTTTTATTCTTCGCATCCTGTTCAGCACAATTACGTTGTAACTCTCCATTCCTTAGCAACCACCAGTGCTGCTCAATATCGTATTCAAACTGAAGAAGTGTAAGAAGAAAAGCACGAGGCATTCCAGAAACACTTTAGTACTGAAGGTAACATTATCAACAACGGAATTTTCAGTTGCGTGCTCATTTCGTTGTCCACCAACGTATCTACAGATTTCTAAACCAAAATCTATAAGTTGTCCAAAACTCAATTTTACTTTCTTTCGAACGGAAATATAACTGGACATCCGAAAATCGCGTTTGTATGTAGCTTCAGCTTGTTACAGCCAGCCGATCCCCTATACTTGGACGCGAATGCGAAGGTGCATGCAAATTGATTAAGCGTAGCATCGCGAGACAAGAAACTAAAATGACGATATCCAGAAAGGCGTATATAAATTGGTCTGAAACAAATCAAGAATCCCATCGAGTATCCCATTACGTTCATTTACTGTTTGTGGGACAGCCAAGCTGCTTCCGGGATGCTTGGAGAATGAATGAAAGAGAGTGTGATTCGAATACTACTCCGGCCCTGCATCGTCTAGGCATTCACTGGTCTAGTGATAGAAGAAAGCCAACCCAGGGTGGCATTTTGGTATCATTCTCCAGCCCCCACAACCACAAGAGATGTAGCCCCTGACAATCACACTTTTCCATCACATTGCCACACTGTGCCCGGTTTCAGCTGCGGTCTTCCATACGAATGTCACACGATCTCTGATTAGCTGCAGGCATGGCCCGTTCGCTCATGCAGCCAGACCAACAACGTGGGGGAGCCCTTCTGTGCAACGTGTAGACGGGAAATGAGTGGATTGTTTCGTTTCGCTGCCTAGTTACCTCGGGAGGCGGAAATCCGTTTAATTTAAATCCCCTCCTTTCTCAGATCCCAAGTTCGCGCTTCATTCTACCTCCGATCGATATCCGCACTTTCGTAGAACAGCTTTGTCGTGATGCTGCTCTCTCTCACCCTGCTTTGGATAACGTCCATGATCGGCCGGATCAGGGCCCTCGAATGTCGATGCTTTCCTGGAGACTCCTGTTGGCCGTCATCTGATGACTGGGCTGGTCTCAATCAAACAGTCCATGGGCGCCTTATCGCGACTATCCCTCTGGCCTCAGTATGCCACGACCCAACTTATGATGCAGAGGCTTGCATCGCCTTGAAGCAGCGCTGGCCGTATGCTTCCGTACAGTTCGTACACCCCAGTTCTTAGCATCGCGAGTTTTCCTTTCTAAATCCATTCAGTATCCCCTCTTCGTCTTCGTTCAGCTCTCCATGGGCTCAAAACCAGACTTGTGACCCGTACACACCACAAGACAAAGTTTGCGAAATAGGCAACTATCCAGTCTATGCTGTGAATGCCTCGACCACAGATCACGTGGCTGCGACCTTGAAATTCGTCCGTGAGAACAACATTCGGCTCATCATCAAGAGTACTGGACACGACCTGCTGGGCAAAAGCAGCGGTGCAGGGTCGCTCTCTCTCTGGATGCACTCGTTCCAGGGCTTAGACTTTACGCAGAGCTATTCAGGATCCAACACGTACAACGACTATCAGGGTCCGGCTGTGCGCATTGAACCAGGTGTTATCGGCGGCGATATTCAGATGGCCGCCCAGAAGGAGGGACTTCGTGTTGTTGGAGGCACATGCGGCTCTGTCGCCATCGGAGGAGGCTATACCACCGGAGGCGGCCATTCCCTCCTCAGCGGCAAGTATGGCCTCAGTGCCGACAACGTGCTGGAATGGGAGATGATGACCGCGTCTGGAGAGCTCATAACAGCAACACCATCTCAAAACGAGGATCTCTATTGGGCTCTGAGTGGCGGTGGCGCCGGCGTCTTTGGTGTAATCGTGGGCGTTACTCTCAAAGCCTTTCCGGACGGCATCGTCTCAGGAGCAGGCATCTCATTCAACATCTCGGCCTCACCCAGCGAAGATGCGTTTTGGCTCGCGGTCGAGTCGTTTCACAACCATTTGCCGGAATGGCAGGAACAGTCCACCACGGCCACTTACTCCTTTCGCGTTGGTACATTTTCGATACAGCCTATTGTGCTGCCAGACCAGAATGAGGATGCTCTGCGTGCGCTCATTGGGCCGTTTCTCTCTGATCTTGATGAGCTCGAGATTCCGTATACCTCTCGCGTTGTGGCTTATCCAACATACCTCGACCTGCATGCTACCTACTACGGTCCTCTGCCTGAGGGTCAAGTCCTCGCAGCTGTAGTACAGGTCTCGCGGTTACTCCCTCGATCACTGATTAGCTCTACAGATGGGAAGAAATCATTGATCAGTACTCTGCAAAAGATCTATTCCCTGGTAGGTGGCTCGTTAGCCATCGTTGGAAATGGGATAGCGGTCCCCAAGACATCATCGGCAGCTTCATCCAACTCTGTCAATCCCGCATGGCGCGATTCGGCCATCCATCAACTTATCGTCTGGCCCTGGAACTGGCAGGCCAGCCTGACCTCGAACCTTGAGGCGCAGGACACATTGCTTAATGTTGTGCTGCAGCTTCTGAAGGATTTGAGCCCAGGCTCCGGAACGTACTTGAATGAGGGTAACCCGGAGCAGGCAGATTGGAAGGAGGCCTTTTACGGCGAGAATTACGATAGGCTTCGGAGCATCAAGGCAAGATGGGATTCCGATGATCTCTTCTATGCCGTCACGGGTGTTGGGAGCGATGACTGGGGTCTGGACAGTGTGGGAAGATTGTGCAAGGTGTGAAACCGTCTGGTCATTTGTCGCATCGACAACGTGGAGGTCCGGGCTGGTTTCCCGTGTCCAAGGTATTTAAAATAGTTGAAGAACCTTTATTTCATTCTTGAGCTTCTGAATGGAGGATGTCCCCAACATAAATGTGTCTTGTTGTTAGCTCTTCACCCTCAGATAGACCGAAAAATATGGCTCCGATCTACCATAAACAATCAGCTCTCTGTGCATCCGCTGCACAAAAATAGCTATTTACCGACTCTTCCGGAATAAATCAAGTAATAAAGTGGTGGGTGCAGCCTGCTTCAGAAGGTTCCAATACGCAGCCCTCTCATCAAATATATCTCGGAAAAGAACTTTGGCTGACGAGCCCAATGCAATTACCCCTCTCTTCAGTCGCCCGGATGTACACACCCTCAACTATCCCACCAATAAGTACGTGATGTTCAGCCGAGAATACGTGAGATGGGGTACAGCCAACAGTTTGGGGGTGGCGCGCTTATGTCGCCTCCAATGGGGGAGGGAACGCCTCGTGGGTCGCCTCAGCCGGTAAATTCCATGGTAACAGCTTCAGGTGGTGGTCAGAAGACTCGATTTTGGGCTCTCGGTTCGAGATCTACCTATATCACAGGGCATGGGATGTTCATGGGTCGTAATAGTTCTATTTAATAAACCTCTGGGTCCCAAGGCCAGCCAACAACAACCAGACCCAGTGTGGGATGAATGTCACCGATTTCGCCTGGATCCCCCCCGTCTGTTTGTCGCCTGGATCAAGCTTCCAGGGCCCAAAACACGTGCGGGAACGGGTAATCAATCAGCCCTTGCGCGGTTGGGTGCCGGTGCCCCATGGCCACGGTTGCCCCCATAACCCAAAGGTGAGCTCACTTGCTTGCCATGGGAGGATTTGGCTACTGAAACAAGGCGTTGGTTTGGGGGACGGGACACTAAAAATACCCAGCTGAGTTAGACCATTGACATTGAGGGGTCCGGAAAGTCAGGGGTATCGCCCTGTTATCTCAAACACACTTGAAGCCGGCTTAGCCGCAGAATTCTTTCCCCATTGCGACGCGAACAATCGATCCCCAAGCTTCCATCCTTAATGTCGCAACCCAACGACCTGAGAACCCAAGACATCAAGCAATGAGTCCTCGAAATCGCCCTCCCGCGCCCAAGCCAAAGCCGGGCGCGCGGCAGGCGGTTGACTCGACCGAGACGACGCATGACTTTACATTTGTCAACACGACGGGGGCGCCCAACCTATCACAGCCGGCGGCTAAGCTCATGAGGGGCCATGTTACCAAAACAAACTTCGCAAAGAGGCGGCAGCGCCTGGCCAGCGGCGGCGGTGATGTCGCGAACGAGTCCACGGCGGGATCGGGATCGGATAGGGGCAGCAACAGCAAGCAGAGCACCGCGAGCCCCGAAGCTGATCAAACGGAGCCGGAGGACGACCTCGCGCAGATGAACCCCACTGGCTCCGATACGAGCTCACCTCCGTCTGCAGGCCTGCCCGGCTATGAACAGATCCGTAAGTGGCATCTCGGTCCCTCGCCAGCTCTCGCCCAGTGCTTACCATGTCTACAGTTTCAAATTATCTCTCCCTAGCATATTTGGAGAAGAAGGAAGCGGCACAGAGCCCGGTCCAGACCGCGTGGCTCCATTATCTTGATGCCGAGCCAGCGCTCCTGGCCATTATTGATGCCGCGATGGCGATCGCATACGGCGAGTCTCTGTCGGAACCTAGGACAGACCACACCGCTGAGGCATACTCACAATATGCCACGAACCTGCTCATCCAGCGAATCCAAGCAGGGGTGGCGAAAGCAGACAACATCTCGCCTATTGTCTTAACCATGACAGTTTCGGCGCGTCTCATGGGCAATGACTCACTCTGGAACATGCACATCAACGGCTTGGTGGCCATAATCAAAGAGAGGCGCCAACAAAACAAACTAGAGCTCCTTCCGTGGCTGTGCGACGTATTAATCTTGTGAGTGCGCCCCAACGAGCAGAGTCTTCACGCTGGTCCACGGCTAACAGCATCACTCTAGAGACTCAGTCAACTACATTTTAGGCTACCCAAGAGTGTATCACTGCAAGTTGATTGATGCGCTAGAGAACACCAGCCAAAGCTTGTCGGAAGTTGCCCGAATATCCGATGACTTAATCAAGATGCGAGAACTAATCGACTTGCACCTATTAAACCACAAACACACGGACCAGAACCGCATTGTCAGCCAGATCGATGCTTTGTCAATCCAATTATTTAATCAAGCAGAGATCCTCCTGACCGACGGGAAACCGAACGTCCGGGTGTTTGCGATATGCGTCGAGCTCCTGCTCAAGCTCCTGTGGCCGCCACTAGAGCTTCAGTCTCAAGAGAAGATCACAAGCCTCGTCAGCGATTTAAAAACAAATATGAACCAGATCCCGTTCAAGCCGTGCGGGATCTATAATGACTTCACGTCATGCCCGATTATGCTCGGCGCTGTTTCGGGGGTGAAGGACACGCCCGCCAGGCAATGGTGTGTGAACACGCTGAAGACCGCACTGGCCGGGATACGACTACGAGGATGGGGGGAACCGCTCACAATTCTGGAGAAGTGGCTTGCGAAGGAAACAATGCCCATGGAGGATATCAGAGGTTTATGGAAGGAGGTAGCCGATGGCGAGATGCCGATAGAGGATGAACTTGCCGGCATGTGTGTGTCGCCATTTAGCAGGTTGTCGCCGCCAACCTAAACATGTCACGAAATGATTCATGAACAAGTAAAATTAACTCACTCATCAAGGGGCCATTCTGCATAATTGTGAATGATGTGCTATCGAGCTATGACTACTTCCCAGCAAGAGGCGCGATTCACAATGAAGAGTGATCCAGATCTATCACCCAGTCTCCTGTCTGTCAATATAGCCTCCCATGTCAATGCACCATGCTCACAATTTCAAATGCCGGCCTGCACCGGCGCTAACGCATGCTTGTTTGCGAGCGTAACCTCAAATCCCCAAGTGCGCGCATCGTGAAACACCAAGACTCCTTGGATGTGCTCCATTGCCGCAACCGCCACCCTTTGGTCCGCTGTCACCTGGTCTCGACGCCACCCTGCCGGTATTACCAGGATGATCCTGTAATTAATATTCAATTAATCTATATGACCCGAGACTAACACATTCCGAGACTCCCGTAAATTCAATCGATGCTCGAATGGGAACCCCATCAGCGTAAACAGCCGGCAGGGGTACAGAAATGGGCAGGAAATTTTAGGGATGCCTGGTCAAGGGCAGAGCCTAATCGGTCCCTGGGCTGAGCTGAGTTGAGCTGAATCGTTTCACGTGCCTTACTTTTATTTTTTGAACCAGGGAACAGCGGATCATGCCATCGACACCCAAGATTCAACGCGCGTTGAGAACCTCTCTGTACACCGCGGCCTCACCGTACACATAGGGCGAAATAATTGTCATATGAAACTGTGCATGGTACAACCTGTGAGCCCTGCGGGATAGTAATTATTCGCCCGTCATGCCGTTCAAGAGCCTGTTCAGCTCACGGAAGAGCAAGGGGGAAAAGTCTCCCCAACCAGCCGATTCCGACAAGAAGAAAAGGACAAAGCCCATATCAAAATCATTACTCGCAAAATGGTCCAAGCCCCAGCTAACTCCAGGGGTCTACGGCGCCTTCCCGATCTCATTTGTCGTCCGGTTCACGACTCCGGGCGACAGTCGCAGTGGCCAGAACCTCTGTCTCGGTGTCGATTACCGCGGCACGTTCCTCCCGCTGAACGCCGTCACCTTTGACCTCACAAACTGGAGGAACGTCACTCTGCTGTCCACGCCGGAGTTGGACTCTGTCCCCCTGAGCTACATCGGCGACGAGAAGCTCATGAGCCTTGCCATCGTGGTGGCCCTTCCCTCACCAGCCACGCCAGAGGTGGAAACCAACCACGTCCAGAGAATAAGCGTGATTCCCGGGAAATGGGGCAAATTCCGATTCACTGCAATGGTGGGCCCAGAGGGGGCGCAAGAGGAAGAGGAATTCGAGTGGCGAAGTAGCTATGAGGAAGAGGGGGGGAAGGATGAGGCGTTGCCCCTCTTCCGCCGACTGGTACGGCTGAGGACCAGCTCAGAGGGCCGTGACGATGTTGTTTTTGAGTATGCCTCCGAGCTTTGGTGGCGAGACATGTACGAAGGTAGAACAGCGGGGGCGTGCACCTTCAAGGGTGCAGGCTTAACCGGGGAGCTAGGGCCGATGTTTACTCTTCTGGCCGTCACGAGTATCCTCAAGATCATATGTATCGAATGGTGGCAGAAGGTGGTCGGGAAACTTATCGTTCAAGGGACCAAGAAGGTGGCTCTGGGTGTTGCTACAACTGCCATCGTCGGTGCGAAAATCACAATGGTTGGCGTCAATATTGCGCTGAATACGGGGGCAATATAAACTACAATATAGTCGTGCTACTGATATATGATTAATGAGATGACGATTGATAATATTGAGTCCTTCATATTTCAATACAAATAGCTATGGTAAATGAGCAGAGTTGATGGCCAGTGCCCCGGTAAGAAAGTTAAAGCTTACTCCTTCTCCTCCTCCTCCTCCTCTTCTTCTTCCTCCTCGTCGGAATCCTCCTCATCCTCGCCCAAAACCTTGACGGTAACCCCCTTGTCTTGCGCATACACGCTAAGACACATAACGCAAACAGGGTTCCAGGGCAGCTTGTCCTCATCACTGTCGTCATCGTCTTCCTCTTCCTCTTCCTCCTCGTCATCATCATCGTCATCTTCATCAGAATCCTCCTCTTCGGAATCCTCATAGTCAGAGTCATCCTCATCATCTTCATCTTCCTCCTCGTCATCATTCTCCTCCTTCTCCTTCTCCTCCTCTTCTTTCTTCTCCTCCTCATCCGCCTTGGCTTTGCGGTTTCTTCTCCTGTTTCGTCTCTTGTTCTTTCCGGCACCAGGTGCTGCAGATGCTCCTTTGTTGGCTGGAGTGGCCTTTGCTTCCTCCTCCTCCTCATCATCATCCTTGGAGTTCTTGCCTTCCTTCTTGATACGCTTGTCCAGCTTCTCCTTGATCTCTGCCATGTCCTGGATCATCTTGTTCCTCTCATGCTTGTTCAGCTCCAGCTGCATCTCCGCCATGGCTAGCTGCATCTTCTCCATAGCCTGAGCCATGTCGTTTTCAGCCTCTTCCTTTCGCTTCTGCTCCCTCTTCTCCCTCTTCTTCTCAAGCTGCTTCCTGATATGAACCTCATCTTCATCCAAGACGCCAACCTTGGCATGGGCGATGTCATGCTGCATACCCAACTGCTGCAGCTTGCGGGGATTCTGGATGGCATACTTCTTGATGACATCCTCAACGGGTGGTCGCCCGGGGTAGCGCTCAGCGTGGACCTTGGGGAGCACCTCGTACTTGCCAGGCTTGAGGTAGACCTCGCAGTTGATGGCGCGGTTTGCGGGATCGTGGTTGCTGCATCTTGCCTGGCCAAGAATGGCGGGTGAGTCCACGCTGCGGATGAGGAACTCCATGCTGAAGGCATAAGGGCCCTCTAGCGCTTGGTAGTAGCGTTCGTCAAGCTGGGCGCGAAAGCAATTAGTCTTCACGGATCTGTCATAGGTGACTTTAGGGCATCCTTACCTGGGACAGGACAATGACAGCAGTGCCTTCCTTCTCGACTTCGACAAGGAACTTGGTCTGGAGATAGCCGGGGATCCAGCTGACAGGAGTGCTAGTCCAGTGCTGAGCGACAGTCCATCTCTCGTCAAAGAGGCGCGTTCGGTGAAGCCACTTGAAGTTGCTCAAGGTGTCTTCAAGGGTCATCCAGAACACTCCATCATCGCCAAACTCGTGTTCAAGCCTGGTGATCATATCGTGAGTCCATTCCTTGGATCCATCCGACCAAGGGCCATGCCACTCTCCAAGTCCAGCCTCGGCATTCTGACCCCACGGGTTCCTATTATCACGAAATGTCAGCCGCGCTATGTTCTCACAGTCTCTATTGAAAGAGCCCTCATGTGAAGATGGGCCAGGGAAGTCGTGGCATTCACACTCACCTGATCTTGAGCAGCTTGGTCTTGACTCCCTTGCTATCCTCCACCTCGACCGCGCGGGTGATGGCGTAGGCATGATTGAGCTGAAGACCATTCTTCTTGTCGACGTTTGAAGGTCCAGAAGCAGACAAGCCGAAGACGAACTCGCCATTCTCTCCATCGACCTCGACAAGCTCTCGCCAAAGCTTCTCTTTGCGCAGCACGCGGTTGCTCAGAATCATACTGGTGACACCACCAGTGAGATCCTCAACAGCGGATCCGGACCAGCCTCCTTCAATGGCTTCAAAATCGCCATGAATCTTGGCATACTACACGAGGGAGCAATCAGGTCAGTTATCAGCTACTCTCTGGGGTATGGATACAACTCACAGCCTTCTCAAGCAGAGGCAGCCAGGTCTCATTCTCACTCTCGCACTGGGCGCAGAAAAGAGCCTCGGAGCCAGATTGGTATCTCTTCTTCCAAAGCCTGGTCTTCTTGCCGCTGCTGTCGTAGATCTCATCGCTCGCGCCGTAATCCTCGGTGTGCAGATACAGGTTGTCGTCGATGATGGTGGGAACCCACTCCCCGTCCTTGAAGAAGACGAAGCCGTAGACGCCGCACTCCTCGTCGCGCGCGACGCAGATCTTGTTCATCAGATCCTTGCGGTGCGCGATGTTGCCGACGCCGACGAGCCACCAGCAGTCGCCAATGGCACCCTGCTTGATGTCGGAGCCCGAGAAGCCGTCGACGGTGAATTGGGGGTTGTCAAAGATCCACGGGATGCGGTGGACGGCCTGCGGTCGCGTCTTGGCGGTGCACGCGAGCACGCCCTGCCGGTTGGCGGGCTTGTTCCTGCTGCATTTATGGGGAGGCTTCTTCGACTTGGACGAGCGGGAAGACTTGCTGGGCCTGGCCGACTGCTCGCCATGCTTGGGGTGGTGATGCTCGTCCTCGTCATCATCGGAGCTCTCCTCGGCGCAGTTGCACCGCTCGAGGCCGTACAGGCAGTCATCAAGCTCGAAGAAGAAATCCTGCTCGAGATCAAACTCGGGGTCGCAGAACTTGGAATTGGTGCTCTCGCAGTCCGCGACAGCAGTCCGGACCAGCTCCAGGCACTTGGTGCGGGCGTCCTCATAGCTCTGTGCGGCATTTCGAACGCGGGCCGAGGCCGGGACGAAATCAGGGTCAATGGTCTTGTAGAGCTCCCGGGGGAAGATGGAGGTGACCTTCCCGGGCGTCTTGTGGTGGAATCTGTCCCAGAAACGAGAGACAATTGCCTGGGGGTGGTCCTTTCTGGACCTCTTGGGCTTGGACGATTTCTCCTCAGACGTCATGATTGCAATTGGATGGTAGTGAAGGCAAGGAATGGATCAGAATAGAAAGAATCGATTATTCACTAAAAAAAGAAGAGCTGACTGTGCGAGCTTTCTTGGATGAATATTGGAAAAGAAGAAACGGCGCCGGGGCTACGAAATCATTTATTACTCCCACCATGAAGACAGATTGCGTACGCACTCTCACCACATGAGACGCAGTGCCACGCTGCAGGCAAGCCGCAAAGTAAGCCCAGCAGCATTGGCTGATTTGGCTCACTAAGAAGGAGCTGAGTGGGCGAGGATCAAACAACCAAAGGACCCCTCCTTTCACTAAAGCTGCAACATTCCAAGCACGTAGCTCTGGCTGGTTTCTATATATAAACCCATAAGGGGCTTGCATGTGTTGGGAGTCCGAAACGTTCTCGAGCGGGGGCTGAGTATTGTGGCCGTTTTAGTACAGCTCCCCGCTCCAGATGCTGTCAATTGGGTGTATTTTTGTGTATTTTCGTTGCAGGTCTTACTCAGCCCGAGCTGGGCACACGTACTACCGACGCATGGACATTCCTCCCCACGATTACTACGACCCAGTTCCGGCAGTTAACCCCTTAGAACTGGGCCGCGGGCAAGCCAAGGTATCGGTCTATAGATTTTCCGTACTGGATTCAGCGAGCTGAAGAAGTCAGATGGATGATTGAGGGGAACGTAGGGGCCACAAGCTCCCAAAACAAAACACCAGGCGCGTCTGGTTGAGTGGGGTTGTGATATCAATGTCTTGGCTGGAACGTTCCCAAGTCCCCGAATCATAAATGCGCACCACACCCCCATTGACTCACTAAATTAAAATGAGACAAGCTGGGAGCGGCGTTCAATTTAAGTTTATACCAAACAGGCTCGTGGAGTTCTAGAAAGACATCTGCACTTGGGCGAGCTGTTTGGCATGAGATGAAATGGATGGCGACACCTCACCGCCTACCCTGTACCCGAAATATTCGGGGTCATTTGTAGGCTGTCGCTCAACAGGTTTTCAATATTAAAACTATTTTGCCCAATAGAAGAGAAAAAAACGTTCTAGCAAGAAGCCAAATTGCTCGTACAATAATAAGCCAGCCTAGTGCTAACAAATAGGATGCCAGAATGTGGGATAATTTACAGCTGCAAGTGTGAGTTCCTAAGAGGTTGAAAAAATCATACCATATTTTCGTTGGAACAGTATCATCATTTTAATTACATCCTAAATTAGCCCTACTTACTTGAAAGGAACATCATCTCAAGTGGACTTTTCTCCTAGAGACCGACGTAACACCATTTTACGTTGTTCGCACAACGAATGCAAGGTTGCTCTCAGACTAGTAGAGCAATAACTATCCAACATACCTCTCTTCGGCAACTCAATACAAAGGCATAAGAGATACCGGGCATAGACAAAAAGTAGCCATATTTGTATACTTTCTCCCAAAGACTGATAATTTGGAGAAGCCGCTCTCAAAGTTGTCCATTGAGTTTGGGTGACCGAGAATGACATTTAGTCTAATCCGACAACAAGAGAACTATAAGCGAACCCCGAAAAAGGAAAGTATTATAGTTCAACGGGAACTCTATCTATGTATTCTCTTCCAACAAAGCATATCGGCAGCAAATTCCGTTTTCGCCGATATTGCCTGCTTAAGCTCGGAGTTTGAGCCCACCCGGAGAATTTTCAAAGTCCGGACCGTCCCAGCTAAAGGGGCCCGGCTGCCGACTACTCAAGATGAGCAGCATTTCGGACGATTTCTAACGTACTTTCGGGCGAGACGCTGGAAATGGGTAATCTTCGGGGCCAATTGCCCAGTGTTGTGTCTTCAAACGCTCCGGAGATAAGATTCACAGTTTGGTCTAGGAAGGAGAGAACCCGATGTTGACAAATCTAAACCTTGGCCATGCTCGAATCTGCGCAATATTGGACCAAATTGACAAATCATCATGTAATATCTATACTTTGCTTGACAAATCTGGAATGAACCTTGCCTATCTCAGTCTCTTCTTGTTGTGAGGTAGAGTGATTGACATGTTGAGAAGGCTCTGAACCCAGTCTATAAGTACGATCAACAACCTGCCAAAAACAGTATTTCCAAACAAACCAGAGCCAAAACCAAACCAATATCCTAACACCCCTTTTAAACCACTACTCGCTTCTCACAATGTCCTCAAGCTTGAAGCCACTTACTCTCTGGGGCGATGGCGGCATCAACCCCACGAAAGTCGCCGTCATTCTATTCGAGCTGAACCTGCCCTTCAACACCGAAAAGGTCCTTCTGAGCGATATCAAGAAACCAGAATACACCGCCATCAACCCCAACGGTCGCCTTCCTTCCCTCCGCGACCCCAACACGGGCATCACGCTGTGGGAGTCTGGCGCCATTATCGAATACCTCATTGAGCGTTATGACACCGAGCATAAGCTCAGCTTCGAGGCAGGCACACCGGAATATTACCAGACCAAGCAGTGGCTTCACTTCCAGATGTCCGGCCAGGGCCCCTACTACGGACAAGCATCTTGGTTCAAGATGTTCCACAAAGAGCCGATACCCAGTGCTATTGAGAGGTACGCCGGCGAGGTGAACCGTGTCAGCGGTGTTCTGAACACGTTCCTGGAGAAGCAGGCCAAGGATGCCGGTTCCGGCAGCGGGCCTTGGCTCGTTGGGCAGAAGGCCACTTATGCCGACCTGGCTTTCCTGCCTTGGCAGTGGCTGATCTCCGTCGCGCTCACCAAGGAAGAGTACGACGTTGAGAAGTACCCGGCAATGAAGAGCTGGTTGGATAGGATGGAGGCGCGTGAGGGGGTGAAGTCTGGACAGGCGACCATGAAGCGCCTGGATTAGACGGGCAGCTCGTTGCATGTATTGCCGATTCTCGGGGTCCTACTGCAGATTATGAGGTTACCAGCCTTAGGCGAGAGGAGGCAAAGTCTATGTGAGGGGGAGATAGTGAGGGTTAGAGATGTAGTGCATAGCAAGATGCGATCCTTGGTCCTCATCTCCAACTCCGAGTTCTGAACGATGTTAGGTTCTTTTTAGTTAGCTCTACTGTTCAATACAGGTGAGCTTATTTACTGTAGGAAACAAAAAGTCACAAATAGCTGGCTGAGAAATTCACATTCACACAATTTGTTGACATTGGCGCAGAAGAAGCATTTGGATAGAAATGGACGGTATATCGGGTTATGAATGCCTACTTCTAGCATAATAGACATTACGGACTTAGCAGCACTTGGAGAGAATGATGTGCAGCGGTTTCAATCATATTCATGAAGTGAAGGGATTATTGAACCTATATGTTGATGTCATCAGTTAGGATGAACATGTGTCGAACTTTCGAACCGCTTCAATTAAGACCGCTCACTTCAAGCTTTGTATTCCGGCTGCTAGCCCTGCCCATTTTCATCGGCTCAGCTGATGCCTAATCCTATGCCAGTTTCATGATTTATTTGAGGTTTCTCTATGCAAGTTGAAATTAGCCCTCTCAAATGTTGTCAAAGACTCTCCAACGGAGATGCCAAACTTGGGCCATAAATGTTTGTAAAACCGTACCGGTGGACGCTTCAGTGCAGGATATGTCCCTGTTCTCATTTAGAGACACATGGAAATAGAAATTCCCCCCTCATGAAATGGACTGTTTGGTTAGCTATTGTTAGATCGTTAAGTTCATATTCAACCTGCGCGTACAAGACTGTGTCTACGTCGTTTAAAGGACAGAAAGAGATTGTGCTTTATAATCTTATATCAAGATTATGGAGAGCATGGTGAGTTTCGCCCATGTTTGCCAAGAGAGGTGAACAATAATCGGAACTGGGAAACGCTCAGAGAACATATCATTCCTGACTGCCTGGGAAGAAGGGCAAGGCAATTGCAGCTACTCTCACGATGACTAGTTAAATGAATGGTTTATCTCAAGTGGTCCGATACTGTAAGCTCACATTCTTCACATTTTTCGAGTGTGTAGATGATGGAGCTTGGTAGAATGGGTTGATGTATTGCGCTCTGATACAGACTCTGAACTACCCTCCAAATGCGTACGTTGAGGACAATTCCTCAAATCATGCAGTCAGATACCAGGTTCATCGACACTCTCTGATTGGATCATGGCATGTTGCTTCTGGGCTGTGGCTGGGCGCCACAGGATATCATGTCCTGACCAACACCATGGGATTGGTTGGACGGCTTTCTGTGAGTTGCAACTGGAGGAGCGCCATCCAATGACCGTCCGAGGATATCAAATACGAACCAAGTTGTAGCCACCTTCAGGTGGGATTCGGGTTTCCAGTTGTGGCAAGTTTTCAAATCCCGATAGTGAGGCACACGTGCACAACCGAATTGGGCAGTATATTGGCTGACTTCAGTTGTGTCTGTTATCTGACGCTCGATTGAGACTTTGGCTGGGAGGTGGCTTGAAACTATGCCAGCGAGACCTACAGCTACATACAGCAACTCATACGAATGACCTACTTGGGGGGTTGAATGCGATATTGAGATACGCTGAGTGAGCAGCAGTGGTGAGAATTGAGATAGGGGGCACACTGCACAGTTTCGACAGAATGATACCTCACATCAGGTTACAGGTACTTTTTACGTTTAGAACAGAGCGGGCCCAGTGGCTTGAAGATGTCTCAGCGGGCCGGCCCAGGAGAAAACATGACAGACGATGGACTGGACACAACGGATGAAGATGGTGCTAATTTAGCATCACCAAGATGAGCGACTAACAATTAAAGCTCTGACAAACCAAACCGCAAGGCACCAACAAGGTGATCGGTTGGAAAATTGAGTTGGTTGACCGACGGCCAGGTGGGTTCATGTCGGAGTTGCAGCCGGTAATTAATTATTATAATTACGAGGTACCTAATTATACGTGCATAAGGGGAGGGTATCATTGTCACTGCAACGCGCCTGTTGGCTGTTGGTACGCTGCTGCTTCTGCCGTTGGTTCTGCGACGCTCCAGTTGTGGTGGTCCGCGGGAGGCCTCCAGCGGCGTTTTGCTGATCAATTTCTTTACCGCTATCAGAGGTACATGGATCCGGCACGGGGCTCTCACCTGAGTCAGGTACCTTGGTGTTAGGGCATCGTCCTTGGCACAAAAGTCGCTGTTGCGCCTTTGGATGAATTAATCAATCACTAACAGATCAGCAAATCCCACACTCCACCATCTGTCATCCTAGCCAGTGTTATTGACGATCTGATGCCAGACTCTCTTGTTGATCCCGTTGCCCCTTTCCATTTGATGTCCAGCAGCACCAGCTTACCCTATAGCCCCGCCCCAGTAAGCGATGCCACCTCAGACAGACACTTGAGTATCAATGGCCATGCAGTGTGCATTATGTCAAACGTGATGTACCCTTGACATGGGAAGCGAGGGGCGAGAGGGGGGGATCATGGGACTTCTGGTGTCCCAGCCGTTCCGGGTGAGGCCAGCACGACAAGGCCGGCTGGCAATGGCGGGGAATCCAGGCCAAGCGCATCAGGTTCCGCTCAGCTCATGCTCGCTTCGTGTCTGGACCATGGCGGAGATGGTGGTGAACACGAGCCGTGTTTTCCTCGGGCGGCAGGCAGCTAGTCATGCTATCGTGACTTCTTCAGCGTCAATGCCGCCTTGGCTCCCTTCCAGAAGCCCAGCGGACTCCGCAATCACTGCTGACTGGCATGATCATGTCCCGTGTGTGGGTAAATACCGGTTTACAGCTGCTTATTCGCCCTTCTGGCCATTCGCCCACTTGTCCTTGGCGGCGCACCTCGCTCTCTCTCGTTCAGGGATTCGGGAGACAGGCTGTCGCCCACATAGCGACCCGTCGCCCTCGTCTATGTGCGTCAATGGCCCAGCAATTTTAGGGATCTTGAGAATTGCGGTGGGAATCTATTAGACATAAGTACATATTCTCGGGGCCGGACTGACCCACCCGAGGGAAAAAATCCTTAGCATTTTCGGGCGGCTTCAGCCTCCAGGGGCAGCGATCTCCTTTTCCTTAATCTTATTCTTGGCTATTTATTAATAGTTCACATCCTTTGTATCCTATCATAGGCACTCTCTGGTTGCTGGCCGGCCTTCTGGCCCTACGCATAGAGCGCCGCCCCGTGTCGTAGACTCGTAGTTGAAGGCGACGCATGCAGATGCGAGCTATCAATTAATCTAACGGCTTCGAGCAGGTTTTCCCCAGTAATGGGAATGTGGCGCCTCACGCAGCAGAGACAATGCTGCACTGCAGGTTTGACAATCTGTAGGCATCTCGTCTTGCTTTTTCTCGACCCGTCTGCGGATAGGGAGGCTCCGGAAATATAAGGGGGATCCAGCCTCCAAAGTCCAACTTGACTCTGATTTGCCACTGGCCAAGGGCACGGATCCAACTCTTCCTCTGTGCGCTCTCTAACCACTTGAGTCAGGAATTGGTTAAGGCCCGTGGCTAGCACTGGGTGATAATTAGCCAGTCGACAAGGGTACATGGTCCAGACCATCTAGCGAAGGGGCATGGGTCTTCCCCCACCTCGTTAAGCCGCTGTAGCGAATCACCGGAGTCGGAAGCACCAGTCGCCTCATCTCGTGTCCAGCCGGCCAGTCTGCCATCGGACACCCCACCGACCGAGTGTCCATAGTACGCCTAGCTGGCGAGATCGTGGCAGGAAACTCCAATGGACCGTGGGTTTAGCAGTCCCGTTGCCCAAACCTTGACGCCGTGGTGGCTGCCTCCCGAGAGCTGCTAGGCTGCTCCGGACAGATGAACGGCGTTGGGAATAGGGGGGCGATAGTGGTGCATCCTGGTTAGAGTTTTCGCGACGATACATACATAAGGTAGCTATCGGCATCGTGCTGGGCCCTGTAATTGGTGTATGTGCTGATACGGGCAGGTCAGTGCCTGTCTGATATTTGCATCGGCTTTGTTGTCCCTGGTGAGGGCAAGCCGACACCCGTCCATCAAGAACCCCAGCCCATGCCTGTGCTAAATGCTATGGGAAGTACCAAGAGTACCTATCAGCATAGGCCCAGCTCGCCCAAAAAGCCGCTCCTTTAGGTAGGATTGCCGCGGAGGCCAGCACCTGGGGCTAGCCAGCTTCCCAAGCGGCCCCTCCGGCCTACCGAACCTGATGAATGGCAAGGCCTGCCGACCGGCTCGTGCAGACCCTTGGCCCCCTTCCTGGTACGCAGGCGAGAATGTGGATGAATGGCGCACTTTTAGCAGGTGGGTAGGCTCCCTCAAGTGCTTCCTCCCTAACTGGCAGATATGATTCATGAACCGCTCTGGTGCCTGCCGCCCCCTCGCCAAAGGCCGGGTGAGAGAACTTGGGATTCATCCAGTCAGCAAGGATCCTGCTGAGATGTCGATGGAGACCAGACCACCCTGATTATTTGGCAACTCAGTTTGAGTTAAACTACGTAGATGTGATGTAAAAATAATCTACATACACGCGACTCTTCGATTCTCTACGTAGCCACCAGAATACTGGGTCGTCTCCAGCCCTATCTCGCGCCGTTCACCGGTTTCGTATTGAAGCCTAGGTCCCATAATCTCTGATCGTCAGCACGCACACCGTTCTGGTCAGCACACACCATTTGGCCATCGGCTTTCAGGGAACCTGGTGCCAAGAGTGCTACCTTTGATCCAGCCTCAGGCTTGGGCCGTTCCCCACCCCCTCCCCTTCCCGTGCGATTTATAAATGCCATGCCCATATTTTAGTCGGCCTGCGTCCCAACCCATGCTTACTCGCTTTTCTCTGGCTTGGCTTGCAACCATCACCATCTTGTCACTCTTTTAGCAGCAACCATGGCCGGTTTAGTAGCCTCAGTCTCTGGGGGATGGAATGGCATCGTCAGGAGGAGGAGATATTGGAGCATGTTTGGTATTTTCGCCATCGTCCTCTTCTTCGGCTACAGCTTGTTTATCCTCTCCACCGAGTATGATCGGGTGTCCAAGAGTATGTCCTCCCCTCCTTTCCAAGCAGCGTCGCATATGCGATCCATGGGCTTTTTGACTAACATCCCCCCCCCTCTGTTCAGTAATCAACTTTCTAAAACCGAACAAGAACGGCGACAATAACGAGGAGGCGCCTGTGGACAAGTTTATCGCGGACCTTCAGGCCAAGTACAAGCCCACGCTACACAAGATCGATAACTCGACATTCGTCACCGTCGAGGGTTACAAATACACGGTGAACGACACCAACCACTACTTCACCGAGCCTCTGGGAAAGAGGCTGCTCATCCTCGATGCCGACTCTCGTCTGGAGACCGAGCCTGGTCACATGCTGGCGCCGCCGCCCCTAACGCACGAAGACATCAAGAGGGGTACGGCTGGTATGCTGAATCACTTTCTCTATGGTACGTTCATTCTCGCCGAACCTAATCGCCGGCAAAATATTACCGGCTGCTTTATTCCAATCAATCCCGATATTAACGAATAACCACAGCCATGATCCACGGTTACGATTATCGCCTCGTCAAGTCGCCCAAGGACCCGAACCGCCACGGCACCTGGTCCAAGGTGTCTCTGATCAGGGAGGCCCTCAAGACCCACGATTTCGTCGTCTTCCTCGACTCCGACGCCAACTTCCAGTACTACAACCTCCCCTACGAGTGGCTCATGAACCTCTGGGGCGTCAACGGCGACACGCTGGCCGCCATGCCCGAGGACCCCAACTCCAAGGTCAACCAGGACTCCAACGGCTGGGTCCTCTGGAACACGGGCTTCGTCACCGCCCAGCAGAGCGAGCGCACGCAGGAGATGTTCGACCGCTGGGACAACTGCCCCTCGGGCGAGCGCTACAAGGAGTGCAAGCACTGGGCGTACGACTGGGCCCACGAGCAGGCGGCCTTCGGCGCCTTCGTCCGCTACGAGTACGAGGTCGGCAAGGACCTCGTCTCCATCTCGTGCATGGACGGCAACGGCGCCAGCTACATCGGCGACAAGAAGTGCGGCGGCGTCTTCGTCGCCCACCACTGGGGCAACAAGGACATGACCGTCAAGCAGCTCTACGACAAGCTCGACGGCCACTCGGTCGAGGAGCTGCACCGCCACTTCCACGACAACCAGCAGACCTACTACGTCAACGCCGAGACGCACACCTACCCCATCAAGGACATCACGATTTGAAGACCCAATCAATCAGGTGCTGGCATCTGGAACCCGGAAACCGGAAGAACTTGTTTCTAATTTAGAATAATCTTTGTCTTTTTCACTTGTACATACTTACTGTCGTTACCTAGATCGAAACAAGTGTATAAAATCGCAGCGTTTTTGGTTCTTTATGGAGGGGAAATACGGTATACAATAATGAATGAATCAATAAAAAATAATCAAAACTAAGTGAGCGTCACTGGAGTGCCCGCGTGTTGCCACATCTCACAATTGATGAAACCGCACACCAGACAGAAGCGACTGGGGAGTGCATCCGTGCATGCGGCATGGGCTTCTTTCAATCCAGCATCTAGAGTAAGACTTAACCACGATCAGAAACACCATGGCTTTTGCTTCCTTTTCTGGCCAGCTTCTTGTCGCCCAGGAAGGGCACATTGAATTCCCCGTTCCGGAATATATTTCGGCGATGGGCTGCCCGCGTGGAGATTTTCTCATCTTAGACCACAAAGGACAGCCAGGGGCCCTGGACTGGCGGATGAGATTAACCTATAACGGCAGAGTGGTTGAGCTTCAGTATCTGGCTCCTGTCAGCTTACATGCGGTAGTATCCCCTGACCCTTCCCCGTGGCGCTCGCTATTCGGCTTTTCTGTCATGACAGCCTTTGTGGAGTCTATGAATAACGAGATCGGCGAGCTTTGAAAGTGAGCAATCGTGATTGGTATCGCTTATGGCAGAGTTGCGAAACAAAAGAGCTGGCAGCACAGAGTGAAGATTGAGTCAGCATGGTAAGAGATGCAATTCTTTACGACGACTCGGATTGGGCTGAGATTACTCTCCCTTGATTTCTTTCTCCCATGTTTCACTGCACATTTGCTGAATGGTGGATATAGAAGGCGACGTAGGTGGAAGGAAACATACAACCGCCAAATGCCGGAACCTCTTAACGAGTTGGTCCTCAATATTGAGTCCATGGAAATCAAATAATACTATGGACTCATTGCGGGATCCGGAAGATTTCTTCAGCTACCAGTCACGATTCAAAGATGAATAAGAAAGTTTGATCTCGGAGTGTGCTAATATTCAGGCGAATATGTAAGGATGGTGCGGCTCTGCGCAGGTGGGAAGTACTGGTATGTTATTCCTACCCCTGGGAGTATTTGCTTTCTCCAGCACCTGGGTCTAACCGGCACCATGGAGATACGAGTCGGTACGTATTTGACAAGGTGGGTAAGAACTGCCGAAGATGTGAAGCCAAGACTTCTTGGCCCTCAGCCCAGCCGGGTCAACATCCGCAGCGTTCCACAGGAGTATACTGGGTACCTTGGGCGCCTTTGACCTTAAACCGAGAAATGTTAGACGGCTACTCGTGTCTGCGAAAGACACTGGGGTAGTTGGACGTACTATTCTTGGGAAAACCTCGACTTGCAGGCGATATGTCTAGTGTTCGAGTATCACCTTTCACGCAACGCATTTTACACAGAAAAGTTTCCTCGAGTATGTTCGGGCCGTCCCCGATGCTAAAAGATTGGAAATTGATTGTAAACTTTCCAGAAATGGGGGTATGTGGTTGACTAGAAAACAGGAGATTGCAGTAGTTTGAACACGGCAAAAATCTGCTAGCTTACAGTCGATTTCTAGCTGCCAATCAAATACACCGACAACGAGCAAATCAAGAGAAGAGAAGAGAATCCTAGGCCAGGACTGCAATTATATTACCTTAGATAGTATAAGTTCAACTAGCTGAATTGCCCTACCAAAGTCAGGACACTCCTCTTGCCAGTACTTGAGAGTCAGGAGACATGTTTCCAAACCCTGTTTTGCCTCATGCAAACCATTTCCCGCAACCAAACCGGCCTTTATTCCTGCGTAAAGCATTAGAGCACCCCTTACGTAGGTCCGACAAGCCAACCAAGTCCCATGGTGTCGATGGTACGCCGGCCCAAGGCCAGTCATTCTCAAAGGCGAATCAAGAGCCTTCTCGGCGAATGGTCTGATCATATCACACTCTAAAGGAGTCATGCTGGGCTTGTGGATCATGAGGTAGAGGAACGGTCTGTATACCAAAGCTCGGACGATGACATAACGGCCATGGGCAACATATTGAAGCTCGTTCATGGATTGCCCGGCCGATGAATCTTGGAGCCTAATAGATGTCGGTAGCATAGACAACCTAGTATAATATTGTCAGTCAGGAGGTAGTTATATCTTGGCTTCAAATAACACCGCAAAGAAGTATAGTTCTATCCAAGTTCTGGGCATTTTGGAAGCGCCATACCAGTTTTGCAATTGTAGCTCAAAGTCCTCAGCTAAGGATATCATATCCCCAACATTGGCTCGAAGCCACGAGTCGTTGCTTTCTCTATAAAAATGATATGTTACGCGGCTCTCGATGCGTAGCAAAGCGAGCTCACTCAAGTAGTAAAACCATGACTGCTCCTCGATTTGCTGCTGGGCAGCTGAGTGTGCAGGTAACGTTTGTGTGGCAGGAGATGGTTCTGCAGATAAGGCGTCCAGCCCAGCTATATGTTCAGTTTGAAAGGTTGGAGGTGAAGGAAGAGTGTCCGGGATGTGAAGCATCGCCGGCTCAGACATTGGTAAATTCAGCTCCGACCGCAGTTCGCTATATAACTCCTTAGCCATGGTTTGTGGAGGTTGGCTTTGAGACTAACCACTCTGATTTGATACAAGTCCAGTATAAACGTTGATGAGATTGACACTGACTTGTGAAAGATTCATTATCTTCGTCCACATGCCCAGTCCGGTGGCGAAGAAAATCGCCGCCCTTCAAGTACAGAGCACAGATGGTCGATGCGCGAGAAAAGCTGTTCCACCCATCGAGGGGGCGCATTGTGTACATTTGATAGATTCCACAGAGAAGTTGGCACTGGCAGGCTATGATGCTCCGATTCAGCAGACCAAGCCTGCGACAGGCAAGCTGATAGAAATTCTCCGCAATGATCCTGCAACCACCATGGTCGGACAATGATGAGATGTCGGATGGACTACAGGACTCAGCGCCAGCGTTCTCAAATGGAGTAGCAATAGCCCCTAGGGCACAAGAAATAAGCTGCATGAGTTAGTGGAGTAGATTGACGTCGTCGACAAATCTAACAAGCAGACAATGAGGCTCACCACAAGACATGAAATAGCATCCCACCCCGGCCCAATTTCTACTATACTGGTCGCAAATTGCTTCAAGGTATCCGTGTGTAATATTGGATTCTTGCAATGTACAAAACGCAAGAACCTATCAATATATTTGGGAATATCGTCTTCGCATATGCTTGCTCGGTGAGTACGAGTGCCCTCTGAATACTCTTTGTCAAAGGCTCTGGTTCTCTCATAGTCTGTTAGGAAGGTCTCTTCTCCAAGATGGACTTGACCCAGCTCGCCTTCAAATATAGGCCAGCTCATGACAGAGTCGGTAGAAGTAAATGAAGAGCAGAAATATGTGTTCTCCTCGATACCAGGCTGCACGTCTCGAGCTTGTTGTGGTTCAGACCTAACATTTTCTGGTGATATCGGGGGCTCATCTTCGTTGTTATCCAGCCTGCTCAAAACCTGGTTCAGCTTTTCAATTATCAACAGGCTTGCTGGATCAAATCTGGCTTTTGAGTTAGTGAGTGGGCAAAGAGCATGACGCCTGATCAAAGTTGCTTCACATACGAGGAATGGTTTGCTCGTTGTTCATAGGAGCACTGAGTTCCTAACTTGACACAAGACTGACACACAGGTCTTTCATTCGTGCACTTGGCCTTCCGTGCTCTACATGGCTCGCATGCGGTCACAGCTCGCTTGCGATGATGCGTCATGCGGCGAAACTGGAGTCTTCTGGCCGCTCCACCCGTGCCTGAAGCGCCTGCGATTGGAGAAGTCGAGTCCATGGCGCCCGTGCAATTCGCGAGTGATCGAAGCAGGGAGGGATAGAGCAGCCGGACAAGACCGGGGAGTATAGGACAAAGACCGTGAGCGGTTTTGAGTAGATTGGGCATGTGGATCAGGGAATTAATGTAGTGCTGGTGCGGATCCTCAACGTGGGGAATGAAGATATGGCCGGGGAGTGTCGGGTTTTCTCGTTTAGTCTTAGTCCACCAGATGCTCCAAAATTCAGGCAAATCATCTATAGCTCAGTATCGAAAGTCAGAGGCCACACGCGTATATTAGATACGACATCCGGGGCAAGGAGATGAGCTACCAATAATCCCCTTTCCTCTTTACTTCACCACCATTTGAATTCGGTATTGGTATCTGTTAAATTCTTCCACGAATAGAGCAGTCTTCAGGCTTCAGTAAAATGTCAAACGCAACTGCCAAAGTACTACGACGTCGGGGATGGGGCCCAGGATATGGACTGGAGCAAGTGCAGGCGGTTCAAGCAAAAGGAGGAGAAGAAATGATTCCCATTCCACAGCCGCCCACGGATGTAAGCAAACTTATTTCTTTCCCATTTTCTCTTAAGTTGATAAAGGCTTGTGCTTACTGGAAAAACGCAGCACGAGGTTGTTATGCAAACCTGCGACTCCTTTACTTTTGAATCTTTCACCGTTGATGATGCATGGGAACTTGGCCATCTGCTCTACGCCCGCTTGATCCCAAACGCGAAGAAACAGCCTTCTTTGATCTCAATCACACTTGCCAGTAGTGGCCAGACCTTGTTCCAGGCCTGCGTTGGATCGACTGTCATTGATAACGAGAACTGGATCAGGCGGAAGCGCAACGTCGTCCAACGCTGGAACCGGAGCAGCTGGTGGGCCAATTGTTTCTGGAAAGGAGACGAGGAAAAGTTCCGTAAGCTCTTTAGCCTGAGCCCTGAAGAATCCTCCAAGTACGCAATCCATGGAGGCGCGGTACCCATCCGAGTGGTGGGCGTCGAGGGCATTGTGGCTGTTGTCGGTGTATCTGGAATGAGCCAGGAGGATGACCATGGAGTTATTGTGGACGTTATCAATACGCACTGGGAGTAGATTCTAGGAGGTAATCCTGTATCTTTGGGGTCGCAGGTAATACGAGTTGTCCTTCTCATCACCGCCGGCGGCTCCAAGGTATCCTTCACAATTTTCTGGCCGAACTACAATTGTAACGTTTGGAGAGTTGATTGAACCACCGAATATGAAATAGTTTGTTATCAGCCATTGAATATTTGCTTTGATTGGAATAAGCGACATGTTGTAATTGCAACTAGAACCTGCATCTACAGAGCTCTTGACCTCAACTCCATTTTTTTGTGCGTGGCTCTAGTTGGAGGAAACAAAAACTCCACTCAATCGGACAAAATGCCGGAACAAGGTCCTTGCTTCAAGTTCAAGGTAGCACTGACCCGTATCAGTCGAATGTACAGTATCGTCATCGTGCCGGGGAAGACTCATCCAGCGCTAGAATGGCAGGCTCTGATTGGACTCGCGGAGTCTCGGACTTCTTGGCAGACCACCATGAATTCATGATGCGGGGTTTGAAGCTTCGCATATAAGTCGGGATGCTGTGACGAGTCTGCATTTTCCAAGCTGGCACACGATAAAAAGGTCCAGTCGCTATATATACTGAATCTTGGGCAGATAGCACTGGCTTGCTTTCATATGCTTCCTATTCTGCGTGTGATATCATATTAAAATCTGTCTCCTGTCTAGGCACTCTACTACCTCCCATAAACGAAATCATTCATATTGACAGCAATCATGAGTCCTATCAAAGTTGGGATTGTTGGATACGGTAATGCGGCCAAAGTTTTCCATCTCCCCTTCATCAAGACTGTTCCCGAACTCGAGGTCTACGCCATCCTGCAGAGGTCCGAGGCACCCGTTGACCCATCATCAAGCCCAAAGGGCTCTCACTGCACTGTTGACCTTCCTAATATCAAGCACTACCGCACCGCCGAGGAATTCTTCGCCGACAAGGACATTGATCTTGTAGTTGTTGCTACGCATACAGACACACACGCTTCCTTTGCCAAGCAGGCTCTGGAGGCAGGAAAACACGGTAGCTCTCAACCAATACTCATCTTGATCGCTCTGTGTTGACTCAACCTGCTGTAGTTATTTCCGATAAGCCTTTTGCAACATCAGCTGATGAGGCGGACGAAGTCATTAAAACCGCTGAAAAGTCAGGGAAAATTGCCACCTGCTTCCAAAATCGGAGATGGGTCAGTAAACACACCCACTGAGCTTCTTCTCTATTGTGAAGATAAGACTTCCTTTGTCTAACACGTGAACACAGGATGGGGATTTTCAAACTTTGCTCGACCTTAAGAGCAAGAATGCTTTTGGTGACATCAAGGAGGCAGAGATTCACTATGATTTTGAATCCCCAGAGTGGCTCAAGAATCTTCCTGAGAAATACACACCAGGGGGTGGGCTAGCCTTCGGTCTCGGTACGTAGTTTGACCAAGCCTCGATCTGTGAACTTTGACTAAACAAGGCTCTGACACAAATTTCCATCTGAAGGGACTCATAGCATTTTCCATGCATATACACTATTCGGTCGTCCCCGCTCAGTGACTGGATTCTATCGCGTTTACCGTGACGCCACAAGCGAGGTCGAGGACACATTCACTATCATCTTGCAGTATGGAGATGATCCCCTGAAGGGCAGGCTCGTTACAGTTAAGACTGCAGTCATCACCCCGATGGCTCAGCAACTCAAATATTGGGTTCGCGGAACCAAAGGATCCTACATCAAGTTTCAAAAACGCAGCTTTTGTCCACAAGAGGAGGACTTGGCTGTGGGCAAGGGACCGGCAGATCTCGACTATGCAAAGGAGGCCGAGAAGTATTGGGGAACTCTTACGACCTATGACGAGTTTGACAGTTCCATTCAGAAGTTTGAACCTGAGATCAATAAGTACACCGGCCAAGTCCCCACGATTAGAGGAAACTTCTCGGGCGTATATCAAAATCTTGCCCGAGCTATATTGGGCAAGGACGAGTTGGTAGTTAAACTACCCGACGTGAGAGATTGCCTACGAATTCTTGAGCTGGCAAGGGAGTCGCATGAGAAGGGCATTACAGTGGCGTGGAGGTGATGTGGCACGGGCACAAGTTTCATTAGGAGTGAGAGAACCTGGCCATCAACTGCTGCCACGAACAACTTCTACAAAATGATGTAGCTGTTCACTACTGCGTTAGAATTGATCTGGCGGTCTACTAGATTGATATCACATAGCTGCATTTATAACACTAGAGCTTTTTGGTAACTAGGGACCACGATGCTGTATACTAAAGGACGATACCTATGAAGAAAAAAGCATCCGTCTTCCTCGAGGATACGTAGGTTACTGCATCACTTGAAGAGGTAATTGTTTCGATTGACTACAAATATTCCCTACGATTGAATCTCAAGGCAGTGGAAGCTCCACGATTCATACCATCTTAAGCTTTCGGAATGACCTCTAGTTTTTGCTTTCTGCTTAACTGAGTCCAGGTGGCTGTGTCGCATGTGACCCCGAAATGTTTCCTTGTAGCCCTTTGGTTTGATCTGGATTTTCTCTTTCTTAACTCGTATGAGAAAAGTATCCGTACAGATCCAATGCTAAACATTAACCTTCCCGCGCACCTGATTTAAGTTGAGCTGAGTAGTTCCTCCATAAACCAATTTTTCTGGTTGTGATAGGATTGTGGCTAGTATGCGAAATTTGACACTTTGACTCGCTGTAAAATACCACTCCGGGTAAGTCATGACGTTCCTTGACTAAGAGGCAGACTCTAGGCTCTCTTATGATGGCTGTGCATGCAGGTGAGACCAACACTTTACCAGCGGGGACCATCAATTGGCTGATATGGCGTGATGTGGCGCCTGCTGACACAGGGCGCAGGCTTCTATATTAATGATTTGCATTAATGAAAAGAAAATCATCTACCCCCTCCATCCGCCTGGTCGTTTCTTGTGCCTATCGGTTCGCCCCTTCCTTCAATCAGATTATCGCCATGGAGGAGCTACGTCGCAACTATTTTACATGGGAGCGCGAGCCCTATCCAACTGAACTGTTGGCCAACGAAACTCGTTTGGTGGCTTTGCTACCGGGAAAATGGAACGACGAGGTTCGATGTGAGCTCTTCCACGTTTCTGGTGAAAGCGCGATTGAACGACCCCCTTACCAGGCCTTGTCATATGCATGGGGCGCACCAGGCCATCAGGCGGCTCATATTCAAGTGAACGGTTGTGAGTTTGCCGTGACTGTGAACCTCAATACAGCTTTGAGGTTTCTCCGGAACAACGACGAGCCTATTGTTCTCTGGATAGACGCACTGGTGAGACTGCCTACTCTGCCTATGCCTCTAAGCTATATGCTGACTTAACAATAGTCTATCAACCAGCAGAGTGATAAAGAGCGCTCTTCTCAGGTCGCTAAGATGCGCGACATATATGAGGCAGCGGATCAAGTAATCATATTCCTTGGAGACGATTCAAGCCATAGAGCAGGGAAATCGCCCAGGCGAGACCCCGGACCCTGTGTGCGGTTCACGGGACACGATTCAGATGAGGACCTTATAAGACAATACATGCGAAAGTGGGCGTCATCGCTCACAACGAAACAGATATCGGCACCTGACATATTTTGCATCATCGCCATCTTGTCAAGACAAATTAGTTGCCTCAAATTCACACAGGAAATCCCAGGCCGCCATCTGGGTGCCATTTTCGAGGCGCTACGGACTATGCTCACAGCCCGTTGGTGGGATCGAATCTGGGTTGTCCAAGAAGCCGTCGTGGCTGAGCGTATGGTCGTGAGATATGGCAATGCTTCCATGCCCTGGAAGATGCTCGCTACCGTAGCGAGTCTCTATCACCAAGGCCTTCTTTCGGCTACCATAGCGAGTCTGTACCACCAAGGCCTTCTTTCTGATTGCCCTGATTCGGTCTCGTCGGATGACACAAAAGTCTTGCGACTTCTCTCCCGGGTGAGGGACCTGGACCACTTTCGGCAGACTTGGCGAGCCCAGTCCCAGAAATTAGATCTCCTCGCCCTGCTCAGACAATTCTGTAATCGCAATTCATCCGATAGTCGTGACAAGATTTTTGCACTTCTAGGTCTATGTGACCAGTCACAAACTTTGAATCCCAACTATTCGTGGGATGAAGTAACGGTGTATGTGAAATATCTCATACAGATCATCCAACAAAAAAGGTCACTCTCCCCATTAAATGGGGATATTGGCCGCAAAAACAGGCGAGACATGCCATCCTGGGTGCCCGACTGGAACGCTACCTTCGACGAATCTGACCGTGGACGACTGGCTCTTGCGGAGCTGTACGACGCCTGTGGAGGGGTTACTAGTACTGTATTGGTGGTTGGCGATAGTCAAAACTCACGGTTGCCTGATATTGTTGGTGGTAAAGTTTGGGAAGGCTGGGATCTCGACAAAGCCATCTCACAAGTTGAAGAAGGCATGGTCCAATTAGTCGAGTCTCTGGAGAGCGAGACTCAACCAAAAGCATATTTGCCGGCATATGCTAAATCTTCGTTAGAGGCTTATGAGCGCTGCTTCCAAAGGATGGCTGGACATAATGGCAAATTGGAGGCCTTATTCAATAAGCTGATCTCGTTCTGTCATCCAGAGGGACAGAGACAACATACGCGGTTTATCAACCACAGCCTGCTGATCGTTGAAGACAGAAATCTGAACGGTTGCGGAGATGGGTCTTTGGCAGCGAGAGGGCGATTCCTCGGGACTGTATCCAGAGTCCTCGAGCCATTATACTCTTGTAGCGACACAGAGGATGTGCTAATTGGAACGAAACAGTGGTTTGAACGCTGGCTCAAATATATGAGCCTCTCTGTCGACAACTATGACCCGTTGCATCTCACTACTGTGTTTGCAGAAACTCTGTTATCTAGTGCTAAACTAACTGAAAACGGCCTTGAGAGACTGGAAAAACAAGATAACGCTCATTTGGTCTCTTGGTTGTGGCGCATCCTCTGGAGGGTAGACTCTGACCAACAAATTCATCATCTGTTTAAGGTCCTATCTCTTAATATTGAAAATATCAACAATTTGCCCGACCACCTAGTTGCGGAATCATATTCAGCTGCTATGCGACTTTCTATCACCAAACGGGCGTTTTTCATTGCGCACGATGGCAGAATTGGGTTGGGGCCAATATCGATGCGAGCATTGGACGAGATATATGTCCTTCCTGGTGGCAAAATGCCCTTTATCCTCCGCAGAATTCCTCGCCAAAACAATGGCCCAGGTCAGTTTACAGATTCAGCATTCAGCCTGGTGGGCGAATGCTATCTTCATGGATGTATGGATGGACAGATGGGTTTGCCAAACGAGGGGGGAATTCCGGACTATCGTCACTATTTTCAACATAGGCCCATACAAGGCTATGAGGTTCTAGCGAAGAGTGAGCCAGATATACGGTGGATCTCTGTAGTTTAGAAACCTAGCTGGTCGGCAGCCAATTTCGAACCTGACCGACCACCATTCTTATCATGCACGAATGGGAAGCTATTCAATATGAATTGCATGGAGAACTTCGGGCTTCGATGGATGGATGACAGTCCATTTTATCTTTGCCGTATGTGACTCCATAAGAGTGAGGAAACATGAACTCTGGTTATCAGGAATCGAAACGGCGGGGAACAGAACTTTGGTAAGGAAGGGAAACATTGGCTAGCTGTAAGTTCAATACAGCAATGTCAAGGATTATGGGGCCAAAAAAGACTTCAAGTCGGCTATAAACAATTTGCAATCAAGATCGGTGGAAGCACTTCCACGGGCAACAAGCATGCTTGTGGTTTTTCTTGAGTTGGTTCTTCAATCAATCGATCAACCATATGTTAGATACTCGTTGTTCTCTAAATTGATGATTAAACTCTAGTTATCGGTAATGGTCAGATATTCCCCTAAAAATATTCATTGTGTTGAGTTGTCGAGCTCTGGCAGCTTCCATTGCTGTTAAACTTTATTCTCTTTCTCTTAGGTATTCCCCTAAAAAAGGTAGCGGTGTTATCGCTTTCTAAACAGGTCCCGCGACAATCTACTTAAGGAGACCACCGCCAAAGAAGTCTAGATCATGGGCTATTGGTTGAGGAACCAGGGGGAATGCTTGACTAGATAAACAACCGGGATCGGAGCGAGATCAGGAGGTGGATTAGTTCTCGACTGCTCAAAACAGAACCCTGCCATTGACCACCAAAACCAAGCCCCAACCCATATGTAGCCGATTGTTCGCTGGATAGTCCTCGGAAACAGCCCAGAGCATGTGTACTGAACAAGTTCTTCAAACAGGATACCTAGCGGTTGCAGCAGAAAGAATATCAACACACCGAAACGTCCCTGAGCTAAACCATCATCCTTGAGTTCCATAATATAGTGTAGCGTGCCGCTCATGAAGAAAGGAAAAAATAGGCGAGAGAGGCGAGAAAGAGGGGAGCCACGAGGAATGCACAGAATGTGGTCTGATGTAAAGTCTCCAAACGCAACAACCACTCTTCGTAGCACCTGGTGCCAAGTTCGGCTGTTTGCTCGAATTAGTTTGCAAATCCTGCGACCATCATTGGAATACAGTATACGAAAGGAACTCACCCCCACAGCCCGCGAATTGTGTAGGCATTTCTGAGAGAGCCGAAGATAGGCGGCCAAGACTCTGGCTTGTTGAGACCGATTGCCACCGTCAATCCAGCCGCAAAGTAATACATGCAAATGACAGTTAAGCACGTGATTATGGTGAACATGAGAACAACCATGAATCTGAATACAATATCCTCGGCGGATAGGGTCCAGAAAGCATGCAGAGTTTCTTTCCCGGGTTCCAGAAGATGCGGCTCAGGCTTCGGCGGCAGTCTGAGAATAACATCGATGATGGTTGAAGCAGAAAGAGCTTTCAGCATGCTACGGAATACAAAGCCGAAGCGGCCCTGTGCCTTCGAGCGCTTAGCTATACCCTTGACTTCCCATTTGGTACCAATACGGCGGGGGTTGAAGATCAGAGCCAGAGCCTGCAGCCAGGCACCAGCCATTGGCCCAGGTGGAGGGTTCGAAGGGTCGCCGAGCTCTGATATATCAGCGCGCGAGAAAAGGATCAGCTCGATGAGACTGAGATAGTTGTGCCATAGCATTGGCCCAAACACCCTCTGCTGTAACGGGTTGAGGATGTCGTTTCCCGCGTTATGAAGAAATTCCGTGAAGATTGCCAGAGCGATCGCAGCACAAAGGCGAGTTACTGTGGCATCTCTCCGGGTGCAGACGACGACAAATGCAAAGAAATTGGAGTATAGCCCTGCCGCCAACAAAAGCTTTGCTGGAGCTTTCAATGTGGACTCCATAGTTTGGGGTGTGATTGCATAGGTTGCATGAAAGGGATTGAGAATCAACGAGGAACTGAGGATGCCGTACGCTGACGGCAAATGCATGCCAGCTGTCCCATTTATCACATTTATCATCAATGCTCTTTGTGCTATGATGGACTAGGTCTAGTGCTGACTACTTGCTAGCTCGATGAGGGTTAGATAAATCTCCAGGTAATCGTAATTTGCATGAAACCGTGAGATCTTTGACACGGGCAAAAAAAATAAAAGCCGCCCAGATTATCGACTGATCTTGAAGGTTAAATTGTTCGGTTGACAATCGATATAGGTTGCACCAACTTCTTTGTGTCTTCAATGTACGGCCCAGTTAACAAGACTATTTTGTTGGATAACAAACCATAACTCTACGGGGCCAAGGAGTAAAAATCTGGAACATGATGCATAACACAGAGAATGATGGAATGAAAGAATAAGTTGGCCAACGCTCCACTAATGGTTCATATTTACAATTCGACCTTGTGGCTTTAAAGAAGCGGTGTTCGGCACATGACCCAGGCAGGAGATAACTGATTTCATCGGTTAAAAACGGAGAACTGAATTGGAGCCTGATCACTAAATTATTTGCTCTTTTGAAGACGGCATTCTCAGACTTCTGTAGTGCCTCATGTTCGATAGCCTCTGTTAGCCGTTCACTCCCGGGTGCTGTCGTTTATGAGCATCCCTGCCCCCACCTTCGCCTAGCTAACTGGCCACACATCATTAGGGCTACAGATGAAGCTGGTAAGCTTAGAAAGTTCCAATTCGAGGCACCCTCCTTCAATTCTTTGCGTCGATCCATCATTTTGATGCATGCATGCTTCCAGTACGTTTAGATGGACTGATCCGTCTTCATTGCGGGCCAGGCCTTTCGCCCATCTCTTGATAGCCTTGTCCATACAGCCCTTACAAACAACTGCATTCAAAATGTGTATGGTGAGAATTAGAATCTTAGTCTAGGTTTCTTTCCTATCATGATCGCAAATGATACCTAGAGATGATATCTATATCCGCAACAACTGACTTCATTTTGTTCTAGATTCTAGCTACCCACGAAGCTGTGTCAGACTTATTCTTCTCAAATTTTCTTTCTAAGAAGCATTGACCTATAGAATCGAGTGTAGTTGAGCTCTCATCAGCAAAGAGCTTGGTAAACAAAATTGGGTTTGCTGGTTGCGCAAAAATAGATAGCACTTATGCATCAGTGCTTGTCGTTTTGAAACTGTTCCCGTGCCAGGAGACAGGCTAGCATTTGCTACATGCTGATTTTCATCCTTAATAATCTTCAAATTGACTTTCTTTTGGTGTATGATAAATTTACATTATTATGTTTCTAGCTCTAGTAGTGTTCTGTATATGTCTTTGGTGTTGCTAATACCTAGTATTGCGAATTTAAGGCGATATTGATGCCTTGTCTGTCGGTAGGGCGTGGAACCGCTGCATTGACGAGTTCTTCGATCGGATAAGTATCCTGGTCTCTTACTCAGCAGATGCTTTTATGAAAATAAGAAGTTCTCCTGGGAAGGGCTTAATGCGTAAGCACAACTTACCAACGAGCTCTTGCCACGCCGAAGTGGGGACTTCGCTGTCCGAACCTGACCGAAAGAGAAGTATCCGACAAATTGCCTGATGACCAAGCTTGGGCGGCCACCGGGAAAACTGTCGGATAGTTTTGGGGTTTCAATGTTGAGTGAGATGGTATATAGGCAAGCAGAGTTGGATATAAAGGCTTGGAGTCTCCCTCTAAAACTCACACCCTTCTGATAGCATCATCCTGAACATTGAATAGCATTAAAAACTACCTAGCCACCAACATGAGGCCATTTGCAGTCTCCCTCGCTTTAACGGCAGCCTTTGGATTAACATCGGCAGTACCACATACAGTCAACCAATCTCCAACGGTACAAGCTCCAGCAGGCACCATAACTGGAGCACTTATCGAGAAGGTTGAATACTTTCGAGGAATTCCTTACGCCGAGCCACCAGTCGGCAACCTTCGTTTAAGAGGTCCTGTCAGGGCCCAGCCGCGAAGCCTCATCCAAGCGACGGGTGTTGGCCCAGCATGCCCCCAAATGACTAACTCCGTGGTGACACCCTTGCTTGGGCAGGTTATCTCCGACCCTAATGTAGCTGGGCCCCTTTTCTTGGGAAGCGCTTTTGACAACGGCCAAGAGGATTGTCTCACTATTTCAGTTATGCGGCCCGAGAATACCCCCGCTGACGCAAAGCTCCCTGTTTTATATTGGATGCATGGTGGCGGGTTCGCGATCGGCAGTTCACAAGCTTACAACGGATCCGTGATCGTCCCTCGTGCTGCACAACAAGGCAAGCCGTTTATTTTGGTGTCCGTCAACTATCGCCTAGGAGCGTTCGGTTTCCTAGGTGGTGCTGAGGTCCTTGCTGAGAACTCGACGAATCTGGGACTTCTTGACCAAAGAATGGGCTTAGAGTGGATTGCAGACAACATTGCCTCGTTCGGCGGAGATCCGGATGCAGTCACCATCTCCGGAGAAAGCGCTGGTTCTATTAGCGTTTTTGATCAAATGGCATTATACGACGGGGACAATACCTACGGCGGACGACCTGTGTTCCGCGGAGCAATTATGCACAGCGGAAGTATTCAAACACGAGAGCCCGTTGACGGCCCCAATGCGCAGAGAGTCTTCGATACGGTAGTGGCAGCCGCCAATTGCTCGTCCGAGACGGACAAGCTTGAATGCTTAAGAAATGTCGACTATGACACGTTCTGGCAGGCCTCGATGAGCGTGCCTTCCTTCTTGAGCAACAGTTCTATCGCTTTGAGTTATACGCCGCGTCAAGATGGAAAAATCCTTACGGACAGCACAGATGTCTTGGCTAAACAAGGGAAGTTTGCGCAGGTGCCTATGATAATTGGCGATATGAAAGACGAGGTAGGCCTGCCCTGGATTTATATTGTTTATTGACAGCAACTAATGAGACATAGGGTACAATTTTTTCAACCTTCCCGGTTGATATTACCAACCAAGATGAACTTGTATCATATCTTTCAAGCTTCATTTACAAGCATGCTTCGCGCAAGGAGATCACAAAGCTACTGAATACCTACCCAAGTGATACGGACAACAGTACTTATCCAGGTTTTACTCAGCTTGCTGGAATGCTAGGCGATGCATTTTTCACAATGAAAAGAAGGGAGCTTCTTGAATATTTACCGGCGGAGGTACCGGCTTGGTCATTCCTAGGGAATTGGTTGCCAGATACTCCCATTGTCAAGACATTCCATACATCCGACTTGCCACGACTTTTCTATTACACCGACTCCATTAGCACATCTCTCCAAGATAGATATTTCTCGTTTATCACCTCCGCCAACCCCAATGATGGCGACAAGACGCTTTCAGATTGGCCTAGTTGGCATGCAAGCCGCCAATCCTTGGAATTTGGAGCCAACCAAGCTGCGCTCATCCTCGACAACTTTAGGAAGGGGAGCTATGAATTCATCAAGTCTCACAAAGCTGCTTTTCAGCTGTAGATAAGTACTCAGCAGCAATCCTACTTGAGGTTAAGGTCGCAAGTTTAGGATGTAAGTAGTGTTTTGAGGGATAGAATGGCATTGGCTTCAATAGAAGAAATAGTAATTAGATCTGTATGGGAAATGCTCTCTTTAATATTATTATCTGAATGATCATTTGCGTCTTTGCTCGTCATGTGTAGGACATGGATCATACAAATAAGCTGAAATTCGTCGCTAAACGCCCACAGTCAAACTCGGCCCATTCCACCAGATTAGCTCCTAAGTAAACTGCCATTGGCGGACATCTCCGGACATCTCTGACCCACATTGTGTCAGCCTACCTGCCTGAACCTGGCGTCGATTTGTCATCGAGGTTTGGAAGTGTCCAAGCTTGATTATTCTCAACTTCTCACCAACACCGAACAGAGAAAGCACATTGTCCATCTCTATGGAAACATCACAAATCAACCCCTTACTGGCACAAGGGAGATTGTCTCTTATTATCCGCATTAACATTCTTCTTGTGGTTTTGTCCGAGGACTCCATGTAGCCATCATGGGAAGAAGAAAGGCAAGACCCCGGTTCCATAAGACCAATGCGAAATTATTATACGCAACACGCTAACCATTTTCCAGACCTGTGACCTTTGCACCCTCAAGAAAATCCGCTGCGATGGGGGCGTTCCTGCGTGCTCCTACTGCACCACTTACGCCGTCCCATGCAAGTGGACTCCGGGTATTCATAAGCTTGTCAGGCCTAACAGGAATACTAAAAGGCGTAACCAGGAGACACCCTCGCAGTTGGCCCCGGTTGATGTCGAAGTTTGCACTTTCGCAGACGGAGTGCCTGTCCCCGTTTCCGATTCTGCGGTAAGCAGCAACCTTCTAACCCATCGGTCGCCGGCCGTCTCGGGAAATCGGACGTCTCCTGAGCCAAGTGCAGTACCCAAGGATGATGAATGCCTAAGGATGGAGATCCAGGCCGGGGAAAGATATCCCCTGCCTCCGTTGGAGGAGGTTGAGCAATTATTCGACTTCTTCTTCGTCAACTTTAATAATTTCTTCCCAATTTTTGACTATACAAGGGCCATGGGGATGTTGCATGACTGGTACCTCAGCTGCCCAAATCTTCGGGACGAGTCTACTTGGGCTGTGATCAACATCATTATCGCGCTTGGTCTACAGTTCAAACCTCCGACACATCCGGCCTTTACTACTCTCGAAGACTCTACCGTTTATGTGGCCAACGCCCAATCGATTCTTGACAAACTAGTCATGCGAGTCAGCGATTGCATTGGGATTCAAGTCCTCCTGGGATTGGTTGTATACTTCCAAAAATCTCTGGATAGAGGCCCAGCGCAGGTGCTCATTGCCTCCACGATTAAGCTGGCCTTCCGCCTGAGACTTCACATGGCACAATTTGGCCTTGATCTCCCCCCAAAGGATGTAATGGAAAGAAAAAGGCTCTTCTGGGCGGCTTATGTCTTGGACAGGGACGTCAGCATGAGAGTCCGCGATCCGTACATTCTCCAAGATCATGATTTCGATGTCAGCCCTATAGAACATGTTATAAGAGACGAGGTTGCGTTTGACCTGGACCTATTGATCGACGCGGCGGAATTCAATTACTTTCGATGCCGAGCTGACCTTGCATTTATTCAAGGAAAAACACATGACTGGATCAATTCCGTCAACGCAGAACGGCTTGTCGACTACCAGAAATGGGAGAAACGCGAATTATTGTGGACGATGCTCAATGAGTGGATGATGGCGATCCCGCAGCCATACCAGCCGAGTAATTTGGAGACTCTCGATAGTCCTGCGGAACAAGCATTCATCTCGCTTTACATTACAAGATTTCGTACCATATGCGGGATAGAAAAGGTCTTCTCGCATCATACAGAATGGATTAGCGGGCTTATTGAGTATAGCGTCAAGTGGTCCGCCGATGGCCAAACTGCAAGCAAGTCAGCTCAAAGTCCTCTGCCAAATCACTGGAAAGACCTCGTGGAGTCTGCCCGAACGATCATGCTGCTATTTCGAAGAGTGCCGAAATTCTACAATGGACTTTTAGGAAATCTCTGTTGCGCGTATTGCTCTGCCCTCCTCATCATGGTCGCGAACAAGCTTGTACTCCCAGAGGTCCACGTAGCGGGCCAGCCACAGCTGGATGAAGCCCTAATTGTGGAAGGTATTGAGTACATGGAAGCCAAGTATGAGGTGGTGGCTGCCCCGTCACTGAAGGCAGTGTCCAGAGCCTGCCGTGAGTTGAATAGACGAGCTGATGCTGCTGTTGGCGCTACGAAGAGCAAGACACAAGATAGCCAAATGATGCCCTTTGGCTCTGCTCTTGCTCCCAAAACATTTCAAACACTTGTGTTTGAACCGTGTGGACCTCTCCCCGAAGCTGAGCTTCAGTCGGCCTTTACCTTCAAGATGTGGGATCCTTGATAATGAGAGACGTGACGGAATAGATCCATTGCATTCAACCCCCGTTTATTGGTTCAAGAAAGAGCTGAGATATACTTCTTTTAAAATTTATATGAGCATGTACCTCAACTGGGGTTTTTTAGCGGCGTTGTTGGAAGCATGGCTTCAGTTGCCAGAACTCGATATATAAGGAAGACTGTCTAGAATCTAGAATGCCGAATTTAGCAATAAATTTCCACTTATATCCTTCCATTCGGCCGTACATGAATTGTAGGAAACTCCCAGCGAGTGATATCTACCTATTGCAACGTTGGCAGCCAAGTTGCCAGTGCCTCATTGACTTTGTCGGCAGCCTCCCAGTGCGCGAAGTGATGTGAGTCCAATTCTTGAATCTTCAAGGACTCAAAATAGTCGCCCATGTCGGTCCAGATGTTCGCGGGCATAGAGTTTGGCTCCTTGGTCGCGGGCATGAAGAGGACCGGCATTTTGTACTTGATTGGGCCGTCCTTGAGAAACGGCAGCTCATCCTCCCAATCCATTCTTCTGGTCCGGTACCAGTTGAAGGGGCCCCGCATACCATTGATATGAAATCTTTTGGCGTAAAAGTCTAGTTCCGAACTGTTCACTAATGGGTTAGGACCTAGTTGATCAACAATATCGAAATCAACCCCATTTTGAGGAGAGAAGGCGCCTTTCCCGTCCAAAGTCGTCCCACCATAGGCGCCATTGATGAACGACCGGATCTGGGCCAGGCTTGTGACGTTGCGCTCCAAGGCTTCTTCACGGAATTGTAGTTGGTATCCCATTGATGGGAAGGTACCGTTTTCCACGAGATCCAACATATCGACCCATTCCTTTGTAGGGCCCAACCAAAGGGGGACGTAAGGAATGGCGATGCTGAAGAATGCTTTGACAAGCTCGGGGTGCCAGAGAGCAACCTTATAGGTCAGGCCGGCACCCCAGTCATGGCCACCGACGATGACTTGCTCCCCCTTAGGCACAAGCTGTCCAATGAGGTCGGCCATATCGGCCGCAAGTTCCTTGCGAGCCCAGTGAGTGACGGAGCAAGGGGAATCAGTACCTGCGTAGCCCAACATGTCCGGAGCAATAACACGATAGCCAAGCTTCGCAAGAGGAGGAATTTGATAGCGCCAGCCATAGGAAAGATCCGGTATCCCATGCAAGAGAAGGATGGTGCCCTTCTGGGCAGAGGTAGGCTCAGCGAGGAGATAATGATAGGTTTGACCTCTGACTTTGGCATGATGACTTGACGTCCCTGGAATATGCCCGGCAGTTTCATTCCCCGGTTTGGGAGTGGCCAAACTCAATCCTAGCTGTGGAAGTAGCAAGGCTACTAAAGCTTTTAAAAAGTGCATCTTCTGCTTATCCTGTTGATGTTGGTGGTGTTTGGAAAAGAATGGAAAGAATGCATGGGATGGAATAGAAAGGTAAGATAAATCACAGACTTTCCTGCGACACTCCTGATATTTATACCCTTACATCTGAGTTTGGAAATTGGGTTTATAATCCTTTCTATCAATAAACCGCTGCCTCTCTCACTTCTCCGGAACTCACTGGGGAGTTGTCCGAGATGTCCGGATTTTCCGCTCGTTGATTATCAAACATTCTGACAAATGGAGAGGTGGCATGATACAACATAAGATCCTTTATTTATTTATTTATTTGCATTAAACCGAAGATTTGCTAATCTCCTTGGGTAGAACTGTATGCAGTTGCAGCGTTTCATCGTTGAGGGCTACTTTTGATTCCATCATCAGCGCCCAAGCCGCCGAGGCAACAATCGCCTGGTCAGTCTAAAATTGTAATATTTCGAGTTTTCTTCCGATTAGTAGCAGCTACGACAGACATTACGAAGACGATATTCACTTGACGTGGGCCGTAAGAGAGAGTGGCTCAGTGCTACCATTTCTGAACTGGACAGCGTCCACCTTCAAAACCGCGAGACCAGTAAGAAGGTCTGCGCTCGATATTTCTGAAAGAATTTATAAAACCAGGAAAGAGAGATGAGCCCATTACGAACTTTCACACAACTATGAAGCCAGCTTGAAGCTACTGAGACCAGCAGTAGGAAGCCAAGACAACAGGCACAGACATTGAGTAGGGCTACACGGGGCTCATGGTAAATTTGCTCTCTAGCACCCTGGACTCTGGATTAGTCTAGAGCAAACCTGATTTGGAAACCACTGCATTGTGGCTTCGTTAGTTGCTTTCAAAGAGTTTAGCGTACAAACCTGCAGCTGCAAGAAAAGCAAATTTGCAGCCAACGGATTATTATCTGATCATCTGATAAGATGTTAGGTCCACGTCGCCTCACCAGTATTGGTATGGCTTCATGATCGAGGACCAGGTTGACTTGGTAAGCACAATACCGCCATATTCTTGGATAAGAGAAGCAAGACCCGGCATTAGTGGCGGTAAATATTCTGACTATTGTGACCGTGCAGGTCACTGGTCTCGTTTAATTTCCTCTCACTTATGCAGACATCCTCAAAGCAAGCTAAAATCTTTTCAAATATTGAACTTCCCCTGATTTACTGGCATCTTGTTCTATTACGAGCGGGGGAAAAATGTATCTTGTGCGGGTTAAGACGAGTCAATATCCTAGGGCGATTTATTTCCATACGTGACGCATGTGAAACTATTCAGGGAGTTGGGCCACACCCAGAGAGGCGATACATTTCCTTCAGACCATCCACCACTGCCGATTTCAATTGCCTAACATCTGATCCTAATCCCCGAACGACTCATGTTGCTACCACCTATGAACGAACACCGCACGCTTTGCGTCCATCAGGATACCAGAGGCAAGGCACATTATCGCAGCATTGGCCTGGAGGGCCTGGGTAAACACATTGGGCTGAGGTTAGGTAATTAGCTACCTGCTACTTGACAGCAGAGTCGATAGAGCGCTCAACTTACCGCCCTGGGGAATACAAGCCCGGACCTCAAGCTCAGGGGGAGTGCTGGGGGCCGCATGCACCAAAGGCGCGATGAGACCGGTGAGGGCGACGATCCAGGATGAACGCATTGTGGGAGAGTGATTTATAGATGGAGAGACGGAAGTACGTTTTTCGAGTGGATGGGAAGTTTCGAGACTCAGAAAACCCGTACCAGGAGGCAGCGATAACCGGCTATTTTATAGATGCAAACATAAATCCCTCAAGAGGAGTCCCTTGTCTAGACAATATGGATGAGTGAGCCCCGGAGTCAGCAGAGGGCATCAGGAGATCCATGAGCCTAACTTGAATTAGTAGAGCTGGAGGAGCTGAAAACTGCATGCAGCTCAGAGTGTCACCATGTAAGTTGATGCCGAGTCCCGGCAGAAATTAGAAATTTGTGGATATAGTAACGTAATCATTCATCTACTGTTGACTGATTGCCTATGTTAGGTACAATTAGATCGAGACTGGCTACTATTTGTTGTTGCGGTTGGCCAGAGCGGCAAATGTGCATCCTAACCCACCCGGGACCGATGGACACGGGGACAGGAATGCTCATTTCTTTTCAGTACTTGAAGCCCCCAGTCCTTTCTCTCAATGTGCCGATCGGATCATACTCCTGCTGAAGTGCCTTGAACTTAGCATAGTCCCTGTAACTCCCAGTAACGTTCTGATCGGCCATGGCGTCGTTCATAAACAGCGGAAGATAAACATCCTTAGCCTGTGACCCCGCCTCCAGCCATACGGGAATTCTCTCCTCAATCCAAGCAGTGAGGTCTTTGGTGAGGGAAACCAACGTATCATCGTCATCCTTTGATGCCCATGCACATTGAAACTCGAGTAGAACTCTGTCCGGGTCGCTGGCCGTCAACCCCATCGCGTTTCCTCCATTCTGCTCCGAGTTCTTTCCTACAGCAGCCGGAAGGGGCTGGAAATCAACGGAGCATTGGGACAGGAGGTGCAGAGGATTTTTGAAATAATCGGAGGAAAGCTCGGTCATCTTTTTAGATATCTCGGAGTACATTGACGGATATTCTGAAACGTAGGGTATCGTGAGAGTCTGTTCCAGTTAGCACTCAATTTACAAAGGAGGGTTTTTCTTTCTTTTAAATGGAAACCATACCCTGAAAGAGATTCGAGAGTTAAGAAGAGACGCGCCCACGCCGTTAGATTTGAGCTGGAAAAAACATTAGAACTAAACGTCATTGCATTCATACTTATGGTACTTGCCAATTCGGGATAGGATTGAGTTTTAGTGATAGAGATCAGAGAAGGAATTGTAAGAAAATCGGCAAAGGGGCCCTCTGTAGGCGGAGCTTCTCCATCGTAAAAATAGAAGATCAGGAAAGCATTCAAACTCGCCACGGCTGATATGTTTGTAACAATGATTGCAGCTTTGGTGTCTTTGTTGCTGCCAGGCACAAAGTCATGGAGGGTCTTGAAGATCTTGTCTGTCTGCGATGCATCATAGATGCGTATCCCTCCCCAAACCTTCCCGATGGGATGAGCTTTGACCGTGAATTTCGTGACAATGCCTGTTTTCCATGATAAGCTAGAGCGATGGATAATATAGCTGCCTGTGACTTACCAAACTGACTACCGCTTCCTCGTAGAGCCGTGGCAAGTTCAGGCTGGGTATTGGTATCCACGTTGATAATAGTGCCGTCCGCAGTGACTATTTCCCAACCCACAATATTCTTGAGATCCGTGTCAATATGTGCTTCTCGGAATTCCGGGGTAAATAACCTACATCTGCAGCTAGCCCATGCTGAGCGCTGAGGAACGAGATCCCGCCCTGTACAAGGAAGCCACCAACGCCAACGATACCTGAATATTTTCAGAATTAGAACCTCTTAGTGAAATACAATGACATAGATAACTTACCAAGTCGACCTCCAACAGCAGTGACCCCGTGCTCATTCAGACTGGAGATCACATCGTTCCACTCACCGCCTGGTTTGACGGCAGCGAGATTTGTGGATGCGTCATATGTTGCCCCTGACATTTTTTCGAGTGAGATCAGCACTCCATCCTGGACGGTGGCATGCCCGGCATTGGGATCATGTCCACCGCTTTTTGCAGTGAACTTCACATCAGGATATTTGTTGAGGACAGTAACTGCCTTGGAAACCTCATCAGCCGACTGTGGGAGAACGACACATGCTGGTTTCAGTTCGCGAAGAACAGTGGACCAGTAAGCCGTGGTTTCGGAATGAAAGGGAATGGTAAGAGGGAATGAAACTCTCGCAGCGAGCGTTGTCGAAAGCTCTGAGCAAGCTTTATTCGTGGACGAACTCGGTGCAGCTGACCCGTGCTGGCTAAAGGAACCCAGAACAGTCAGGTGAGAGAGCAAGCTCAGGAATTTGCGGCTCATATTGGTTGCTTTTTCTTTGCGTTGGAGAAGAGTTTGCTGCCGGGTTGTTAATGTTGCAAAGACGACTCCATGAGGCTATTTATCTTTTTTACAAAGACCAGCATAGAACTGCAATTTTAATTAGTTGTTACATGGTGAGAGTGAAAACGCTCCGCCGTTTCGTTAGTGCGCGATGTGTAAAACTGTCCCAATACGAAAACGACAGGCTTAAAGAGATGATACACCTCCAGGCAATGCGAAAACGAGAATGAGCTTACAACGGTGGAGTTGTTGCTTGCCATTGATCTAACCTAGTGCAGGGGTCTCCTTCGTCTATCTTTAGATCGTCGATATAAAGGTTGCGGGGTTCGCACAGATGGATGAAACCATCTGTTGATTATTCTACGAACCCCGCCACTTAAGGTCACATTCACGAGGAAATCTCGCCAGGAACAGCCGAGGCATGGTGGCCAACGACATGCCTCCAGGCAGACACCGAGACACTCCTGAGCACGACAAAGCATTCTCGGACTACGCAACCGTCTGGAATTGTTTGGAAGAGGAAGTAAATTGGGACAACCTACGAATCGAGAAAGTCTGCTACGAAGGTAATCAAGAGCAGAAAAATGACATACTATGATTTAGAAGAGCTCAATTGTATGAAGTTTGAGGGTATTATCATGTTAAAGATCAGCGACCTGAGACGATATTCATTCACGTGTTGACTCACTCTGATGGGACATCCTAATTTACTAGATTTCTATAATAAGTTAGGCGAGGTTGTCCCCTTCAACGTGCAAGACTTTCATTCGTTCTCGGCAGCATTATTTCCGTGCCCAGTTGCCCCTGATCTGAGGGTTACACTTGTAGATGCTTCCAGTTCAAGTACTTAGGCACCCATCTTATTTCGCACCAATCACGATATTCCCAGTCGGCCGAAAGCGAGGTAGTTGTTGTAGGAAGTAAACATGTGATATTAACAGGGACAGATCAAAGCAATCCTGGCTTCCCCCGCACATCTGATTGTTGACCCCGAGAATCAATGCCTACATCAGCCAGACACTTACCATGTCTTGAGAGGTGAGGACAATTCTTAGTATAGTAAGCTTGTTTTCGTATGTGCAACGTCGATCCAACTTCCCTAGTTGTTTGGCTATCTATCAAATAGAAAAGGTGACAGGTCCACGTACTGACGTGTGGTTGTCCCAGTGATTCAATTTGCTGGTAAAATAAATGCACACAAAATTGGTGTGAATAAACCATGCTTGGGGACATAGTTGGTGCTCAATCTGGGCTCATGCTACTGGGGAAGCTTGCCACAGAAGTATTTGAAAGCTGCTCAATGAGCTTGTCCGAGGCCTGAGAATTGAGCTTTGCTAAGATATTGAGGATGATGTTGAGGAGCGTGTGGCCACGTTGTTGATGAGATTCATCGTTGGAATTTTGTGAAATCTCTAACAGGACGCTCCCCACGGCCCTGATAAGTTCTATCTGTAGTCACAGTTAGAGGTTGAAACCATGTCGATTTCGATCGTTGAATTTGAGGATATTACATACGCCAGGCTCTCCATTTCCTCGCAGATAATGGAAGGGTACACTCTGAAGTGTATGGACGAAGTCTCGAGCGATGTTTAACTCCTCTCTTGTCGAAGCTGAACGATCATTATGAAGTCCGATGATGGAAGGTAATTCAAACCGGATACATTCGTGGACAACCAAGAGCTTGGCGCAATAAAACATCGTTTGGAGGCGATATCTCTGTGTAGTAAATGAGATGGGCTGATATTCCGTGGGAGACTCGTTGTCTCGCAATAATATGACAGAGGATTGAAGTGAGGGTGGCATATCGTCGAGAACTGAAACGAACTCGGAATACATTAGGCTCAGTCTACTCAGTTCCAATTGGTCATTGAGTGGGGGTTGTTTGTTTCGTGTTTTCATACGATGATGTGTCCGGATGGCGACAATTAGGTGAGCCGCCATAGAGAATGTGCGCCGAAAGAGGTGAAAGCCGTCTAGGAGAGATCTTTCAAACTCGTTATCAGCGTACCCTGGGCTCTCAGCCAGTAATGGTACTTGGTTTAAGCCAAACTCTTTAGTATTTTGCTCACTGTCAAACAAGGAGTCGAAGAGTACTGCAGGCCTATTTTTCAGACATATGGCTGAGCTATCAGACATAACCAGAGTCCAAAAACAGTTGCGAAGTAAAGTCGACTCCAAAGGCTCGTACTGGTCGAGAACACGTTCGCTGTAGAGACGCATGGCGTGGGCAAGCATGCTCGCCTGCCCTACCACCTGCGCCGCCAAACCTTTATCGCAGTTGTGCTGCTGAATGCATGTCGAGTGGAACATCCTTATCTGTAGTGAACTTGAGTTAGGATGACCTAAATCATAGTCTTCGTATTCACGCAGCGTATCCCGAGACGCGCGGAGAAAAAGAGGTCCCAAGACTGCGCCCCGAGGGACAATAACGTCTCCGTGGATAAATGCCATGGTTCCACACACGGCGGTCAGCAGTGAAAATGACCTCAGAACAGAAACGGACGCATCATTGAGAAGGATGCGATCGCTAGGTAATTCACCCTTGAAGAAATCTTGTGCATCCGCGCGCAGACTCGGTTCATGACAAATTGGCAGATTTGGGAAAGAGCGTTGGAAAAATAGAGAAAGGCAATCATTGACCAGCTGCAAAACGGTTGTGTTTGGGATCACTGCGACGATACCCGTGACCAAATT